ATAGTTTTGTTTTTAAGAACATAAACTTAAATTGTACACATGTTTTCTTTGTTAGCAAGGAGCTTTAGCATTATGGCCTATTTGATCATTAGTTTTCTTTTCCAAGAAACATGTTTTTAGTATGTAGATGAATTGTGATATGTATTTAGTAGTTATGTATATAAATTATAAAAATAGTAGTACAATAATAGATATATGTGCATTAGGGTAAAAATGGGGGAAGGGGGGTACTCTAGTTATTTGACCAAGAGACTATTATTTTTTTAAATGTGCAATCGGGAGACTTGAAAGGCTTAGAAGTTGTTTGAAAATGTTTTTGCAGTGTTACACGTAGCCGCACCCCGAGTGCAATGAAGCTTTGTCACGATTTTAACCCCCACAACTTTTGGAATATAAATGGCAGATATTAACACCACACTTTAGGGACACACACTGTTATGCCAAACTTCAGGAGTTAAGACAGCGCCACAATGTCAACCCACCCTCTACAACAATGTTGCATTTTCGTTTTCCTATTTTAATATTTTAACTAGGCAAATTGTGTTGACAGTCAGTTTTACAATTTTCCGATTTGTAGTCACACACTAAATGGTTTCACCTAGTGGTGACCGACACACTAAATGGTTTCACCTAGTGGTGACCGACACACTAAATGGTTTCACCTAGTGGTGACCGTGGTGACCGACACACTAAATGATTTCACCTGAGACCGACACACTTAATGGTTTCACCTAGTGGTGACCGACACACTAAATGGTTTCACCTAGTGGTGACTGACACACTAAATGGTTTCACCTAGTGGTGACTGACACACTAAATGGTTTCACCTAGTGGTGACTGACACACTAAATGGTTTCACCTTGTGGTGACCGACATACTAAATGGTTTCACCTAGTGGTGACCGACACACTAAATGGTTTCACCTAGTGGTGACTGACACACTAAATGGTGGTGACCGACACACTAAATGGTTTCACCTAGTGGTGACCGACACACGTAATGGTTTCACCTAGTGGTGACTGACACACTAAATGGTTTCACCTAGTGGTGACCGACACACTAAATGGTTTCACCTAGTGGTGACCGACACACTAAATGGTTTCACCTAGTGGTGACCGACACACTAAATGGTTTCACCTAGTGGTGACCGCAACTACTCCCTCCCCCCCCCCCCATGTAGTCGCCTTCAGTGTGAGAGATGGCCAAACTGTGTGAGAGATGGCCAAACTGAGAGAGATGGCCAAACGTAAGCTAGACCAGCTAACATCAACACAACAAACACAAGCTGGTTTGTTTTACTTTAATATCATCATCAATTGTACAGTACTCAAACAGTCCTTTCTCATTCCCAAAACAAGGTTAACACTCTTCCGTCCAAATTTAGAATAAAAACATAAGGTTATAGCAGTGACCTTTAACTGATGACTTAGTTGCTAATGTTAAAACTATCTCAAGAACTGTGTGCAACATGTTTTCTTACAACACATTTTATACACACGTTATTTGTTCTAATGCTGGTTGATTTAATAGGTCGGTAGTTGTCTACATACAACTTATGTTTAGTCATACACACCAATCTTAGCCCATTCCCCACCAAACTTAGCCCATACCCCACCAAACTTAGCCCCACCAAACAGCCCATACTCCACCAAACTTAGCCCATACTCCACCAAACTTAGCCCATACTCCACCAAACTTAGCCCATACCCCACCAAACTTAGCCCCACCAAACAGCCCATACTCCACCAAACTTAGCCCATACTCCACCAAACTTAGCCCATACCCCACCAAACTTAGCCCATACTCCACCAAACTTAGCCCATACCCCACCAAACTTAGCCCATACCCCACCAAACTTAGCCCATACCCCACCAAACTTAGCCCATACCCCACCAAACTTAGCCCATACCCCACCAAACTTAGCCCATACCCCACCAAACTTAGCCCATACCCCACCAAACTTAGCCCATACGCCACCAAACTTAGCCCCACCAAACTTAGCCCATACCCCACCAAACTTAGCCCATACGCCACCAAACTTAGCCCATACCCCACCAAACTTAGCCCATACCCCACCAAACTTAGCCCATACGCCACCAAACTTAGCCCCACCAAACATAGCCCATACCCCACCAAACTTAGCCCATACCCCACCAAACTTAGCCCATACCCCACCAAACTTAGCCCATACCCCACCAAACTTAGCCCATACCCCACCAAACTTAGCCCCACCAAACTTAGCCCATACCCCACCAAACTTAGCCCATACGCCACCAAACTTAGCCCATACGCCACCAAACTTAGCCCATACCCCACCAAACTTAGCCCATACCCCACCAAACTTAGCCCATACCCCACCAAACTTAGCCCATACGCCACCAAACTTAGCCCATACGCCACCAAACTTAGCCCATACTCCACCAAACTTAGCCCATACCCCACCAAACTTAGCCCATACCCCACCAAACTTAGCCCATACGCCACCAAACTTAGCCCCACCAAACTTAGCCCCACCAAACTTAGCCCATACCCCACCAAACTTAGCCCATACCCCACCAAACTTAGCCCATACCCCACCAAACTTAGCCCATACCCCACCAAACTTAGCCCATACCCCACCAAACTTAGCCCATACCCCACCAAACTTAGCCCATACCCCACCAAACTTAGCCCATACCAATCTTACGGCACACACAGAAAATCTTACTCTACATCCATACCAATCATATTCCACACAAACTCACATCAATTTTACTCAACAACACACGAATCTTACATAGTCTACAACTATATTAGATCATAAATCAACATTGCTTTAGACTGCAACATAAGAAATATTATGTCAACAAAATTATAGACAGCATCATAGATATATTATGTCAACAATATTATAGACAGCACCATAAGAAATATTATGTCAACAATATTATAGACAGCATCATAGAAATATTATGTCAACAATATTATAGACAGCACCATAAGAAATAAACAATTTTTTGCCTCTTGGGCATGTGAGCAATTATTGGCCGGAGGACTCCTTCATACTCAAAGTCTAGCTTTTTAAAAATTTAGCTATCTAAGATTTAGTATGGGTGAAACATACACCAAAAACTGGACATTAAATCAAAAGAAGTCCTCCCAACCGTTAGCTAAGGCATAAGGTCCCTGGCTCCTGACATAACCGTCCAAACATTAGCTGTGGTATAAAAATGTAGGCAATGCCTATAGCTATGGTATAAAAATGTAGGCAATGTCTATAGTTATGGTATCAAATTGTAGACAATGCCTATTGTATTGTCTGTAGCTATGGTATAAAAATGTAGGCAATGTCTATAGTTATGGTATAAAACTGTGGGTAATGCCTATTGTCTGTAGCTATGGTACAAAACTGTAGGCAATGCTTGTTGTCTTTAGCTATGGTATAAATCTGTAGGCAATGCCTATTGTATTGTCTGTAGCTATGGTATCAAACTGTAGGCAACGTCTATAGCTATGTTATAAAACTGTAGGCAATGTCTATAGCTATGGTATACAACTGTGGGCAATGCCTATTGTATTGTCTATAGCTATGGTATAAAACTGTAGGCAATGTCTATTGTATTGTCTGTAGCTATGTTATAAAACTGTAGGCAATGTCTATAGCTATGGTATAAAACTGTAGGCAATGTCTATAGCTATGGTATCAAACTGTAGGCAATGCCTATCGTGTAGTCAGGACAGGCAGGGACTGCCTTAGCTTAAATGGTACATCATTTTAATTATGAGCACAAAATTTGAAGAATGTTAAAAAATAAATCTAGTTTTAAACATGCTGCAATTCAAATGAGCATTTAAAAAACCTAACTAAACACATTTTGAGCGTAGAGTATGTGCTATGGGCAATGAAAATGTTAAATTATTTACTTACACACAATGAAAATGTGCCACATGTTTTTTTCAACACAACAAAAATGTGCAGCTTGTTGCAAGCTTTAAAGTAGTAACAATGTTGAAAAAAGAAGTGAGACCTGTTATTTGAACTAAAAAACCACAAGCACAACAGTCTACTCTATCATGGTTTAGTAGACTTTTTAATCATTCAAATAAGTACAGGCTGGATCAGAAGATACCAACTGTGGAGTTAGTTTAAAACTTTTCCATTCAATCAACCAATCAAATGTGATGTAACATTCCATCAATGGGTGGAGTTAGTTTAAAACTTTTCCATTCATTCAACCAATCAAATGTGATGTAACAGACTATCAATGGGTGGAGTTAGTTTAAAACTTTTCCATTCATTCAACCAATCAAATGTAACATTCCATCAATGGGTGGAGTTTAAAAATTCTTCCATTCAATCAACCAATGAAATGTAACATTCCATCAATGGGTGGAGTTAGTTTAAAACATTTCCATTCAATCAACCAATCAAATGTAACATTCCATCAATGGGTGGAGTTTAAAAATTCTTCCATTCAATCAACCAATGAAATGTAACATTCCATCAATGGGTGGAGTTAGTTTAAAACTTTTCCATTCAATCAACCAATCAAATGTAACATTCCATCAATGGGTGGAGTTTAAAAATTCTTCCATTCAATCAACCAATGAAATGTAACATTCCATCAATGGGTGGAGTTAGTTTAAAACATTTCCATTCAATCAACCAATCAAATGTGATGTAACATTCCATCAATGGGTGGAGTTAGTTTAAAACTTTTCCATTCAATCAACCAATCAAATGTAACATTCCATCAATGGGTGGAGTTTAAAAATTCTTCCATTCAATCAACCAATGAAATGTAACATTCCATCAATGGGTGGAGTTAGTTTAAAACTTTTCCATTCATTCAACCAATCAAATGTAACATTCCATCAATGGGTGGAGTTTAAAAACTTTTCCATTCAATCAACCAATCAAATGTAACATTCCATCAATGGGTGGAGTTAGTTTAAAACTCTTCCATTCAATCAGCCAATCAAATGTGATGTAACATTCCATCAATGGATGGAGTTTAAAAACTTTTCCATTCAATCAACCAATCAAATGAGATGTAACATTGCATCAATGTGTGGAGTTAGTTTAAAAACTGTTCAGGCATTGTGCTGTCATCAAGATTGATGCCAGACGGTACCGGATGAATCAGGATGTTACAGTTGGAACTCTGACCACTGGATGTGAAATCTGCCTCAAGGACCATGGGAGAACTCATGCAGGCTTCATTGCCTTTTCCTTTGCCGCGAGACTTGGTCTTGCGCAGGTTCCTTCTCCCCTGTGACAGGCGTTTGCTGGAGGCCTCTTGCTCTGAGCCCGAGCTGGACTCAGCACACATGGGGGACATGAGCTCAGGGTTGAACTGTTTGGGCTTACAGCTCCACCCAGACAGAGCTTTACCTGCTTCCATGGGGCGCAACATGCTGTGGGCAAAGGTGGGTTTGGGGGGAAGCTCTGGTTTCTTGCTCACTAGACGTGGGGTGTCCATGCGCTCAGACTGACCAGACGAGGAATCTGTCCTCTTATGTCCCCTCTCTCCTTCAGAACTCTGGGGGCTAACATTGCCTGAGGAAGTTTTGGGTCCACCAGCTGTCAGGTTCTGATGCGGGGCTTCAGGTTTGTGTTTTGATGCCAGCTTGTCCTGTTTGTGCTCAGCTTTTGCTCTCTTGTCCTGGCTACTTGACTGGATGTCTTTCTTGTCTGGTGGGTGCTCCAGGACTTCTTGTTTGTGCACAAAACCTGCACATGTCATGCCGCTTGCAGATGTCACACTTCCTGTAGATGTCACCCTCCCTGTAGATGCCACCCCCCCTGTAGAGGCCACTCTCAGATACCTGGCAGTGAGCTTAGCATCTCTGGCCACATCACCTGTGGACAGGTCCAGCCACTGTTTCTGGCATGTGAGGGCTGGACTCAAATCATATCTACCTGCCTGTCTACCAGGCACCTTCAGACTCTGGCTGCGTTTAGGTGGCAGGGTCATCAGAGGTTTGAACTGGGCAGCACCGCCTGTTTCTTCAGCCTCATCTGGATCAAGGTCAGAACAGGTCGAACTGTTTTCTTTATGAACCTGCCCTTTTTTCTGCATCTCAGTGCTATCATCTAGCACCATGAAAGGGCTGCAGTGGGGGATGTGTTGTCTGATTGGCTCTGGGCCTGTAGAGTCAGGACTAGAGTACTTGGCCTGTCCAGCTGCTAACTTGCTGCTGGCATCAAAGACTGGCAGCTCCTGTTGCTCACACACAGCTGCTTCTTGTCTCTGCATTTGGAGTTGACGGAATATTTCAAACTCCAGGTGAGACCTAATTAATAGAGGGAGATTGGAATCAATCAACTGTCAGACATTTGGAGTTGACGGAATATTTCAAACTCCAAGTGAGACCTAATGAATAGAGGGAGACTGGAATCAATCAACTGTCAGACATTTGGTCTCTGCTTTCAAAGGAATTAACAGCCGGTTTTGATCCAAATATTTATTACTCAATCAGAAAATGTAATCATTATTTATGACTAGTATTTTCTAACAGAGGAATAAACAGAGAGTGGTTTAGATCTTTTATGATTGTGTCAACCCACTGGTAATGACAGGACCAAATGTAAACACAAAATTGGTTCAGCAATTTTAGCATTGCTGCTGAACAGCACATTAAAGTAGAGACACTGCATTGAAGTTCTTTAACAAACACATTAACACAGACATGTGCATTGAAGTAGACATTAACACAGACATGTGCATTGAAGTAGAGATTAACACAGACATGTGCATTGAAGTAGAGATTAACACAGACATGTGGATTAAAGTAGATATTAACACAGACATGTGCATTGACAAATTTAAAATAAACAGTATTTATTATTTGTTTTTTTTTTCCCTCGACAACAAATAACATGAGTGAAAATATAATTATAAAGCCAGTTAGTTTTGGAATTGTTAAAATCAAGACACTAAAACTACAAACCTAATTTCTTTTTCCTTTTCTTCAGAAAGTATGTCAGTCCCAATACTATCTAACTTGAGGAGCTGTGCCAGGTAGGGCTCATTCGAGCAGAGTTTATCCTCAATTTTCTGTACTCGATGTTCCAGGCGAGCCCCCTCTAAGGCAACTGACATTGTTATTGGAATCATTTGATCCTAGAATAAAAAACATTGATGTGGGGAGGGTTTTTTTTTGTATGTTTCACCTTTTTCATTTGGTAACTTACCAAATGAAAAAGGTGAGACAAACCAAATGAAAAAGGTGAGACCAACCAAAGGAAAAAGATGAGACAAACCAAATGAAAAAAGTGAGACCAACCAAAGGAAAAAAGTGAGACCAACCAAAGGAAAAAGGTGAGACAAACCAAAAGAAAAAGATGAGACTTACTTTAGGTAGACTAACATCAGAGCCCCCACTAGAGATGCCATCATCCCCATAGTTTTGTGTGCTGTCTGAGTCTGTCAAACTATTTCTTTTGTCTGGTAAACCTGAGGTCCCAAGTAATGCATTCATGCGGAACAGCAGCTCTTCCACCAGGTACAGGATCTCAGCCATTGTAAACTCCTGCAAGATAGGCAACATGTTTTCAAACAATGCTAGACACATGCTAAGCTTTATGCTCTACATGCATTCATTTTTTTTTTCTATTTCTCTCCATCATATAATGTGTTGTCTATAAACAACTTGAAGCAATTTGATCAGATATTTACATCCTACACTTACAGTCACAACACATGACTTACTGGAGGCAGTGAGTTATCTATCTCCTCATGACAAGCCTCAGGACGGGATCCTGACCACTTGACCATTTTGTCCCAGTAAAATGACAAGAGTTGACTTGCTGGCATGGCAAGTACATGACAATTTTTGGTCTTTTTAAATCTATAGGCCAGGACACTAAAGATCTGAAATTACATTTTTTTTATTAACTCCTGTAGCATACATAATATGAAAAGCCTGAATTAATAATTACTTTTAATAGTCAATAAGGAAGTGAAAAATGAAATCATTTGACCCTCACCCCCCCCCCTCCCCTTTAAATCAACTTAAGAATGCTTACATAAGTCATAATGAAGCCATGACAAAATGTAAAGCTGAACATAAGAACAATATCAAGCCATGGATTTTGTTCCTGTGACAGAACTTGATTGTCCGACCAGTGGAATCTGCGTACGGACAGAGCTGTCATTGCCATCACACTTGACCACAGTGACCTCATGCTGAACTGGACAGCTCCAAACAGCCCAGTGCTCAGGGAGGAGAAGGCCAGAATAAATCCAATATACAGGCTCTGGGGAGACAATCAGCTTTGTTTTATGTTTGAAGACAACATTGACAAGATTAGCTGGATAACAAAGATGGGCAGTTACTTCACTTTAATCTCAAATAATACTAGATAGGCAGTTACTTCCCTTAAATCTCAAATACTACTAGATGGGCAGTTACTTCACTTAAATCTCAAATACTACTAGATGGACAGTTACTTCACTTAAATCTCAAATACTACTAGATGGGCAGTTACTTCACTTAAATGTCAAATACTACTAGATGGGCAGTTACTTCACTTTTTTCTCAAATACTACTTGGCTCCATGTATTCTACTTGACTACACCATGCGTATTCAAATGAATGTAGTTTAACATAAAAATGTGATAAGAAATGTGATAAGAAATGTGATAATATTCAAATCAATAAAAGTTTTTACCCCAGCCAGTAGCAGCTCCTGTTTACACCTGCGGTAGACACTTTGTAAACGCCAGAAAATCTGATGGTACCTCAAGACTTGCAGCAGCTTTAGCATGACACAGAACAACATGACAGAGACTAGGCCTTGCAGTATCTGCTGACACAAGTTAGGCTTGTTAGATTAACTACACAGCTCTTTAAAAACTGCAATCTACTAACTGACAAGAAACAATCCATTGACAAATCACACAACTTCTTACCTGATCCCAAAGAGCCACAAACCCAAGTGGAATAAACTGCTCATAAAAAGTGCTTCTTATGAACTCAACTGCTTCAGAAACCAGAATACAGCGATAAATATAGCACCCAGTATAGAGGAGAAATGATGTACACATCAACAGCTGGAGATGAGACAGAAATGATGTACACATCAACAGTATGTTATTTGTCATCACTTGCTATTCAGTGAATATATATATATATATATATATATATATATATATATATATATATATATATATATATATATATATATATACAGCTATATCTACAGAAAATAGCTCCAAAAATCACCAACTGTCTATGCGTTAGTCATTATTTTTTAAAATGAATCATCTTTTAAATGAGTGATAGAAATTACAAAGCGACACGCAAATCAAATAAGCATGTGTAAAAGGAAGTGTTTAGTCATACCTCAATATAGTTCCAGAAATGATAAAAGTACGATTTGCCCAGCATGATGATATGTTGAAGTTGGTTGTAGCACATCAAGAGAGTTATAACAATACAGAACAACTGGGGATGAAGCAAACCATTCAACCATTTTAGCACCACTGTAAACTTAGAGGACTGTATTATGTACCACCCCTGTAAACTTAGAGGACTGTATTATGTACCACCACAACTTAGAGGACTGTATTATGTATCACCACTGTAAACTTAGAGGACTGTATTATGTACCACCCCTGTAAACTTAGAGGACTGTATTATGTACCACCACTGTAAACTTAGAGGACTGTATTATGTACCACCATTGTAAACTTAGAGGACTGTATTATGTACCACCACTGTAAACTTAGAAGACTGTATTATGTACCACCATTGTAAACTTAGAGGACTGTATTATGTACCACCACTGTAAACTTAGATAACTGTATTATGTACCACCATTGTAAACTTAAAGGACTGTATTATGTACCACCACTGTAAACTTAGATGACTGTATTATGTACCACCATTGTAAACTTAGAGGACTGTATTATGTACCACCATTGTAAACTTAGAGGACTGTATTATGTACCACCCCTGTAAACTTAGAGGACTGTATTATGTACCACCCCTGTAAACTTAGAGGACTGTATTATGTACCACCATTGTAAACTTAGAGGAATGTATTATGTACCACCCCTGTAAACTTAGAGGACTGTATTATGTACCACCATTGTAAACTTAGAGGAATGTATTATGTACCACCACTGTAAACTTAGATAACTGTATTATGTACCACCACAACTTAGAGGACTGTATTATGTACCACCATTGTAAACTTAGAGGACTATTATGTACCACCATTGTAAACTTAGAGGAATGTATTATGTACCACCACTGTAAACTTAGAGGACTGTATTATGTACCACCATTGTAAACTTAGAGGACTGTATTATGTACCACCATTGTAAACTTAGAGGACTGTATTATGTACCACCACTGTAAACTTAGAGGACTGTATTATGTACCACCACTGTAAACTTAGATGACTGTATTATGTACCACCACTGTAAACTTAGAGGGCTGTATTATGTACCACCATTGTAAACTTAGAGGACTATTATGTACCACCACTGTAAACTTAGAGGACTGTATTATGTACCACCACAACTTAGAGGACTGTATTATGTACCACAACCACAACTTAGAGGACTGTATTATGTACCGCCATTGTAAACTTAGAGGACTGTATTATGTACCACCCCTGTAAACTTAGAGGACTGTATTATGTACCACCATTGTAAACTTAGATAACTGTATTATGTACCACCACAACTTAGAGGACTGTATTATGTACCACCACTGTAAACTTAGAGGACTGTATTATGTACCACCATTGTAAACTTAGAGGACTGTATTATGTACCACCACTGTAAACTTAGAGGACTGTATTATGTACCACCATTGTAAACTTAGAGGACTGTATTATGTTCCACCATTGTAAACTTAGAGGACTGTATTATGTACCACCCCTGTAAACTTAGAGGACTGTATTATGTACCACCCCTGTAAACTTAGAGGACTGTATTATGTACCACCATTGTAAACTTAGAGGAATGTATTATGTACCACCCCTGTAAACTTAGAGGACTGTATTATGTACCACCATTGTAAACTTAGAGGAATGTATCATGTACCACCACTGTAAACTTAGATAACTGTATTATGTACCACCACAACTTAGAGGACTGTATTATGTACCACCATTGTAAACTTAGAGGACTATTATGTACCACCATTGTAAACTTAGAGGACTGTATTATGTACCACCATTGTAAACTTAGAGGAATGTATTATGTACCACCACTGTAAACTTAGAGGACTGTATTATGTACCACCACTGTAAACTTAGAGGGCTGTATTATGTACCACCCCTGTAAATTTAGATGACTGTATTATGTACCACCATTGTAAACTTAGAGGACTGTATTATGTACCACCACTGTAAACTTAGAGGACTGTATTATGTACCACCACTGTAAACTTAGATAACTGTATTATGTACCACCATTGTAAACTTAGAGGACTGTATTATGTACCACCATTGTAAACTTAGAGGACTGTATTATGTACCACCACTGTAAACTTAGATAACTGTATTATGTACCACCATTGTAAACTTAAAGGACTGTATTATGTACCACCACTGTAAACTTAGATGACTGTATTATGTACCACCATGGTAAACTTAGAGGACTGTATTATGTACCACCATTGTAAACTTAGAGGACTGTATTATGTACCACCCCTGTAAACTTAGAGGACTGTATTATGTACCACCACAACTTAGAGGACTGTATTATGTACCACCATTGTAAACTTAGAGGACTATTATGTACCACCCCTGTAAACTTAGAGGACTGTATTATGTACCACCACAACTTAGAGGACTGTATTATGTACCACCATTGTAAACTTAGAGGACTGTATTATGTACCACCCCTGTAAACTTAGAGGACTGTATTATGTACCACCACAACTTAGAGGACTGTATTATGTACCACCATTGTAAACTTAGAGGACTGTATTATGTACCACCATTGTAAACTTAGAGGACAGTATTATGTACCACCACAACTTAGAGGACTATTATGTACCACCACTGTAAACTTAGAGGACTGTATTATGTACCACCACTGTAAACTTAGATAACTGTATTATGTACCACCATTGTAAACTTAGAGGACTGTATTATGTACCACCATTGTAAACTTAGAGGACTGTATTATGTACCACCACTGTAAACTTAGATAACTGTATTATGTACCACCATTGTAAACTTAAAGGACTGTATTATGTACCACCACTGTAAACTTAGATGACTGTATTATGTACCACCATTGTAAACTTAGAGGACTGTATTATGTACCACCATTGTAAACTTAGAGGACTGTATTATGTACCACCCCTGTAAACTTAGAGGACTGTATTATGTACCACCCCTGTAAACTTAGAGGACTGTATTATGTACCACCATTGTAAACTTAGAGGAATGTATTATGTACCACCCCTGTAAACTTAGAGGACTGTATTATGTACCACCATTGTAAACTTAGAGGAATGTATTATGTACCACCACTGTAAACTTAGATAACTGTATTATGTACCACCACAACTTAGAGGACTGTATTATGTACCACCATTGTAAACTTAGAGGACTATTATGTACCACCATTGTAAACTTAGAGGACTGTATTATGTACCACCATTGTAAACTTAGAGGACTGTATTATGTACCACCACTGTAAACTTAGAGGACTGTATTATGTACCACCACTGTAAACTTAGATGACTGTATTATGTACCACCACTGTAAACTTAGAGGACTGTATTATGTACCACCACTGTAAACTTAGAGGACTGTATTATGTACCACCCCTGTAAACTTAGATGACTGTATTATGTACCACCATTGTAAACTTAGAGGACTGTATTATGTACCACCCCTGTAAACTTAGATGACTGTATTATGTACCACCACTGTAAACTTAGAGGACTGTATTATGTACCACCACAACTTAGAGGACTGTATTATGTACCACCACTGTAAACTTAGATGACTGTATTATGTACCACCACCACAACTTAGAGGACTGTATTATGTACCACCACTGTAAACTTAGATGACTGTATTATGTACCACCACCACAACTTAGAGGACTGTATTATGTACCACCATTGTAAACTTAGAGGACTGTATTATGTACCACCACTGTAAACTTAGATGACTGTATTATGTACCACCACCACAACTTAGAGGACTGTATTATGTACCACCATTGTAAACTTAGAGGACTGTATTATGTACCACCCCTGTAAACTTAGAGGACTGTATTATGTACCACCCCTGTAAACTTAGAGGACTGTATTATGTACCACCATTGTAAACTTAGAGGAATGTATTATGTACCACCCCTGTAAACTTAGAGGACTGTATTATGTACCACCCCTGTAAACTTAGTGTATTATGTACCACCATTGTAAACTTAGATAACTGTATTATGTACCACCACAACTTAGAGGACTGTATTATGTACCACCCCTGTAAACTTAGAGGACTGTATTATGTACCACCATTGTAAACTTAGAGGAATGTATCATGTACCACCACTGTAAACTTAGATAACTGTATTATGTACCACCACAACTTAGAGGACTGTATTATGTACCACCATTGTAAACTTAGAGGACTATTATGTACCACCATTGTAAACTTAGAGGACTGTATTATGTACCACCATTGTAAACTTAGAGGACTGTATTATGTACCACCACAACTTAGAGGACTGTATTATGTACCACCATTGTAAACTTAGAGGACTGTATTATGTACCACCACAACTTAGAGGGCTGTATTATGTACCACCACTGTAAACTTAGAGGACTGTATTATGTACCACCATTGTAAACTTAGAGGACAGTATTATGTACCACCACAACTTAGAGGACTATTATGTACCACCACTGTAAACTTAGAGGACTGTATTATGTACCACCACTGTAAACTTAGATAACTGTATTATGTACCACCATTGTAAACTTAGAGGACTGTATTATGTACCACCATTGTAAACTTAGAGGACTGTATTATGTACCACCATTGTAAACTTAGAGGACTGTATTATGTACCACCACTGTAAACTTAGATGACTGTATTATGTACCACCATTGTAAACTTAGAGGACTGTATTATGTACCACCATTGTAAACTTAGAGGACTGTATTATGTACCACCCCTGTAAACTTAGAGGACTGTATTATGTACCACCCCTGTAAACTTAGAGGACTGTATTATGTACCACCATTGTAAACTTAGAGGAATGTATTATGTACCACCCCTGTAAACTTAGAGGACTGTATTATGTACCACCATTGTAAACTTAGAGGAATGTATTATGTACCACCACTGTAAACTTAGATAACTGTATTATGTACCACCACAACTTAGAGGACTGTATTATGTACCACCATTGTAAACTTAGAGGACTATTATGTACCACCATTGTAAACTTAGAGGACTGTATTATGTACCACCATTGTAAACTTAGAGGACTGTATTATGTACCACCACTGTAAACTTAGAGGACTGTATTATGTACCACCACTGTAAACTTAGATGACTGTATTATGTACCACCACTGTAAACTTAGAGGACTGTATTATGTACCACCACTGTAAACTTAGAGGACTGTATTATGTACCACCCCTGTAAACTTAGATGACTGTATTATGTACCATCATTGTAAACTTAGAGGACTGTATTATGTACCACCCCTGTAAACTTAGATGACTGTATTATGTACCACCACTGTAAACTTAGAGGACTGTATTATGTACCACCACAACTTAGAGGACTGTATTATGTACCACCACTGTAAACTTAGATGACTGTATTATGTACCACCACCACAACTTAGAGGACTGTATTATGTACCACCACTGTAAACTTAGATGACTGTATTATGTACCACCACCACAACTTAGAGGACTGTATTATGTACCACCATTGTAAACTTAGAGGACTGTATTATGTACCACCACTGTAAACTTAGATGACTGTATTATGTACCACCACCACAACTTAGAGGACTGTATTATGTACCACCATTGTAAACTTAGAGGACTGTATTATGTACCACCCCTGTAAACTTAGAGGACTGTATTATGTACCACCCCTGTAAACTTAGAGGACTGTATTATGTACCACCATTGTAAACTTAGAGGAATGTATTATGTACCACCCCTGTAAACTTAGAGGACTGTATTATGTACCACCATTGTAAACTTAGAGGAATGTATCATGTACCACCACTGTAAACTTAGATAACTGTATTATGTACCACCACAACTTAGAGGACTGTATTATGTACCACCATTGTAAACTTAGAGGACTGTATTATGTACCACCACTGTAAACTTAGAGGACTGTATTATGTACCACCATTGTAAACTTAGAGGACTGTATTATGTACCACCACTGTAAACTTAGATAACTGTATTATGTACCACCACAACTTAGAGGACTGTATTATGTACCACCATTGTAAACTTAGAGGACTGTATTATGTACCACCACTGTAAACTTAGAGGACTGTATTATGTACCACCATTGTAAACTTAGAGGACTGTATTATGTACCACCACTGTAAACTTAGATAACTGTATTATGTACCACCACTGTAAACTTAGAGGACTGTATTATGTACCACCACTGTAAACTTAGATAACTGTATTATGTACCACCATTGTAAACTTAGAGGACTGTATTATGTACCACCATTGTAAACTTAGAGGACTGTATTATGTACCACCACTGTAAACTTAGATAACTGTATTATGTACCACCATTGTAAACTTAGAGGAATGTATTATGTACCACCACTGTAAACTTAGAGGACTGTATTATGTACCACCATTGTAAACTTAGAGGACTGTATTATGTACCACCACTGTAAACTTAGATAACTGTATTATGTACCACCATTGTAAACTTAAAGGACTGTATTATGTACCACCACTGTAAACTTAGATGACTGTATTATGTACCACCATGGTAAACTTAGAGGACTGTATTATGTACCACCATTGTAACTTAGAGGACTGTATTATGTACCACCCCTGTAAACTTAGAGGACTGTATTATGTACCACCACAACTTAGAGGACTGTATTATGTACCACCATTGTAAACTTAGAGGACTATTATGTACCACCCCTGTAAACTTAGAGGACTGTATTATGTACCACCACAACTTAGAGGACTGTATTATGTACCACCATTGTAAACTTAGAGGACTGTATTATGTACCACCCCTGTAAACTTAGAGGACTGTATTATGTACCACCACAACTTAGAGGACTGTATTATGTACCACCATTGTAAACTTAGAGGACTGTATTATGTACCACCATTGTAAACTTAGAGGACAGTATTATGTACCACCACAACTTAGAGGACTATTATGTACCACCACTGTAAACTTAGAGGACTGTATTATGTACCACCACTGTAAACTTAGATAACTGTATTATGTACCACCATTGTAAACTTAGAGGACTGTATTATGTACCACCATTGTAAACTTAGAGGACTGTATTATGTACCACCCCTGTAAACTTAGAGGACTGTATTATGTACCACCCCTGTAAACTTAGAGGACTGTATTATGTACCACCATTGTAAACTTAGAGGAATGTATTATGTACCACCCCTGTAAACTTAGAGGACTGTATTATGTACCACCATTGTAAACTTAGAGGAATGTATTATGTACCACCACTGTAAACTTAGATAACTGTATTATGTACCACCACAACTTAGAGGACTGTATTATGTACCACCATTGTAAACTTAGAGGACTATTATGTACCACCATTGTAAACTTAGAGGACTGTATTATGTACCACCATTGTAAACTTAGAGGACTGTATTATGTACCACCACTGTAAACTTAGAGGACTGTATTATGTACCACCATTGTAAACTTAGAGGAATGTATTATGTACCACCCCTGTAAACTTAGATGACTGTATTATGTACCACCACAACTTAGAGGACTATTATGTACCACCACTGTAAACTTAGAGGACTGTATTATGTACCACCACTGTAAACTTAGAGGACTGTATTATGTACCACCACTGTAAACTTAGATGACTGTATTATGTACCACCACTGTAAACTTAGAGGGCTGTATTATGTACCACCCCTGTAAATTTAGATGACTGTATTATGTACCACCATTGTAAACTTAGAGGACTGTATTATGTACCACCCCTGTAAATTTAGATGACTGTATTATGTACCACCATTGTAAACTTAGAGGACTGTATTATGTACCACCACTGTAAACTTAGAGGACTGTATTATGTACCACCCCTGTAAACTTAGATGACTGTATTATGTACCACCATTGTAAACTTAGAGGACTGTATTATGTACCACCCCTGTAAACTTAGATGACTGTATTATGTACCACCACTGTAAACTTAGAGGACTGTATTATGTACCACCACAACTTAGAGGACTGTATTATGTACCACCACTGTAAACTTAGATGACTGTATTATGTACCACCACCACAACTTAGAGGACTGTATTATGTACCACCACTGTAAACTTAGATGACTGTATTATGTACCACCACCACAACTTAGAGGACTGTATTATGTACCACCATTGTAAACTTAGAGGACTGTATTATGTACCACCACTGTAAACTTAGATGACTGTATTATGTACCACCACCACAACTTAGAGGACTGTATTATGTACCACCATTGTAAACTTAGAGGACTGTATTATGTACCACCCCTGTAAACTTAGAGGACTATTATGTACCACCACTGTAAACTTAGAGGACTGTATTATGTACCACCATTGTAAACTTAGAGGACTGTATTATGTACCACCCCTGTAAACTTAGAGGACTGTATTATGTACCACCATTGTAAACTTAGAGGACTGTATTATGTACCACCCCTGTAAACTTAGAGGACTATTATGTACCACCACTGTAAACTTAGAGGACTGTATTATGTACCACCATTGTAAACTTAGAGGACTGTATTATGTACCACCACTGTAAACTTAGATGACTGTATTATGTACCACCACCACAACTTAGAGGACTGTATTATGTACCACCATTGTAAACTTAGAGGACTGTATTATGTACCACCATTGTAAACTTAGAGGACTATTATGTACCACCACTGTAAACTTAGAGGACTGTATTATGTACCACCACTGTAAACTTAGAGGACTGTATTATGTACCACCACAACTTAGAGGACTGTATTATGTACCACCACTGTAAACTTAGAGGACTGTATTATGTACCACCACCTACACCATCTTGTCAATACACACTACCACTTGACCTACCTCACAACCTAGAATGCAGTTATCCCAGATGGTAATGTAGCGGAACAAATACGTCGACATTATGTACGAGGCTGTGGACACATGCCCACTTGCTTCCACTTCATACAGCAAAGTTAGGGAACTAAAATTAGGGAAATAGAATGAACAGCTTTCTAAATAACTAGCTAACGTTTGTTTATTTATAACTTCATCAGTAAGACAAAATCTAAACTTGACAGTGCTCCAAAACCAGATTTGAATGCCAAATGTGAGGAGGACAACGAAACTGACCTGAATAAATTTGTGGCAGCATTATATAAAGTCATTTCAACAATCACAGCTTTAGTTTGCCTGTTAATCCAGTCCTCAGTTTCCAGGCCAATCAGCTGCTTGATGGCTTCATCCCTGTGGTCAGATTTGAGTGGGTTAATGCAGCACATAATGTTTTCATACTGAATCAACTCAAGTTTATGCTGGGGAATATCTACAAGACCATTCAAACAATCAACTTTATTTAACACTAGCCGTCGGTATCCCTTACGCATGAATTATAGGCCTATATATTTTAATATTTTAATGTTAAACTTGTTTGAGAAAAATATTTTATAAAATAGCCATGGCCAATACGCAATGTGCTTTACTACACGTTGAACGATATTAGTGACAAAGCAAAAGAAATAACTAAATAGCTAAAAACCCGACACATTTAAAATAACATAGGCTACCAATACCTATTAGAAAAACCAAATTATTTACATTATTAGTCAACACAACACCATATTAAATGCACACACAGATTAAGAGACTTAAATGATTCCGTTAAACCCCGCCTGTTCAATGGTATTCATGCTATTTTTTAAATTTGTGTTATTTTTGGCCAAGAAAATTGTATAAATTTCATAGCGTAAGTCTTGATAAGTAGATCTAAATCAAAATTGAATAAAATAGTTCATTTCTTTATATTCTAAAATTGGAAGATGACGCCATTAGTTTTGTTTTCTTTCCATATTTTAAACATGTGGCATGTGAGATCATTGTTGCGTTCTTGTCATGACAATAAACACTTTTCCGGCTGCATAGTTAAAAATGTGTTTCTACATTCGAATATGCCTTTACTTTTATTTTCCTGCTTTAAATAAAATTTAGTTTGTACACTTATAACATCAACACATTATTTTTAACAAAAGTCCATATCTTTAAGTTCTCCACATATTGCTGAACATACTGACCACATCGCGAGAAGTGCGCACATGGGCTTTTATATATTAGGATGGGAATATTCACCATCATGGTAACAAAATATTCAGCTCAAACCTTACCTTGAATGATTAAGCTGGAGTATATATCCAGATGTATCAAGCCAATAGTTTTGCCCCCAGAATCCTCGACTGAAGTGGTTGTCTGTTGCCTGATGCTGCTGTCTGAAGCTGTCTGATGAATTTGTGCCTGAACTGTTGTCAGTCATGTGAAAGCAGTCAAAGTTGGGTGCTAGATAATGTAAACTTTGGCAGGTCTTTGGTGCAAAAGTGAGTTGCCGTAGCTGGACATTTCCAATGACCAGTCCCAAAGTTTCCCCTGGGTGTAAACTCTGATTGCTCCAGGAGGTGTGAGAGTAGAGCGTGTCAATCAAAACAGTCTGGCTCCACCTGTACCAGCCACTGGCAGATCTCACCTTGAGGAAAGATGTGCTGTTCTCAGACCTGGAGAATAAAGTACAAAAATCTCAATTTTCTAGAAACCGATGCATGTAAGTTCAGCTAAAACAAAACAACAGTACAGGATGGAATATAAAATATTTAAGCAGGCAATCATATATATATAACACTTACTGTTTTACAAGAAAGGCGTCCTTTAAAGATTTATTAAGTTGATAATGGGCTGTGGTGTTTTTACCAAATGCCATAATACTTAAGAGTATGAACATGAAGACAAAGAAACAGAAATCCCTGAAAAACAAAATATTTTCATTAATTAAAAAAAAAGAGGTAAATTTTGAAGTGAATAATATAAAAGATTGTCTAAGTGAAACATACATGAGCAAAAGCATGGCTCGTCTCTGTTTGATGAGCTTCTTCCTTGATGACCTCAGCTGTTTCTCTTGTGGAGGTCCAGCAAATCTTAAATATCTTGACCTTGACCTCTCAGCAACACCCTGTTGTATAAATAGATGGTTAACTTTTTCAATACCATTACCCAAGTACTGAGATAAAACGTTAGAGTGTGAACCATTTATTTATATCTGTTCTTAGTGAACAAAATCAAAAGGTTTGATCAGAATCCATTGACCTACCCTTTGTAGCTCCTCCTCTTCCTCAGTCAAATGGCTGTAGGGCTGGATGTAGTCTCGACATATCACTCTCTCTCCATAAAACCCATCCTCATAATGATCAAAGACAGAGGCGTTGTTTCTTTGGCAGAGGGCAGTGTACAGCACAACCAAGAAAATCTGAAAGGACAAATTTATTTCATTCATCACACAATCATCAAAATATATATTTTATTCTCTTAATAGTTAAGTGGAACTAAAGTTGGCCTACACCCTTTAGACAGAAGAGGGAAAAATAACTTTAACAAGGTCAAGAAATGGGATTTTAAATTTTTAAAATTTTATTACACTTCAATTTTTAATACACTGAGGCTTTTTAGCTGTCTTGTTACACACATATAACAACACTGGTTCTAAACATTACAAGTAATAATATGAGAACAACTTACCAACAGAGGCTGTGCAATAAATATACACATCATTAAGCTAAAGTAAACTGATTGAAGCCACATGACGCTCTTGGTGTAGCCAAATCTAAAAACAATGATATAAGCTATTATCATTCAGAAAGTAGAAAAACTGTCAAACAGCACTGTGATAAAATGTGAAGTGTTACCTAAATGTACTAAACAGCACTGTGATAAAATGTGAAGTGATACCTAAATCTATTAAACAGCACTGTGATAAAATGTGAAGTGATACCTAAATCTATTAAACAGCACTGTGATAAAATGTGAAGTGATACCTAAATCTATTAAACAGCACTGTGATAAAATGTGAAGTGATACCTAAATCTATTAAACAGCACTGTGATAAAATGTGTTACCTAAATCTACTAAACAGCACTATGATAAAATGTGTTACCTAAATCTACTAAACAGCACCGTGATAAAATGTGTTACCTAAATCTACTAAACAGCACCGTGATAAAATGTGTTACCTAAATCTACTAAACAGCACCGTGATAAAATGTGTTACCTAAATCTACTAAACAGCACTATGATAAAATGTGTTACCTAAATCTACTAAACAGCACTGTGATAAAATGTGTTACCTAAATCTACTAAACAGCACTATGATAAAATGTGTTACCTAAATCTACTAAACAGCACTGTGATAAAATGTGTTACCTAAATCTACTAAACAGCACTGTGATAAAATGTGTTACCTGAATCCATACATGATGGTGATGGCAGCACAGGCACAAGACAGGCAGAAGCAGAGTGTCCAGGCAATGTAGCGACACCAAAAGGGAAGAAAAAATCTCCAGCTGGTGGCCAGCACCCCCACATCACAATGTTCAACTAGAGAGGACAAGTAGACCCATTGTAAGAGACATTCAGCAGCTGCTCTAGGCAGTTTCTTACATTGTATATTCTGACAGTATAATGAGTAAACCCACCATTCCTAGATTTCTGATTATACAATGTGTAAACCCACCATTCCTAGATTTCTGATTATACAATGTGTAAACCTACCATTCCTATACCTTCTGATAATGCAATGTATAAATCCACCATTCCTAGACCTCTGACAATACAGTGTGCAAACCCACCATTCCTAGACCTCTGACAATACAGTGTGTAAACCCACCATTCCTAGACCTCTGACAATACAATGTGTAAACCCACCATTCCTAGACCTCTGACAATACAATGTGTAAACCCACCATTCCTAGACCTCTGACAATACAATGTGTAAACCCACCATTCCTAGACCTCTGACAATACAATGTGTAAACCCACCATTCCTAGACCTCTGACAATACAGTGTGTAAACCCACCATTCCTAGACCTCTGACAATACAGTGTGTAAACCCACCATTCCTAGACCTCTGACAATACAATGTGTAAACCTACCATTCCTAGACCTCTGACAATACAGTGTGTAAACCCACCATTCCTAGACTTCTGACAATACAATGTGTAAAGCCACCATTCCTAGACCTCTGACAATACAATGTGTAAACCCACCATTCCTAGACCTCTGACAATACAATGTGTAAACCTACCATTCCTAGACCTCTGACAATACAGTGTGTAAACCCACCATTCCTAGACTTCTGACAATACAATGTGTAAAGCCACCATTCCTAGACCTCTGACAATACAATATGTAAACCCACCATTCCTAGACTTCTGACAATACAATGTGTAAACCTACCATTCGTAGATCTGACAATACAATGTGTAAACCCACCATTCCTAGACCTCTGACAATACAATGTGTAAACCCACCATTCCTAGACCTCTGATAATACAATGTGTAAACCCACCATTCCTAGACTTCTGACAATACAATGTGTAAACCTACCATTCGTAGATCTGACAATACAATGTGTAAACCCACCATTCCTAGACCTCTGACAATACAATGTGTAAACCCACCATTCCTAGACCTCTGATAATACAATGTGTAAACCAACCATTTCTAGACTTCTTGCCATCTGAGCTGATATCTGAGGTAGCCTTGACACGGTGCCTCTCTGCTGTAGCCTGACTGGTTGCATCTTCAAAGCCACTTGATGCCTGGTCTGTGTCATCTTCTAGAAGACAGTCAAACTTGATAATGGTCTCCCAAACAGGACATTTATCACAACATTTAGCAACAGCAATTCAACGCTAACAAAACTAGCACAGAGCTCGTAACAACAAACAAGTAAAAGACCTGCTAAAAGTGTCTGCTGCACTAGAGGGGCTGCTAAAGGTCCTGAGAGCTGGGGACTGGTTTGTGTGGTCTTCACACTGTTAGCACTTGAGCGTACCTGGTGTACATAACATAGGTACATACATAAGTTGAATTCAGACATTATAAAAGACTGCCTTACTATTTTACATTTGCTATAGGCTACATAGAATATATTCGTAAGTCTTTTTATAAAATAATCATGGTTTGAAAAGTAGTTAACTTAATCAAATCTGACAGCAAAACTCGTTAAAAACAAAAAAATATCTACTAACAGACTGTTGACGTTTCAGCCATTGCTTCTGGGCCCATTCTTGAATATTCTGCCAGTTTAGGATAGACTGGTCTAGGATGGAATATGTAACTGCAGACTGGGGTGCTGACTCCTCTTCTCCATCACTGACAAAGTCACTCACAGACTTGCCCGCAACAATAGCTTTGTCCTGTTGATGGCCTGGGTAGTGGACCTAAGGTAAACAACCAACTGTGGTATCATGTTGATGGCCTGGGTAGTGGACCTAAGGTAAACAACCAACTGTGGTAACATGTTGATGGCCTGGGTAGTGGACCTAAGGTAAACAACCAACTGTGGTAACATGTTCATGGCCTGGGTAGTGGACCTAAGGTAAACAATCAACTGTGGTAACATGTTCATGGCCTGGGTAGTGGACCTAAGGTAAACAATCAACTGTGGTAACATGTTCATGGCCTGGGTAGTGGACCTAAGGTAAACAATCAACTGTGGTAACATGTTCATGGCCTGGGTAGTGGACCTAAGGTAAACAATCAACTGTGGTAACATGTTCATGGCCTGGGTAGTGGACCTAAGGTAAACAACCAACTGTGGTATCATGTTCATGGCCTGGGTAGTGGACCTAAGGTAAACAACCAACTGTGGTATCATGTTCATGGCCTGGGTAGTGGACCTAAGGTAAACAACCAACTGTGGTATCATGTTCATGGCCTGGGTAGTGGACCTAAGGTAAACAACCAACTGTGGTATCATGTTCATGGCCTGGGTAGTGGACCTAAGGTAAACAACCAACTGTGGTATCATGTTCATGGCCTGGGTAGTGGACCTAAGGTAAACAACCAACTGTGGTATCATGTTCATGGCCTGGGTAGTGGACCTAAGGTAAACAACCAACTGTGGTATCATGTTCATGGCCTGGGTAGTGGACCTAAGGTAAACAATCAACTGTGGTAACATGTTCATGGCCTGGGTAGTGGACCTAAGGTAAACAACCAACTGTGGTATCATGTTCATGGCCTGGGTAGTGGACCTAAGGTAAACAACCAACTGTGGTATCATGTTCATGGCCTGGGTAGTGGACCTAAGGTAAACAATCAACTGTGGTAACATGTTCATGGCCTGGGTAGTGGACCTAAGGTAAACAACCAACTGTGGTATCATGTTCATGGCCTGGGTAGTGGACCTAAGGTAAACAATCAACTGTGGTAACATGTTCATGGCCTGGGTAGTGGACCTAAGGTAAACAATCAACTGTGGTAACATGTTCATGGCCTGGGTAGTGGACCTAAGGTAAACAACCAACTGTGGTATCATGTTCATGGCCTGGGTAGTGGACCTAAGGTAAACAATCAACTGTGGTAACATGTTCATGGCCTGGGTAGTGGACCTAAGGTAAACAACCAACTGTGGTATCATGTTCATGGCCTGGGTAGTGGACCTAAGGTAAACAATCAACTGTGGTAACATGTTCATGGCCTGGGTAGTGGACCTAAGGTAAACAACCAACTGTGGTATCATGTTCATGGCCTGGGTAGTGGACCTAAGGTAAACAATCAACTGTGGTAACATGTTCATGGCCTGGGTAGTGGACCTAAGGTAAACAATCAACTGTGGTAACATGTTCATGGCCTGGGTAGTGGACCTAAGGTAAACAATCAACTGTGGTAACATGTTCATGGCCTGGGTAGTGGACCTAAGGTAAACAATCAACTGTGGTATCATGTTCATGGCCTGGGTAGTGGACCTAAGGTAAACAATCAACTGTGGTAACATGTTCATGGCCTGGGTAGTGGACCTAAGGTAAACAATCAACTGTGGTAACATGTTCATGGCCTGGGTAGTGGACCTAAGGTAAACAATCAACTGTGGTAACATGTTCATGGCCTGGGTAGTGGACCTAAGGTAAACAATCAACTGTGGTAACATGTTCATGGCCTGGGTAGTGGACCTAAGGTAAACAATCAACTGTGGTAACATGTTCATGGCCTGGGTAGTGGACCTAAGGTAAACAATCAACTGTGGTAACATGTTGATGGCCTGGGTAGTGGACCTAAGGTAAACAATCAACTGTGGTTACATGTTCATGGCCTGGGTAGTGGACCTAAGGTAAACAATCAACTGTGGTAACATGTTCATGGCCTGGGTAGTGGACCTAAGGTAAACAATCAACTGTGGTAACATGTTGATGGCCTGGGTAGTGGACCTAAGGTAAACAATCAACTGTGGTTACATGTTCATGGCCTGGGTAGTGGACCTAAGGTAAACAATCAACTGTGGTAACATGTTCATGGCCTGGGTAGTGGACCTAAGGTAAACAATCAACTGTGGTAACATGTTGATGGCCTGGGTAGTGGACCTAAGGTAAACAATCAACTGTGGTAACATGTTCATGGCCTGGGTAGTGGACCTAAGGTAAACAATCAACTGTGGTTACATGTTCATGGCCTGGGTAGTGGACCTAAGGTAAACAATCAACTGTGGTAACATGTTCATGGCCTGGGTAGTGGACCTAAGGTAAACAATCAACTGTGGTAACATGTTCATGGCCTGGGTAGTGGACCTAAGGTAAACAAACAACTGTGGTAACATGTTCATGGCCTGGGTAGTGGACCTAAGGTAAACAAACAACTGTGATAACATGTTCATGGCCTGGGTAGTGGACCTAAGGTAAACAATCAACTGTGGTAACATGTTCATGGCCTGGGTAGTGGACCTAAGGTAAACAAACAACTGTGGTAACATGTTCATGGCCTGGGTAGTGGACCTAAGGTAAACAATCAACTGTGGTTACAAGCTCATGGCCTGGGTAGTGGACCTAAGGTAAACAAACAACTGTGGTAACATGTTCATGGCCTGGGTAGTGGACCTAAGGTAAACAAACAACTGTGGTAACATGTTCATGGCCTGGGTAGTGGACCTAAGGTAAACAAACAACTGTGGTAACATGTTCATGGCCTGGGTAGTGGACCTAAGGTAAACAATCAACTGTGGTAACATGTTCATGGCCTGGGTAGTGGACCTAAGGTAAACAAACAACTGTGGTAACATGTTCATGGCCTGGGTAGTGGACCTAAGGTAAACAATCAACTGTGGTTACAAGCTCATGGCCTGGGTAGTGGACCTAAGGTAAACAAACAACTGTGGTAACATGTTCATGGCCTGGGTAGTGGACCTAAGGTAAACAATCAACTGTGGTAACATGTTCATGGCCTGGGTAGTGGACCTAAGGTAAACAACCAACTGTGGTAACATGTTCATGGCCTGGGTAGTGGACCTAAGGTAAACAATCAACTGTGGTTACAAGCTCATGGCCTGGGTAGTGGACCTAAGGTAAACAATCAACTGTGGTTACAAGCTCATGGCCTGGGTAGTGGACCTAAGGTAAACAATCAACTGTGGTTACAAGCTCATGGCCTGGGTAGTGGACCTAAGGTAAACAATCAACTGTGGTTACAAGCTCATGGCCTGGGTAGTGGACCTAAGGTAAACAATCAACTGTGGTTACAAGCTCATGGCCTGGGTAGTGGACCTAAGGTAAACAATCAACTGTGGTTACAAGCTCATGGCCTGGGTAGTGGACCTAAGGTAAACAATCAACTGTGGTTACAAGCTCATGGCCTGGGTAGTGGACCTAAGGTAAACAATCAACTGTGGTTACATGATGGCCTGGGTAGTGGACCTAAGGTAAACAATCAACTGTGGTTACATGTTGATGGCCTGGGTAGTGGACCTAAGGTAAACAATCAACTGTGGTTACATGATGGCCTGGGTAGTGGACCTAAGGTAAACAATCAACAGTGGTTACATGATGGCCTGGGTAGTGGACCTAAGGTAAACAATCAACTGTGGTTACATGATGGCCTGGGTAGTGGACCTAAGGTAAACAATCAACTGTGGTTACATGATGGCCTGGGTAGTGGACCTAAGGTAAACAATCAACAGTGGTTACATGATGGCCTGGGTAGTGGACCTAAGGTAAACAATCAACAGTGGTTACATGATGGCCTGGGTAGTGGACCTAAGGTAAACAATCAACTGTGGTTACATGATGGCCTGGGTAGTGGACCTAAGGTAAACAATCAACAGTGGTTACATGTTCATGGCCTGGGTAGTGGACCTAAGGTAAACAATCAACAGTGGTTACATGTTCATGGCCTGGGTAGTGGACCTAAGGTAAACAATCAACTGTGGTTACATGTTGATGGCCTGGGTAGTGGACCTAAGGTAAACAATCAACTGTGGTTACAAGCTCATGGCCTGGGTAGTGGACCTAAGGTAAACAATCAACTGTGGTAACATGTTCATGGCCTGGGTAGTGGACCTAAGGTAAACAATCAACTGTGGTAACATGTTCATGGCCTGGGTAGTGGACCTAAGGTAAACAATCAACTGTGGTAACATGTTCATGGCCTGGGTAGTGGACCTAAGGTAAACAATCAACTGTGGTAACATGTTCATGGCCTGGGTAGTGGACCTAAGGTAAACAATCAACTGTGGTAACATGTTCATGGCCTGGGTAGTGGACCTAAGGTAAACAATCAACTGTGGTAACATGTTCATGGCCTGGGTAGTGGACCTAAGGTAAACAATCAATTACATGTTCATGGACTGGGTAGTGGACCTAAGGTAAACAACTGTGGTAACATGTTCATGGCCTGGGTAGTGGACCTAAGGTAAACAATCAATTACATGTTCATGGACTGGGTAGTGGACCTAAGGTAAACAATCAATTACATGTTCATGGACTGGGTAGTGGACCTAAGGTAAACAACTGTGGTAACATGTTCATGGCCTGGGTAGTGGACCTAAGGTAAACAATCAATTACATGTTCATGGACTGGGTAGTGGACCTAAGGTAAACAATCAATTACATGTTCATGGACTGGGTAGTGGACCTAAGGTAAACAATCAACAGTGGTTACATGTTCATGGCCTGGGTAGTGGACCTAAGGTAAACAATCAATTACATGTTCATGGACTGGGTAGTGGACCTAAGGTAAACGACTGTGGTAACATGTTCATGGCCTGGGTAGTGGACCTAAGGTAAACAACTGTGGTAACATGTTCATGGCCTGGGTAGTGGACCTAAGGTAAACAACTGTGGTAACATGTTCATGGCCTGGGTAGTGGACCTAAGGTAAACAAACAACTGTGGTAACATGTTCATGGCCTGGGTAGTGGACCTAAGGTAAACAACTGTGGTAACATGTTCATGGCCTGGGTAGTGGACCTAAGGTAAACAACTGTGGTAACATGTTCATGGCCTGGGTAGTGGACCTAAGGTAAACAAACAACTGTGGTAACATGTTCATGGCCTGGGTAGTGGACCTAAGGTAAACAACTGTGGTAACATGTTCATGGCCTGGGTAGTGGACCTAAGGTAAACAACTGTGGTAACATGTTCATGGCCTGGGTAGTGGACCTAAGGTAAACAATCAACTGTGGTAACATGTTCATGGCCTGGGTAGTGGACCTAAGGTAAACAATCAACTGTGGTTACATGTTCATGGCCTGGGTAGTGGACCTAAGGTAAACAACTGTGGTAACATGTTCATGGCCTGGGTAGTGGACCTAAGGTAAACAATCAACTGTGGTTACATGTTCATGGCCTGGGTAGTGGACCTAAGGTAAACAACTGTGGTAACATGTTCATGGCCTGGGTAGTGGACCTAAGGTAAACAATCAACTGTGGTAACATGTTCATGGCCTGGGTAGTGGACCTAAGGTAAACAATCAACTGTGGTTACATGTTCATGGCCTGGGTAGTGGACCTAAGGTAAACAACTGTGGTAACATGTTCATGGCCTGGGTAGTGGACCTAAGGTAAACAATCAACTGTGGTAACATGTTCATGGCCTGGGTAGTGGACCTAAGGTAAACAATCAACTGTGGTAACATGTTCATGGCCTGGGTAGTGGACCTAAGGTAAACAATCAACTGTGGTAACATGTTCATGGCCTGGGTAGTGGACCTAAGGTAAACAATCAACTGTGGTAACATGTTCATGGCCTGGGTAGTGGACCTGAGGTAAACAATCAACTGTGGTAACATGTTGATGGCCTGGGTAGTGGACCTAAGGTAAACAATCAACTGTGGTTACATGTTCATGGCCTGGGTAGTGGACCTAAGGTAAACAACTGTGGTAACATGTTCATGGCCTGGGTAGTGGACCTAAGGTAAACAATCAACTGTGGTAACATGTTCATGGCCTGGGTAGTGGACCTAAGGTAAACAATCAACTGTGGTTACATGTTCATGGCCTGGGTAGTGGACCTAAGGTAAACAACTGTGGTAACATGTTCATGGCCTGGGTAGTGGACCTAAGGTAAACAATCAACTGTGGTAACATGTTCATGGCCTGGGTAGTGGACCTAAGGTAAACAATCAACTGTGGTAACATGTTCATGGCCTGGGTAGTGGACCTAAGGTAAACAATCAACTGTGGTAACATGTTCATGGCCTGGGTAGTGGACCTAAGGTAAACAATCAACTGTGGTAACATGTTCATGGCCTGGGTAGTGGACCTGAGGTAAACAATCAACTGTGGTAACATGTTCATGGCCTGGGTAGTGGACCTAAGGTAAACAATCAACTGTGGTAACATGTTCATGGCCTGGGTAGTGGACCTAAGGTAAACAATCAACTGTGGTAACATGTTCATGGCCTGGGTAGTGGACCTAAGGTAAACAATCAACTGTGGTTACATGTTCATGGCCTGGGTAGTGGACCTAAGGTAAACAATCAACTGTGGTAACATGTTCATGGCCTGGGTAGTGGACCTGAGGTAAACAATCAACTGTGGTTACATGTTCATGGCCTGGGTAGTGGACCTAAGGTAAAGGTAAACAATCAACTGTGGTAACATGTTCATGGCCTGGGTAGTGGACCTAAGGTAAAGGTAAACAATCAACTGTGGTAACATGTTCATGGCCTGGGTAGTGGACCTAAGGTAAACAATCAACTGTGGTAACATGTTCATGGCCTGGGTAGTGGACCTGAGGTAAACAATCAACTGTGGTAACATGTTCATGGCCTGGGTAGTGGACCTAAGGTAAACAATCAACTGTGGTTACATGTTCATGGCCTGGGTAGTGGACCTAAGGTAAACAACTGTGGTAACATGTTCATGGCCTGGGTAGTGGACCTAAGGTAAACAATCAACTGTGGTTACATGTTCATGGCCTGGGTAGTGGACCTAAGGTAAACAACCAACTGTGGTAACATGTTCATGGCCTGGGTAGTGGACCTAAGGTAAACAATCAACTGTGGTAACATGTTCATGGCCTGGGTAGTGGACCTAAGGTAAACAATCAACTGTGGTTACATGTTCATGGCCTGGGTAGTGGACCTAAGGTAAACAATCAACTGTGGTAACATGTTCATGGCCTGGGTAGTGGACCTAAGGTAAACAATCAACTGTGGTAACATGTTCATGGCCTGGGTAGTGGACCTAAGGTAAACAATCAACTGTGGTTACATGTTCATGGCCATTCAAGGTACTTTCTAAGATATAAGATGTCAATTCTAAAGAAATGTCATTCAGCTAGTTACTGTACTTGAAAATACTTTCTAAACTATATCATGTCACTTCTAGTGACAACATGACTTCTTTGATTTGCAAAAGTTACAATGTAAAAGAGAAAATATTAAATGCTTAGTGTCTTATTAGGGCAGCTTACAATGGAAGAAGGGCCACTGGTAGCAATAATATTCCTGTGTTGAAGGTATAAATAGCAAAAAAGACAATTACCCTGCTCCTTCTAAATAAAAAGCTCAAGAAGATATTGAGTGGTATGATCATGGCACAGCAGCCGCAGCCAACCAGGATGTTCTGCCATGACAAGTCCAGCAGACCAAACTCTCCTCGGATCTGTGGATGACCAGAGAAAATCTCATCAGGGTAAACAAGTCAGTCAGTAGATGGTCAGATGTTTTTCTCTAGGAAAAATTTAACTACCCTATAGGAAACAACCAAGTTTCACTGTTCTTTCCAATGTTGTGATCTAACTTTACCTTTGGTGGGACCTGGCTGAACCAGATGGCACTCAAACACATGTAGGACAACAGGAGAGTCAAGCAGACACTCAGCCTCTGGACTCTGGTGAAGCGACTGTGAGGTGGACATGTCCACAGGGATATCCACGTGTGGAAATCACTCAGGTACTGAGAGCTTTTCCACCAGAAGATCTGTCACGTATTTTAAAACAAACATGACCAATACTTAAACATCAGCCAGAAATTATTATTACTTATATAAAATATTGAATATACAGTTTCAGTTTTGATTACAACAAACTTTCTAATATTGTGTCCAAAATTCAAAATGCGAGCAATTTGAAAGCCAGTTGACCATGACTTACCATGCTGAAGCTGATGTTACTCCCGTCTATGACAGTGAACTCCCTCTCAACATTCCCATCATCTCTGTCTACTGCCAGCCACCTCTGACACAGAAAGTAGTAGACCTGGCCAGCACTCAGGTCTCTGACAACCACCTGACGCAGGTACCACCCAGGTGACGAGCCCGTGTTGTTGTGCCACAGCTGAATCTTATAGATCCTGCCTAGACTTGACGGTAAACTGCAGAGAAAACAGCTGCCATAACTAATCCCAAAATAAAAATTGTTTGTCAAAAAAATGTCTCTAAGAATTCTAGTTATTTTATGAACAAATGAAGTGAAAAGTTAAGATAACAAGAAAAATGTGACAAGTTGCATAGTTTCTCTACTTACGTTACAATGAATCGATCTCTAGAATTTCTTTCAAACATGGGTCGATTGTCTTCACTTATAAGCTCTCTGGTTTCAGACATGCCCTCTTCACCGTGCAAAATAATACTGATCTGTTAGAAGGATACGATTAGCTAGTCACTTAGTAAGGAAGCTATATATCTATTAATACAAGGTTTTGTAGTAAATTCTCTGGTGTTTATTCAACTATTTGAAGACTGTGGTCAATCCGTTGCTTGAATGAAATAGAACAACACAGTTTCCTGTCACTTTTAATTAGCCATTAATCATCCTCATATTTTCCCGCTTGTGCCCAAGGTAAATGAAGCAGATTAAGTAGAGTTCATCTGTTTCAAAATAATGTGCTCTGCACTATGAGCAGCATCCTTTTTTTTTTACCTAACGTGAGTTGGGTACACATCAGAGCTGTGCATTCTTCCTATTTCAATTTTTATGACTTAAATTGACAGAGGAAAATGTTTACATATTTTTGAAGCAAGTGTTTCAAAAGAAAAGTTTATAAGCAGCATTACATCAGGCTTTTCATTGTCTTTCATTTCCAGGGTAAAATTAATATTTAGAAGTGATTGACAAAACCAATTAGAAGGTCAAAACTCTTTCAAAATACCAAACAAACAACAGCCTTATGTCCCAATAAATTTAACTTTATGGCCATGAAAATCTGGCATGTGTTGGACAGCTGAAGAGATGAGACCCACCTTAGATGTAGTCCCAGCACCATGACTGAAGCCTGTCTCCATGATGACTTCATATTTCTGCTGGTGGGAGAGGGAGTTATCCCGCAGAAAAACACAGGTTCCTTTCTTAGCATCATGGACGTCTGCTGGCCTTAGCACCACAGCAAGAGACAGGTACACAGCCAGTAGCACACCAAGCAGGATGATCACTACTGGGTTTTCATGGGGGCTTGAAATAAAATCTTTCTTTAGCTCTACTGTCAATTTTATCTTTGAATACTGATGCACCAAATAAATTAACTTAAACATTTCAGAACATGTCAATAATTACCTGAAAAATTCCTCCACACTTATAAAGGAGAGGTCATTTGGGATCAATTCAAAGTAGCCTCCAAATGTAGTCAAGTGGTTACATCTTGATCAAAGAAAGAAAGAAAAAGTTTTTAACTGGACCAATCAGTGGTTTGATGTGGGTGCATCCAACTATGGCAGGTCTATGTGCATCTAGCAATAATGGCACATCACTCAATTCTGGATCATACTGACCACACTATCCCTTCAATTCTGGCTCACACTGACCACACTATCCCTTCTTATGACAAGTTCAAAGAAAGAGATCAACTCTACTTGATCTACCCCAAGTGATTAGAACAGACCTGCAATGTAGAGCCTCTACACTGGAGGAGGGCAGAACCTGGCAGCCACTACTGCTCCACAAAGAAAGAGATCAACTCTACTTGATCTACCCCAAGTGATGAGAACAGACCTGCAATGTAGAGCCTCTACACTGGAGGAGGGCAGGACCTGGCAGCCACTACTGCTCCACAAAGAAAGAGATCAACTCTACTTGATCTAGCCCATGGGTAAGTGATGAGAACAGACCTGCAATGTAGAGCCTCTACACTGGAGGAGGGCAGGACCTGGCAACCACTACTGCTCCACTTGTTGGACGCATGCTTCCAGTACACACACGTCCCCAGCCACGTACTCAGTGTGTACAGGCGACCTTTGACCTCATTGCTGCGTCTTCTGCCAGAGTTAAAGGAGGCTTCAACAAGGCTTATGTAATAATGCTGACTACCTAAAGAGAGAAACAAAATAATAAGATGGCATTAGTTTTTGTCTATTATAAAATGCAATGATGATTCTAAATTATATCAATTTACATGCTTTCATGAGCTTTAAGATTGTCCTTTACAAGTTTACTTTTGTCTGTCACCTTAACATAACATTACATCATATGATGAATTTGGGAAAATATTTTCATAATACTGCCATATGGATTATGAGCTAAAATATTTTAAACATACCATCAAATGGACCAGTGAATAAAATATTTTAAATGGTCCATCCGATAAAAATATTTTAAACAAACTTCAAATGATCTATGGGATAAAATATTTTAAACATACTGTCAAATGGTCCATAGGATAAAAATATTTTAATCATACCATCATATGGTCCATGGGATAAAAATATTTTAATCTCTTGCGTATCAGGCTCATATTGTTTCTTGAAGACATAATTTTTCAAATTGTGAGGTGGACTCAAAGAACTGTAGTGAGAGAAACCAGAAATAAAATATCACAACATATTTTCAGTTAACATCTACACAACACAAAATTCAATGTGTCAAAATAAAAGTTGAAAGAAGGACAAAATATTTTAAATATTTGAAAATGAAGTCTTTGATATCAATATTTAAAATGCTTTATGAAACAAATGCATATTTTTTATTGAACTAGTTAAGGCTTATGGACTAGAGAGTGTCCTGATTTCTACCAGTGTGTTGATACTTCTGGGTCACCTCTACGGCATGTAATGTAATTACATTCAATATTGTTTCAGTAGGCTGACACATAAATCAATAGCAGCACGCACACACACACACAAACACACACGCATACACACACTCAATAAATACGGAGGAGTACAGTCAGTGGGTATTTGAATTTCAGATAAAGACTTGAGGACTTTATATCAGATAATACAGCTGCACAGATGTCTTACAAATCTAGACCTAGTATAGCTAACATGTTGCTATGATCAGTTAGAGCTAAAACCTTGTAGATGAAATGCACATTGAACCTTAGACATTACAGATTTCTTGTGGTTATACTAAGTGAAAGCTAATTGGATCCATGAATACACCTGTAACTTTGCTGTAGTTACACCCAGTGAATACACCTGAAACTTTGTTGTAGTTACACCCAGTGAATACACCTGAAACTTTGTTGTAGTTACACCCAGTGAATACACCTGAAACTTTGTTGTAGTTACACCCAGTGAATACACCTGAAACTTTGTTGTAGTTACACCCAGTGAATACACCTGAAACTTTGTTGTAGTTACACCCAGTGAATACACCTGAAACTTTGTTGTAGTTACACCCAGTGAATACACCTGAAACTTTGTTGTAGTTACACCCAGTGAATACACCTGAAACTTTGTTGTAGTTACACCCAGTGAATACACCTGAAACTTTGTTGTAGTTACACCCAGTGAATACACCTGAAACTTTGTTGTAGTTACACCCAGTGAATACACCTGAAACTTTGCTCACCTTGTTTGGCCAGGCTTGAGACAAAATTTCAGGCACACCCACCAGGTGCTGTTGCCATTGTTGAGTGTTCAATAACTTGAGCCACAGGTAAAGCAATTAAGATAGTGGAAAACAAGAATATCACAGGTATAAACAATGATCTGAAGGCAATAGAATCAAGCCTTGTTCCAAATACAAGCAATAAACAGAAGCAGTGTTTGTAAACTGTTAAAGAGAAGAGCTTGCTAGCAAGACAAATTCCACAAATGGATGTGATGATGTAAAGAACACATACCCTAGAGAATGGAAGGAGAAAAACAAATGTCACAAGGAGGATAACTAATGATCACACCAGTACGGTGGACAAGGGCAATATAAATTCTATCCAATAGTCAGAGACAGACACATTTTACACAGACACATTCTCCACAGACACATTCTACACCAACACATTCTACACAGACACATTCTACACCAACACGTTCTCCACAGACACATTCTCCACAGACACATTCTACACAGACACATTCTCCACAGACACATTCTACACAGACACATTCTCCACAGACACATTCTCCACAGACACATTCTCCACAGACACATTCTACACAGACACATTCTACACAGACACATTCTACACAGACACATTCTCCACAGACACATTCTACACCAACACATTCTACACAGACACATTCTACACAGACACATTCTCCACAGACACATTCTACACAGACACATTCTACACAGACAGATTCTACACAGACACATTCTCCACAGACACATTCTACACAGACACATTCTCCACAGACACATTCTACACAGACAGATTCTACACAGACACATTCTACACAGACACATTCTACACAGACACATTCTACACAGACACATTCTACACAGACACATTCTACACAGACACATTCTACACGGACACATTCTACACAGACACATTCTCCACAGACACATGCTACACAGACAACAAAATGACTATTTAGACAAGGACAAAATAAACGGTTCTAGATACAGATAACAAAAGAACTATTAATCAGAAAGACAAACAAAGAATGGGATCACAGTGACATTAACAATCCCCCAAAGCAAGCAATAAATTATACATTAGATGAATTGAACCAACATAGTGAAAAAAACTCTTGAGGCATCTAGAGATCAATAGTGTCCGTCTACTGGTGACTGGAATAAGCTCACAAAATTTCGTGTCTACTTTAGCAGGCCACCTTGTGTTGACTATCTTTAGTCCATGAATATTTTAGCCCCATTTATAACATTCATGTACGAAGTTTAATTTCTTCTAATATTTGTTACACACAGTTCTCCTAAACTAAGGCCACTTATTTTATTAAGATGTAACTGAACTACAGCCAGACAAAGAATTTCACTGATATTTATTTTATATATCAGTGATACTATCATTTGAAACTAACTGCTCGATTATATTAAATTAAAACCAATCTCAAATCATTAATACTACAAAGTTTCTCATTTTTTAATACCTTTTTCAGCCATAAATTGTGCCGTATTTTTTCAAACTTAAAGGTAAAATTCCTGTATAAATGATGTAAGGCCCTAGTATAGAGCAGCAAAAGAGCACCATTGTTTTATTTCTCTTGAAACCAATGTATCAATGTCAGGACAAACAGAACTATGCCATTAGCAGTGGGTGCTACACCCTTCAGCCTCTGGTGATTGGCTCAACATGCTCTTCTTTTTTAAATGATTAGAAACTCTTCATGGAAAATCTATCAAGTCATGTGGCTATTTAACAAAGAAGCCAGGACTGAGTTGGGAGCATTACAGATATGTCAGTGATAAGTAAATCATTAGATGTAACTACTGTTTTCTAAAGTTTAGTTACTATAAGTTCTTCTAACTGAATAATAAATAGGAATGTATGTACAAAAGTGAGAGAGAAGAAGTAAATAAAATGTCATGAAATAGAACTGACCTTATGATGACCATGATGGGAAAAGACCTGCCTTCAGCCACAGGCTCCAGCTGTATATGAACATGTAAGTAATTGGCAGGTACTCCTAGGCCATCTTCCCCACTAATGTCATAATAATATTTGGGGAGACTTGCATTCACCTGATGGATATTCATTGTGGCTTTGTCCAGGTAGTGCTGAGTTGATGTATTCTGAGAAAACATTGCCATGTGTCAGATGGGGGCTCATTAGCTTGATTGTAAGAACATGCCTCTCAAGTTGAAGGGTTATAAAAACACAAATGCAATACATACTTTGAATGAAATTATAGTAACAAGAGAAAGTCAAAGAATGTCTTTTTTACATGCTTACAGTAATGACACTGGGTTTTCTAGGTATGATAATATGAATCATGTCATCAGCAGGCAACTCTTGAACATGAACCAGCCCATCACCAAAGCAATTGTAGATGTCCAGTGTGGCGAGTTCTGATTGGATCTGTCAAAGGCCAAATGGATTGTTTATTTTGGTCACCATTTATAAAAAAAAAACAAATTTCATTAAATTAATAACATGTTTAAAGTAAATAAAGAATAACTATTTTTAAAGAATACAATTTCCAAGTATTAAAGTAATTCTTGTATTAAATTAGTAAATGAAAAGAAAGCCCAGCCTGACATACAGAGGGATGAGGGACCTACCAAGGGAAATCAATACAAATTGTGTTAATGTATATGGATCAATTCACACCATCAGCTAGTCAGAAGGACCTAATCAATACTGCTGTTCTTTTCCAGTGATTAAAAAGCTTAATTAGGCTCACATTTATTTCTCAGCCTCAGTCACTTTTACTCTACTTTTATATTCCAAAAGAAAACAATTAGTTTAGAAAACAATAAGAATCAGTTATCTCTTCATAAAATGTGTTGAAAATGCACAAGGTAAATACACCTGAAACTTTGCTCACCTTACAAATAATAGGCCTGAGTCAAGGCTTAAGGCACATCCACCTCGTGCTACCATCTTGAGATGTGAGAAACCTCACTTTACCACAGCTTCAAGCAGCACATTCAATTCTTATTCAATAAGGAAATGACCTTTTGCCCACATTTTTCTTATGCATCCATACAACACAACACACATACAGTTAGTTTTAATATGGGAAGCTCCATTTAAATTACCACTGGTCTACATTGAATCAACTTCTAATGGTGTATATGTACTAGGTGTATATCACACAATGTAGCACATACGTACTTATCAGATGTGTATCAACTTAATGTAGCTTATACATACATACCAGATGTGTATAGTACCTACAGTAACACATACATACATACCAGATGTGTATAGAACCTACAGTAACACATACATACATACCAGGTGTCTATAGAACCTACAGTAACACATACATACATACCAGATGTGTATAGAACCTACAGTAACACATAAATACATACATACCAGATGTGTATAGAACCTACAGTAACACATACATACATACCAGATGTGTATAGAACCTACAGTAACACATACATACATACCAGATGTGCATAGAACCTACAGTAACACATACATACATACCAGGTGTCTATAGAATCTACAGTAACACATACATACATACCAGATGTGTATAGAACCTACAGTAACACATACATACATACCAGATGTGCATAGAACCTACAGTAGCACATACCAGATGTGTATAGAACCTACAGTAACACATACATACATACCAGGTGTGTACTTACCATGTCTGTCTTGTTAGACAGGACAGCAAATGGGTTGATAGAGAAGGACATAGTCCTAGCCTGGAAACACAATCCATTGTGAAGATAGTCAGAGCCAGTGAGGCTCCTGCTGACAACAGCACCACTGATGTTGGCAGCCACAGTATCCTCAGCACTGCTCTTTGATAAGAAAACTCCTAGGCTACTTGGCAGCCGGAACACAACACCGTTCATCTCCAAGGGTGTAGGCTCACCCAGGGTGTAGTGTGAGGCATTTAAAGATAAAAACTTATCTTTTAGAAACAATGATTTCTCACCTATTGAGTGGTACTGAAGCTCTAGCTGGAAAAAATATTACAACAATAATTGATCTTTACAAAAATAAAACAGTCAAACATGGAAAAAATAATGAAGCTTGTTGTTTTTTTTTTTATTTATTGAAGGTATAGTATCAATTAAAATATATTTTAATAGCATTTACCTTTTTTTTAAAAAAAAAAATTTTAAAAATTAAAAACAAATGAATACACTATTAGAGTATTTTAAGGAATGCCGTAAATAAACTCTAATGATAAAGAGTTTTTAAGTTTCAAGTGAGAGAGAGATAAAAAAGTAATGCTCTCAAAGACCTGTCATCAAATCTCAAGTCCTTTAGGATAAAATCCTATTAAGTTGCCCCCAAATGTGATGGGGGATGATACAATCTAATAAAAAGGGACAAGAAAAGACATAAAGCAGAGACAGGCACGCGGCAATCAATCATGAGCACCATCAGCACTGTATTCTGAGCATGGCCACAGGACCGTTGTGAGCTGGCCAGGGATTTGGTGCCAGTGAAAGCAGGGCCAGCTCCCAGACAGGGGAGCAAACCCAGGAATCAATGAACACAACCCATAGTTTTTGACATGAAGACATGTTCCCCCTGTTTGCCTACTCACTGTTTAGATTCATATTACCTCTCTCTCAGAGAAGGGGAGGGGAGGGAAACCAAGAGAATATGGATCCAGTTGTGGCTTGTGAATGGAAATAGAGATCGGGACCTCACGAAAGTTATTATTTTGGAAATGAGTAAAGAAGATTTAGCACATAATACTTCTCAGCATTATTACATTGATAATGGTGGAGGGGCACATTAAACAATGCCAGGAGATTAATAGACAAGAGGGGAGATCTAATCAATTACACACAATTTAGACTCCAGGGAATTGGTGAGAGGGAGAGGGGGACGGGGTGGAGGAGAGAAGAATGGTGAACTGTTGAGTGAACTTAGTAACAGCTTGAGATACAAGACCTTCCACCATAGAAACCACTAGAAGCATTTATAAATGCTAGGTTTTACTGGATAATATTGGTCATTAACATTCTCTAATCTGTTTTATAATGACTTATTCAAACACACTAATGATTGATTCAAATGAACTAACCTGTATGAAATTATTGAGCACATCAAGTGTATCAGTGATGATGCTCTTGTAGATGTGTATTTTGTTCTGGACAAACAGTGTGTGGTTAGAGGAGACAGCTGTGAGGATATTGGACACTAGTTTCATTCCTAAGTTGAGGATCTCTGGGTGCAGCCCCCTTGTGTAGCCACTAACATTATTGACAGCCATCAGTACTTCAGTCTCCACATTGATATCTTTCAGCAGTATTGAAGCTATCAGCACTGATTTGGCATTCAACTGAAATAACAAATCATACAAAACTATTTAACATTGATATCTTTCAGCAGTATTGAAGCTATCAGCACTGATTTGGCATTCAGCTGAAATAACAAATCATACAAAACTATTTAACATTGATATCTTTCAGCAGTATTGAAGCTATCAGCACTGATTTGGCATTCAGCTGAAATAACAGATGACACAAAACTATTCAAACCCTAGGAAATAAATTTGATACCTCAAATAGAATTTCTAGTTAAAAAAAGATAGGGTGTTCAAAACGGAAGTTAGGTAGTTATTTATTCTTTGTTAGGCCTTCTTGACATGTATTAATAAATAAACAAGACGAAATAATATAAAATGATAAATAGCTAAAGAACAATAGCAAAAACTCAGTGTACAAACTAAAACCCATACAAGAAAATCACGGCTGTAGTATTTAGTAAACTTAAACACTATCATTTTCCTCCACCATTTTGGTGCTCTGCTCAGATGTATAGCTATTGATTTTCTATTAGCTGTAGAGCTGGGGTTAGCCATACTCATCATTTATGTGTCAATGTGCCAATGGCTTGAAATAAATCAGGACAAAATAAAGGTTAACGTACTGTGGGCTTTCATCACATAGGTCTACTACTTGACACAACTACAACACACCATCAACCAGCAGCTAATTCAGCAATAGGGAAGAGAGTATCCAACACCACACATAACCTACTCTACCTAACAACCAACACAAGCAAGGACATCATCAAACCTTCAAAGTTGATGAGACTTTCAAACAATATAGTTAAGCAGAAAATAAAACCCTAAAGCCAACAAGGAAAATCAATAGTAGAATTAAGTTATGACTTTGGGCTTCAGAGCTGGGGAGTGCTGCTGTTAAATAATATATCTGACAGCCAGCAACAGCTGATCAACTGGCTACCCTCACTTATTACATTAGCTTTTCTACATACAAAAAAAAAAAAAATTTATATTTAAAACTATAACAAAATATGTTCTGTGTGTAATCTTTACACTTTTATTATAGTAGATTGTACACACTATAGGTAGTATATATATATATATGTATATGTATATATATATATATATATATATATATATATATATATATATATATATATATATATATATATATATATATGTATATATATATATACACACACACACACACACATTAAATGTGATTTTAATTTAATAGTTTTTAATTTTAAACTACTTAATAATAATTTTGGAATGGCCGCCTGAAGTGTAAAATAATCTATCAACAACACCCAGGGAAAAATACTTTATGCCTGTTGGTTTATTGCTTTGTTTTTTTGTTTTTGGCAACTTTTAAATTTTGTACTGATATTTATAAAAGTATAGTCATGTAGGAAGTACACCTTTTGTATTGATATTTATAATAGTATAGTAGGAAGTAGAAATGTGTTTTGGTAGTTTCCCATATGTGACAACTACACAATTTGCACCCACTCCCACCCTGTCCACAAATTTTGGCATAAAACTAGAGACCCAAAAATGACACCCCAAAACCCCACCCTTGCACCAGTTTGGTAAAAATTCAGAAAATGTCTTTGCTAAGTTTATTTCTTATGCCCATCTCTACCAGACTAACCCCCTTTCCTTATACTTCAACACAGTGTTAAGACGTCATTGATGTATGAGGAACCAAAATATGTAAATCTGTTTTGTAATGCTTTAAATTTGTAAAAAGCCAGTTGAGATGTTATTTCTGAAAGAAGCATGTCGTAATTAAAAGGAATCCAGGAAATGTATCTGTGCTATCAAATGATTTAGATCGAGGCAACAGTAATCTCACTTAGACGAGCTTAAGAAGATTCCTCTAAGACAGCAATATGTCGACAGCCGGCCGCTCCACACGATTCACTTGATGAGGGTGATTTACTTGAGCGCTGGATAAATCGATTGGACAAGAAGCCTCCATCAACTGTGTCAGTCGGATGATCAGGCGGCTTTTTAATGGCCTAAGTGAACGATAGGCCAAACAAATCACGCGCTGACCACCTCGCCGGATGACAAGAATTTACCCATTTATTTCAAACGATTGTCTCTCTGCTCTTTATCAACGTCGTTTCAAACACCGCTGTACGCTGACAGCCTCGGGGCTAGACTTTCGCGGGATGGTGGAGGGAAACACTGGAGACGTTTAAAGCCTTGATTAGAACTACCCCAATCAGTCATTGTGTAACGGTCCAGTTACTGGCTACACGTCACAATAATACCGCGTAAAATCTAAACGTAACACTTAGAGAAGGGCTAGAAGAAAATTCAATCAGATTAGACGGCAACAATGCTTAGGTACAACAGCAGGTACTAACATGGTATCAGCTATACAGCCACTGACGTACAACAGCAGGTACTAACATGGTATCAGCTATACAGCCACTGACGTACAACAGCAGGTACTAACATGGTATCAGCTATACAGCCACTGACGTACAACAGCAGGTACTAACATGGTATCAGCTATACAGCCACTGACGTACAACAGCAGGTACTAACATGGTATCAGCTATACAGCCACTGACGTACAATAGCAGGTACTAACATGGTATCAGCTATACAGCCACTGACGTACAACAGCAGGTACTAACATGGTATCAGCTATACAGCCACTGACGTACAACAGCAGGTACTAACATGGTATCAGCTATACAGCCACTGACGTACAACAGCAGGTACTAACATGGTATCAGCTATACAGCCACTGACGTACAACAGCAGGTACTAACATGGTATCAGCTATACAGCCACTGACGTACAACAGCAGGTACTAACATGGTATCAGCTATACAGCCACTGACGTACAACAGCAGGTACTAACATGGTATCAGCTATACAGCCACTGACGTACAACAGCAGGTACTAACATGGTATCAGCTATACAGCCACTGACGTACAATAGCAGGTACTAACATGGTATCAGCTATACAGCCACTGACGTACAACAGCAGGTACTAACATGGTATCAGCTATACAGCCACTGACGTACAACAGCAGGTACTAACATGGTATCAGCTATACAGCCACTGACGTACAACAGCAGGTACTAACATGGTATCAGCTATACAGCCACTGACGTACAATAGCAGGTACTAACATGGTATCAGCTATACAGCCACTGACGTACAACAGCAGGTACTAACATGGTATCAGCTATACAGCCACTGACGTACAACAGCAGGTACTAACATGGTATCAGCTATACAGCCACTGACGTACAATAGCAGGTACTAACATGGTATCAGCTATACAGCCACTGACGTACAACAGCAGGTACTAACATGGTATCAGCTATACAGCCACTGACGTACAACAGCAGGTACTAACATGGTATCAGCTATACAGCCACTGACGTACAATAGCAGGTACTAACATGGTATCAGCTATACAGCCACTGACGTACAACAGCAGGTACTAACATGGTATCAGCTATACAGCCACTAACTTATGGTTCGGATGGCTAGAACAAGATGGAAACCAATCAATCATTGATGGTCAACAGGATGAAAACAGGTTTAATTACCTTCATCACTTGAATTATTCACAGCGTGACTACAAACTCATTTTTTTTTCTCGCGCGGAAATGGACCACTCTATGCTAAAAGCTTTCACAGTGCAGCCAGATCAGTCTTTCTATACCAGTGGCAGCATGCCAGCATGTAACCACGCTAGGGCCAGCATGTAACCACGCTAGGGCTAGCATGTAACCACGCTAGTAACAACAGCATGTAATCACGCTAGGACCAGCATGTTGTAACCACGCTAGGACCAGCATGTAACCACGCTAGGAACAGCACGTAACCACGCTAGGAACAGCACGTAACCACGCTAGGGCCAGCATGTAGCCACGCTAGGACCAGCATGTAACCACGCTAGGAACAGCATGTTGTAACCACGCTAGGGCCAGCATGTAGCCACGCTAGGGCCAGCATGTTGTAACCACGCTAGGAACAGCATGTAGCCACGCTAGGGCCAGCATGTTGTAACCACGCTAGGAACAGCATGTTGTAACCACGCTAGGACAAGCATGTTGTAACCACGCTAGTGACAGCAGTACTAAATTTTGGAGCACCGCTAATATCATCATGACTAAATTTTGGAACACCGCTAATATCATCATGACTAAATTTTGGAACACCGCTAATATTCAAAGAGCTAAGACAACATAAACGTCCCAGACAGTATTCTCAAAGAGGGGAACATTAGCGTTTCTGTCATGAAGGAGAAATTCCTGTAATCCACCAAGTTTCAAGCTCCCCGCATTACAGATGTAACGGTGCATAGCAGCGATGGATCTGCTAACAAAAAATGAGAGGCTTAGTACCCAGACAATTCTGTTTGATACAAGCCCCGCTGCTGAGCTCAACAACAAGCAAACAAGCATTCACAAATTGTTAGCGTATGCTCTCAGATATCAATGGCGCTCAACTCTGTTTCATGTAAACAGGATGGTCAATAAGAAGATTCTACACATCAATTTTAAAGTATGGAATAGAAATATTGATTGCAATGAAACTGAAACGTGATAAATATCCAAACTTGTGAGAGTTCAAACGATATCGGTGCTCTATCTTGAAGTGTGGGGAGTAAGTACCCTTTAAGCGTGGGGAGTGAGTACCCTTCAAAGTTTGGTACAGCTCATTACGTACTGCAGCAACCCAGTGGTGAGTAGATGTCAGACCTGGCCTACACACAGTTGACGTGTGCAGGAAGCGTGCAAAGATTGCACCGGGCCAGTTGCAATATTTCCTCCATATCCGATATCAATCTATAATGCATGGGGATTCCGGGGGATACATTTCAACGGGGTGGACACACCACATTTTAATACACTATTAGAGGCGTGGAACATCACATTTTGATACACTATTAGAGGCGTGGAACATCACATTTTGATACACTATTAGAGGCGTGGAACATCACATTTTGATACACTATTAGAGGCGTGGAACATCACATTTTGATACACTATTAGAGGCGTGGAACATCACATTTTGATACGCTATTAGAGGCGTGGAACATCACATTTTGATAAACTATTAGAGGCGTGGAACATCACATTTTATCAACTATGAGAGGCGTGGATCATCACATTTTGATACACTATTAGAGGCGTGGACATCACATTTTATCAACTATGAGAGGCGTGGATCATCACATTTTATCAACTATGAGAGGCGTGGACATCACATTTTATCAACTATGAGAAGCGTGGAACATCACATTTTGATAAACTATTAGAGGCGTGGACATCACATTTTATCAACTATGAGAGGCGTGGACATCACATTTTATCAACTATGAGAGGCGTGGACCACAACACACAGTTTTTAACTAGATAACTACAGCTCGTTCAACAGCTAACGATTATTTCACTATGCGAGTTACAAAGTGCTCATTTAACACTAGTGATAGCTCATGTCTTTTGACTATTAGTCACTACTTGGTTATCGATTATGAAGGGTTACCCATGAAAGTTTGTCAAGCGATTTAAATCAAATAATTACGCATATGGCTCATTTAAACATTCTAACTCCGTTGTAACTTAGCTATTTTGAATGAAACTATCAAACTAATAGCAATCAAAATCGAGGTACAAGACACATAGCAACACCACTGGAAACAGTAAGGCTCGTATTCATTAATTAGGCAAACGTGATTGGATCAACTGAAACACACTCGATGATTTGGCCATAACGCATACGTGCCGATAAGCCATTGGCAAAGGGTGGGGAGTGTGTTGGACTGAAGCGGGGAAAGTGTCGATGAAGGTAATCAATGAGAGGATTATCAGCGGTTCTAAAATTGTTACACCCCGACCATTGTGAAGGTAATCAATGAGAGGATTATCAGCGGTTCTAAAATTGTTACACCCCGACCATTGCCGCTGGAACATACCGGCGTACAATTGGTGAACACAGCAGCGTACAGTTGGTGAACACAGCAGCGTACAGTTGGTGAACACAGCAGCGTACAGTTGGTGAACACAGCAGCGTACAGTTGGTGAACACAGCAGCGTACAGTTGGTGAACATGCCAGCGTACAGTTGGTGAACACGCAAGCGTACAATTGGTGAACACTCAGGCGTAGAATTGGTGAAACCACCTGAGTACAATTGGTGAACACAGCAGCGTACAATTGGTGAACACACCAGCGAATAATTGTTGCTTTAAACACAAAATATTGAACCCATCACAAATCACTCAACACGATTCTTTCTCTTGTTATATGGGGGACACATGAAAACTAGTCATTTATCTCAAACTATTTTTCCTCCAACTACCCCCCCCCCCCTCCTCCCTTTCCCGCCCGACCAATCTACACACCCCGCCCGACCAATCTACCCCCCCCCGACCAATCTACCCCCCCCCCCGCCCGACCAATCTACCCCCCGACCAATCTACCCCCCCCCCCCCCGCCCGACCAATCTACCCCCCGACCAATCTACCCCCCCCCCCCCCCCCCGACCAATCTACACACCGCGCCCGACCAATCTACACCCCCCCCGACCAATCTACACACTAGTTTAACGCGCGGTCACGCGATCAACGATGCAAAGGCAAGACCTCATTAACTAATGAATCATTCACTTATCGGTTTCAAAAGTTCGGGGAAACTCAAGTGAAATATCTAATGTAAATATGACACGAAGAAAGGAAGTTTTTAATAAACAGCAAGCAAACATAAATCACGAGCTCTGGGGGTTTCTAATATAGTTAGCAAAGTATTTAAACTCGGGACCGATAAAACGCTGGAGAAACACGAGTTAGACGACAAGTAAACAGGCGATATATCCTTGAGCACAGGGAGTACTACTGAAATAGATTGCGCCTAGCCGGGAATGACTAATGTAATTGAATTTATGCCCATCAATACTCATCAATGGCTGCTTCTGTATTTTTTTGGTTCATCTTTTGAACATGTTGAAAGTTTGACGTGGCTGCCCCAATCATTGAGTGTCATGGACAGCGGGAACGGGCGATTGAGCACGCACACATTGTTGGTCGTGCAATCATCCTAATTATGTTAGTTCTCTGAAGGCAGGCCTATCACCCTCTGGAGGGCTGACGCCACACTAGCTAGTCTAATATCATTAATGTTGCATGAGGCCCAGCCATTTGGAAGGCAGCTCCGGTCATCAGCTCTCCGCTAATGCGGCGAGGTATGCGTCCAGAGTAGAAACTGTTGCTGCTGCTTTTCTGGTCAATAGTCACAGGCTTTGTATAAGGTGGTCAAGCCAGTTAATATCAGGTGAATCTATACCGTATAAGTCTATACCAGGTGAATCTATACCATATAAGTCTATATCAGGTGAATCTATACCGTATAAGTCTATATCAGGTGAATCTATACCGTATAAGTCTATACCAGGTGAATCTATACCGTATCAGTCTATACCAGGTGAATCTATACCGTATAAGTCTATATCAGGTGAATCTATACCATATCAGTCTATAGCAGGTGAATCTATACCGTATAAGTCTATATCAGGTGAATCTATACCGTATAAGTCTATATCAGGTGAATCTATACCGTATAAGTCTATATCAGGTGAATCTATACCGTATAAGTCTATATCAGGTGAATCTATACCGTATAAGTCTATACCAGGTGAATCTATACCCTGTAAGTCTATTACAGGTGAATCAGTGTCAGTCGGACTTGCAGTTTGTATCAGGTTGGTTTGTACCAAGTGGTCAGGTGGTTTTGGTTCCCTGGTCAAATATGACCCCGACAAAATGTGATGTGACTGACCAGAAAGTTTGACATACGAATCTAAAAACATGTCGACACCAAGAACACACAGCAACAAGAGAAACAAGAGAACTTGTCTACAATCTGCCAGGTCAGTGTTTGATGGCTGACATAGTCACTAGGAGCAAGGTACACACAAACTAATGATCTCATGTACGTAGTTGACGGTAGTTAAACAATGCAGGGAATAGGTGGATTAGGCTGGATGGAAGTCTAGCTAAGTACACCACAGTAAAGGTCGGCAATGTTTGGCCGGGGACTACAAGACAAATAATAAAAATAACAGGTACCTTTTCACATGGAGGTACAATTACTTTTAGCAAACGTTCGACAGTAGTAGCAAGTGGAAGAATCAGGAGAGTACAGAAACAACGTCACACATGCATTCCGTTACAATTTCAATTTAACCAGTGTTTAAAATGCGAAAGAATAAGAAAGAAAAGTAATTAAAAAGTAATAGGAAAGAGAAAGAATTTAAATTTAAAAAAATTTAAAACAGAAAAAGGTGAAGAAAAAAAAAACAACAACAAAAAACACCAGACAACTTACCTGATGTGGAAGATGTGTGGCTTCAATAAGACATTTTAAAGCATTAATGATTTCCACCTGTTAAACAAGAAAAAAAATGGAAAATACAATAGGCCTAGCAATTAATGACGGTATTTATTTTCCTTCTTAAAACTAATATGAGAACTAAGTGCAGAATGTATATGTATATGTATGTATGTATATATACATATACATATATATATATATATATATATATATATATATATATATATATATATATACATATATATATATTGATATATATATATACATATATATATATTGATATATATATATACATATATACATATACATATATATATATACATATATATATATACATATATATATATATATACATATATATATATATATATATATATATATGTATATATATATATATATATGTATATATATATATTTGTAAATATATATATACATATATATATATATATATATATATATATATATATATATATATATATATATATATATATATATATATATATATATATATTGCTCCATGATAACCTTAAAGTGTGAAGTGTTAATTTTGTTTGATGGTAGCATTAAAATGTGAAGAGTTAATTTTGTTTGATGATAGCATTTGTGAAAAAAAAATTCTATATCGAAACAAAAGTTCTACGAGATTAATGTCAGCCAAGTGGGGGACAAATGAAAGAAATGAAATCAATATACTAGAGAAATTATTCATTTATGCTGGCTATTGCTTCGCGCTTGAAAAGAAATTATTTTTAAACGATAGAACATTAAATGTACAATTTGTCAGACTTGAGAGATAGCATGTGTCTTTTTTTTTTTAAATGCACAACTGAATTTCTGTTTACAAGTTTGAGTTTACTATTCTAAATGCTCCGTTTTGAGTTCACTTTGTTTTTGTCACTTTTGCTGTCCTCCAGCTTTTAAATGTGCCCCTTTGAATCCACGTTTACCCTATTTAATCCTATGGTTGTTAAAAACCGTGGAAAAGAATACAATCGCAACTATTTTAAGCAAATTATTTATTAATATAATAAAATTAAAAATAACATTGTACTTTGCATTTTTCTTCAAATAACGATAGCTAACAATAATTCTGTATTTTTTAATTTAAGTTTCTTTTCCTATTATTATTAAACAGTGTTTGAGTATTTCTCTGACTGACATTCCTCCCAATCTAACCCCTCCCCCCCCCCCCCCCACACCCCACACACACACATTCTACTGCCCCCATCCCTTAACCGTTGGAAAAGTTCAATACACTACACTGAAATAAAAAGATACCAGAAAGACTATTAGGTTCACAGAAAGAGAAGAAAGAAGGGAGACTACACTAGACTACAAAGGGAAGTAAAAAAAAACGTCACTGGGTTTACACATTGATGTGTAACAGATATTTATTGGATACAGACAATGCTTTACCCCGTCCAAAGGCGGTACGTTTCTTGTACAGTTCACAATGATACCATGTTGACTTGTGTCACATGCATCTTAAATGTAACCTACTGACATGACAAATGTAACCTACTGACATGACAAATGTAACCTACTGACATGACAAATGTAGCCTGTTGTAAAGATGTGTGTGCATGTTCAGCCTCTGAACGTAGAGTGAAGTTAACGCCACTCCACGTAGACTGAAGACAACGATGTAAATGGACGGACATGGAAGACGACACCCCGATGGTTTGTCTATCTGTAGGGGTGCACCACGTTTGCTGGTCAACTAGACAACGAGACGACTGCCAGTTTGTACCCAACAGGTGAATGTGTTCGTACTTGCCGCGTGTTACAGCGGTTAGATTGTACACCAGGCGTATATCCTGTTCTTATTTCACCCACACTAGACATTTACGTCAAGACTAAATAATCACTCGTTTCAAGCTCTCTATTTTTAAAACTACTGTCACCGATATTTTAATAACAGTTTTTGGTTGTCAAAAACACGCTCCGAAAATACTGTGAATCGTCAAGACGTTAAAAAAAGCTACAGTAAGTTTTAAAAAAAAAATTAAAAAAAAAAAAAAACCTTTGAATAAAAAAAAAGAATTTATAGTTGCGTCTAGTCAACAAGCCGGTGCGATATTCACCATAGTGAAACCGCAAACAGTATATGTGAGATAATTTACGTAGGCTTATAGGCTCCAGACCACCATATTTGTAACCTTATCTCCAGCGATGGTCTCTATAGCTGCAGCCCTAATGTAAGTATAGTCTCTAGACAATCATATGTTTCTGTAACCTTATCTCCAGCCATGGTCTCTATAGCTGAAGCCCTAATGTAAGTATAGTCTCTAGACAATCATATGTTTCTGTAACCTTATCTCCAGCCATGGTCTCTATAGCTGAAGCCCTAATGTAAGTATAGTCTCTAGACAATCATATGTTTCTGTAACCTTATCTCCAGCCATGGTCTCTATAGCTGCAGCCCTAATGTAAGTATAGTCTCTAGACAATCATGTGTTTCTGTAACCTTATCTCCAGCCATGGTCTCTATAGCTGCAGCCCGAATGTAAGTATAGTCTCTAGACAATCATGTGTTTCTGTAACCTTATCTCCAGCCATGGTCTCTATAGCTGCAGCCATCATGTAAGTATAGTCTCTAGACAATCATGTGTTTCTGTAACCTTATCTCCAGCCATGGTCTCTATAGCTGCAGCCCTAATGTAAGTATAGTCTCTAGACAATCATGTGTTTCTGTAACCTATCTCCAGCCATGGTCTCTATAGCTGCAGCCCTAATGTAAGTATAGTCTCTAGACAATCATGTGTTTCTGTAACCTTATCTCCAGCCATGGTCTCTATAGCTGCAGCCCTAATGTAAGTATAGTCTCTAGACAATCATGTGTTTCTGTAACCTTATCTCCAGCCATGGTCTCTATAGCTGCAGCCCTAATGTAAGTATAGTCTCTAGACAATCATGTGTTTCTGTAACCTTATCTCCAGCCATGGTCTCTATAGCTGCAGCCCTAATGTAAGTATAGTCTCTAGACAATCATGTGTTTCTGTAACCTTATCTCCAGCCATGGTCTCTATAGCTGCAGCCCTAATGTAAGTATAGTCTCTAGACAATCATGTGTTTCTGTAACCTTATCTCCAGCCATGGTCTCTATAGCTGCAGCCCTAATGTAAGTATAGTCTCTAGACAATCATGTGTTTCTGTAACCTTATCTCCAGCCATGGTCTCTATAGCTGCAGCCCTCATGTAAGTATAGTCTCTAGACAATCATGTGTTTCTGTAACCTTATCTCCAGCCATGGCTCCAGCCATGGTCTCTATAGCTGCAGCCCTCATGTAAGTATAGTCTCTAGACAATCATGTGTTTCTGTAACCTTATCTCCAGCCATGGTCTCTATAGCTGCAGCCCTAATGTAAGTATAGTCTCTAGACAATCATGTGTTTCTGTAACCTTATCTCCAGCCATGGTCTCTATAGCTGCAGCCCTCATGTAAGTATAGTCTCTAGACAATCATGTGTTTCTGTAACCTTATCTCCAGCCATGGTCTCTATAGCTGCAGCCCTAATGTAAGTATAGTCTCTAGACAATCATGTGTTTCTGTAACCTTATCTCCAGCCATGGTCTCTATAGCTGCAGCCCTAATGTAAGTATAGTCTCTAGACAATCATGTGTTTCTGTAACCTTATCTCCAGCCATGGTCTCTATAGCTGCAGCCCTAATGTAAGTATAGTCTCTAGACAATCATGTGTTTCTGTAACCTTATCTCCAGCCATGGTCTCTATAGCTGCAGCCCTAATGTAAGTATAGTCTCTAGACAATCATGTGTTTCTGTAACCTTATCTCCAGCCATGGTCTCTATAGCTGCAGCCCTAATGTAAGTATAGTCTCTAGACAATCATGTGTTTCTGTAACCTTATCTCCAGCCATGGTCTCTATAGCTGCAGCCCTAATGTAAGTATAGTCTCTAGACAATCATGTGTTTCTGTAACCTTATCTCCAGCCATGGTCTCTATAGCTGCAGCCCTAATGTAAGTATAGTCTCTAGACAATCATGTGTTTCTGTAACCTTATCTCCAGCCATGGTCTCTATAGCTGCAGCCCTCATGTAAGTATAGTCTCTAGACAATCATGTGTTTCTGTAACCTTATCTCCAGCCATGGTCTCTATAGCTGCAGCCCTAATGTAAGTATAGTCTCTAGACAATCATGTGTTTCTGTAACCTTATCTCCAGCCATGGTCTCTATAGCTGCAGCCCTAATGTAAGTATAGTCTCTAGACAATCATGTGTTTCTGTAACCTTATCTCCAGCCATGGTCTCTATAGCTGCAGCCCTAATGTAAGTATAGTCTCTAGACAATCATGTGTTTCTGTAACCTTATCTCCAGCCATGGTCTCTATAGCTGCAGCCCTAATGTAAGTATAGTCTCTAGACAATCATGTGTTTCTGTAACCTTATCTCCAGCCATGGTCTCTATAGCTGCAGCTCTCATGTAAGTATAGTCCCCAGACAGGGCAATAATGTGCGTGTTACCTTATCAGCAAGACTGCCGCCCTAGGTCTTTCAGCTGTAATTAAAATGGTCCTTAGCTCGGTACAGGGATCTAATACAATGGGACGGGCGACATTCGGTCGTTGGCCAACAATAGACGGGAAATGAAAAATAAACAAGAAGAAAAAAAAAAGGACATAAAAATAATAAACAGGATCAAGGCAGTCAATATATTGTTAGGCAGACAAGACAGATAGCTGTACACAGCGCTGGGGCCCACAACACACTCCACACGTTCGGCCGGCTTCAATGGGACTATTTATAGGGCATACACAAGACGTCAACTTGAAATTAATTAGCTTGATAAGGGGAAAATAACATCAGAATTTCAGGGCACGGCTGTTAATATACCAGTTAATGTGTATAAAACATGTATCCTTATCCATGTTTACTTTAAGTAGTTACCTATTTCCTATGTTATGTAAGATGTTCTCCATATAATTTGTAACGTTTGGCCGATGGATCTAAAATCTAATAAAATTCCCCATGGAATTTGTAACACATTCCTCATGTGTCGTATACCATTCTCTATGTAACTTGTGACATATTGGCAATATATCTAATAACATTCCCTGTGAAATTTGTAACATATTCACTATGTTTAACTAACATACTCTCTAAGTAGCTAGTAACATAATACCCTTGTATCTAATAACGGTCCCTATCTAGTATAATTCTCCATGCAACCAGAGTTTCTTCTAGGCATCTCTTCGGAGGGGGGGGGGGGCGCGAAGAAAGTCTACCACCCTCCCCCCACCCGAACGAAATGGAATTTATATAGAAAATATATACTTTTAACGATGTCCCCCCCCCCCCTCCCCCGGAGAAAAACGTCTGGAAGAAACACTGCATGCAACACTCGCTACATATTGTCCATGTAACTCACAACTTATTGTCCATGACAACATATTGTCCATGTAACTCACAACATATTGTCATACTGTCCATGTAAATCACAACAAATTGCCCATGTAACTCACAACATATTGTCCAATAAACTCACAATATACTGTCATACTGTCCTTGTAACTCACAACATACTGTCCATGTAACTCACAATATACTGTCATACTGCCCATGTAACTCACAACATATTGTCCATGTAACTCACAACATATTGTCATACTGTCCATGTAACTCACAACATATTGTCCATGTAACTCACAACATATTGTCATACTGTCCATGTAACTCACAACATATTGTCCAATAAACTCACAATATACTGTCATACTGTCCATGTAACTCACAACATATTGTCTATGTAACTCACAATATACTGTCATACTGTCCATGTAACTCACAACATATTGTCCAATAAACTCACAATATACTGTCATACTGTCCATGTAACTCACAACATATTGTCTATGTAACTCACAATATACTGTCATACTGTCCATGTAACTCACAACATACTGTCCATGTAACTCACAACATACTGTCCATGTAACTCACAACATACTGTCCATGTAACTCACAACATACTGTCCATGTAACTCACAACATACTGTCCATGTAACTCACAACATACTGTCCATGTAACTCACAACATACTGTCCATGTAACTCACAACATATTGTCCATGTAACTCACAATATATTGTCCATGTAACTCACAACATACTGTCCATGTAACTCACAACATACTGTCCATGTAACTCACAACATATTGTCCATGTAACTCACAACATACTGTCCATGTAACTCACAACATACTGTCCATGTAACTCACAACATACTGTCCATGTAACTTACAACATATTGTCCATGTAACTCACAACATACTGTCCATGTAACTCACAACATACTGTCCATGTAACTCACAACATATTGTCCATGTAACTCACAATATATTGTCCATGTAACTCACAACATATTGTCCATGTAACTCACAACATACTGTCCATGTAACTCACAACATATTGTCCATGTAACTCACAACATACTGTCCATGTAACTCACAACATACTGTCCATGTAACTCACAACATACTGTCCATGTAACTCACAACATATTGTCCATGTAACTCACAACATATTATCCATGTAACTCACAACATATTCACTTGTTTCGCTCCAATATTTCACACACTCTATTTAGCCAACACGTTTCCTGTGGGCCTCTTCAATCAATCTAAGTTATAAAATAGCTCTCAAAAACTTGAGCGATGCTTTCAAAAACTCACATCCAAATAGTTTCGAATGTCTAAAAAATTCTGCCAGGCATTGGCCGGTAAAAGAAAATTTGATTCCCGCCATCATATTCACATCTATGTCGATTCTCTTCCACCCCACCCCCCCCCCCCTCTCCCCCCGTTTCGCGGTCTCCCCCACGTTCACGTCTGGGCAAATGAATAACGGTGAAGATGAGCGTGACAAGCAGAACTGGAGAGATTGTTTAAGTCCAATCATATGTCTGCAGTAGGATCAATAGTGCAATTTCCGCCATCATAGGACCCAGCCGTGGTCTCTCATCTTTTTGCACGTAACCAATTCCAGCAACATTAAAGTCGAGTTTATATTTATTGACGCCCCGTGTCTCTTTAACGCACAAACTCCAGTTTCTTGGGCTTTGTTTTTGTTTGCGACAATACAAGCTTTTAATGTTGACAAAAAAAAAATAGACTCGACAGCCGAGGGACAGTTTTAAATTATTGAACAAACATTTCAAGTGCTTAGATGAGAAAAGCCGAACCATATTTAATGAATGGCATGTAGCTCTGTTAAAAGCTCGGGTTTAAAATTAAAGGGAGAAAAAAAAAGGAATATTTAAAGTTCTAAATGAACTTTACATTGCAAAAGAGTAGGCCAAAAAGGTAATTTAAACATTGGCTCGATTGGAATTTAAAAATGGTTTTAAATACGCGGTATTAGCTTCAACAAAAATTATGAGATTGTGTTTATTTTGACGCATCAACAATAGCATGAATAATATAACGAAGGTAAAAACGATACAATTCATTAACTAAAGATACATCCTTTCATTTAATAGCATATAAGGCATTCATTACACTCTAATTTATAAGGAAACTTTTGAAGCTTATTTTTGGGTTCCTTCTTCAGTTACTTTTTTTTAACGTGTAGGCCTATATCCAATAGCATTTGAAGGTAATAGATAAAAGAGATAATCCACTTAAGACTGTAGGTATTTTTAAAAAATCTACTTATGACTGGAGGTATTTAAAAAAATCTACTTATGACTGTAGGTATTTTTAAAAAATCTACTTATGACTGGAGGTATTTTTTTAAAATCTACTTATGGCAACAGGAAGGTTGCCTCCAGATTGGGCGCAAGTTGTCATGTCTAATCATAACAATGTTACTGTCTTTCACATGGCCGGCAGTTACTCACGTGCTGGTCATACAGCCAACATAATTCAATTTACCAGGGAACCCATTTCCACTTGCCGTACGGGGCCGGGGCGACATTTGGCGGACTATGGGTGTTGTATTAGCTAAGTCTGTGAACTCGCGTAATGAACCAGCGCTCAGTTTCTCACTCCACTGGCCGAGCCAGGGAAGGAAAACTGACAGCAAGAAACCTAGTGCGCCCCCCTGCACCTTCTCCTAATTCAACACTGAGGGAAGATGAGTTTTTTCTGCTCTGATTCAAATCATGGTCTCCGCCAGCCTATTCTCTAGAGTTCTTTCACTCGACCACCTCCCCTCTCCCAGCTAATCTGATAGTTAATGAAGATTGATCCAGGCCTCTTTACTCCCGGACTCCTTCCTCCCTGTTGCAGTCCTTTGACTAATGGATTGCGCTTTAGCGGTATCCAGCCTCCCAGTGTCTGCTGTATCAGGCAAGCGAGGACTGGAATGCCCAGTTGATTTTTTCACACCCCACCCACCCTCTATTCCTAGGGGGAATTCTAGTACTTAAATGTTGTTAACTTTTTGAGACGCCACCCTCTTCAAATGCTTTAAAATTTGTGTACATAGTCATGTTTGAGGAATTTGAAGAATATATACTTAAAATGTATTTTAATTACAATATTAGGAGTACTGAGATCAGGTAATGTTTACTTTTCTAAGCCTGTATTATACAACGTAAACATTTTTGTAAGAGAAGGGGGGGGGGGGGGGACTTGGATTAAAAACTCAGTAGTGTATTTCAAACAGGACTTACCTCATGTCGCAGTGGAATGTAGCTGAGACTCTCTATAATGTTGGACCTTATGTCTTCCCCAGCTTGTAGAGGAGAAGCTTGGGTGTCCTCCAGTGGAGCGTGAGCGTTGAGCTGTAGGGCCAGCTGTGTGAGGGACTCGAGCAGGTCATAGCTGGAATCTTCGTACACCGAGCTGGCCGCCAGTCTGTGCAGGGTGATGGATTCATTGCTGGAACACAGAAAACCAACGTGGAAATACTTTTAAAACGTCTGTTTGTGTCAGTCGTGCTGAAGCTTATTTATGTACGGCTTCAACGCTAAACCATTGATTGCCACCAGTCGATATCTCCAAGTATAAAATTGATTTTTCTGTCTAAAATCACGGGACCGACGAAATTTATCTTAGACACTTAGATAATCAATAAATCTAAGTTAGGGGATGATATGAACAGGTTTACCCTTTCGAATTAAATACATGAAGGGCAATGTGGGCAATCAGATAAGAAACAGAAACGAAATCTAAAATAGGAATAAATAGCATGATTAAATAATTCTGTACCTATGTACAGAGTTTCCTTCAGGCCTCTCTTCGTGCCCCACCCTCCCCCACCGAACGAAATAGAAAAAATGTGTTATGTATAATTTCTAAAGAAAATATATACTTTAACTAGTGTCACCCCCTCCCGCTTCAGAGAAAAATGTCCGAAATAAACACTGCTGTGTATCGTCGGGAGAATAACAGTAGCATTAACATTATTACCAATTATACTCACGGACAGCGGGTTCTAGTTATTTTATCAGTCACAGTAAAGAGCCGACACGTTTTTTATAAGATATTAAGTGCTAACTACAATTAAGAAAATGACTATATTTAGGACATAGAAAACTAAAATTTCTGGTAAACTATGGTTTGTGGGTGAGTGGATGACAGTGGTGGGGAAACGATTTAAAAGAGAACCAGGGAGAAAAATCCATTGAAGTTTGAATGTAATTTATCCCAGGAACTAACATGACGCAGTGTTGACGGTCTAGCCACACGCCACATCAGATGGCATGACTGCTCTAGGAGCAAATGGAAGCAAACGTGACATGATGATACTGGCTGACGTTTCAAACTCTACGTAAACATCACGCAATCGACACTCTATCTAGTCAAAGGTTGGGAAGGGGGGGGGGGGGGTGGTTTACATTCACAATGCCGTGTGATACACATTGTTTCACTTTAAAGAAAAGAAACAAGCGAAAATAAAACGTTCATTAAACTCTCTCAGACGCCAATGTACACAAACTTTATGACAGCACTGTACCGAACTATAAACATACACACGCTCACACACATACACGAATGCACACACACGCACGCACACACACATGCACGCACTAACACACAACCTAGAGAGAAAAAGTAGCTCCGATACTTCGGTAAACGTTAAGAGTAGGTCTGACACATTAGTGCGGTAAACTTAGATATGTGTTTGGGAATATCAGACACCTCCAAACAGTGGTACATTCGAGTAGTTATGACACATGGGCGCACAGTAATATACTACAGTAGTTATGATATATCTATAGTGATAGTAGTAATGTAGTCTACTACATTGGTCCAGCGACACATTAGAGTAGTTGTGACACATCTGCACACAGCGACACATTATAGTAGTTGTGACACCTCTGCACACTGCGACACATTATAGTAGTTTTGACACATCTGCACAAAGCGACACATTATAGTAGTTGTGACACAACTGCACACAGCTACACATTATAGTAGTTGTGACACAACTGCACACAGCGACACATTAGAGTAGTTATGACACACCTGTACACAGCGGCACATTAGTTATGACACACCTGCACACAGCGACACATTAGAGCAGTTGTGACACACCTGCACACAGCGGTACAGAAGAGCAGTTGCGACACATCTGCACACAACGGCACATTAGAGTAGTTATGACACACCTGTACACAGCGGCACATTAGTTATGACACATCTGCACACAGCGGCACATTAGAGTAGTCAGTTTTGACACATCTCCACACTAGAATAGTTTTGACACATTTGTATACCGTGATAGATGAGACTAGTTATGACACCCTAGTACACGGCGATACATTAGAGCAGTTGTGGCACGTGGCGAGGCAATATAAACTGGCTTAGCAAATGATATTCGAGCATTAATACAACCATCGATCGCTTTGGTCATACTCATCAATTTGTTGACACTTCGCTGGAGGGAAAATCTCTATGCGCATTTAACTCAGCGAAATCAATGTGGCCTATGTAACATTACTCTTTAAAAAAGTATTTTCCCACAATAAGCAGAGATGTTTAATAAGTTGTTTTATTAAATGACCACTACTACAGCCGATGAGTTTGCCTGTGTCAGTTGTGCTAAGCCATGCACTAGTGTGTAGGTGGTTGCTAGTAAACGCAGCAAATGTCGGTTTCTTGTGGCCCCCCACTCCTGGCTATTTATACAGGCAAACCTGTGTCGCCTGGCCTGTTCAAACAGCCACATCCTCGGCCATTGATCAAACAAACCCGAGTTCAGGCCTGCCAGTCAAATTAACTCGCTGTCCAGGCTACACATTATTGCTACATATCTCACCTACAGGCCCAGTAGGCAATCATATTGCTGTCTATACCCATTCATTTTTAATAGGTGAACATAGTAGAATAAAGCTATAGTAAGTGTGATATCTTTGCTCTCCTCCACGCTGACGTCAAATATCCATTCTAATGATGGGCCCAACTATGCATCGTGTAAGCTAATCACCACGTAAGCATGCCAAAGTCAAATCCAGCCATACTTCTTCAAGCTGAGGCCTGCGTACACCAAACCTCAGCCGCTGTGGTGCAGGGGTCCGCTGTACAATGGATGGACACCTCGAACCAAGCTCAGGTTACTGATACAAGGACGGCTTGACTAGCAACGTAAATCACTGATTCAGCTGTCACTTTCCAACGGCCTGTTATGCTAGGCACACAACGCTTAGCGTTATCCGATCGACGCTAGCAAGAAAATTATCTTACCCTCAGAGCCTTTCCCCAACAGGCGATTCACGGGCACAAAGGCGACATTGTTCAATTCCTAATACCAAGATCAAAAGCTGGTAGAGTTTTGTCAAGGGGCGCCCCACCATACAAAGGCCCGTTTGTCAGATGACGGAAAGGCTTTGTCTCATTCAAGGCCAATCTAAACCAGCTAATTTCATCATTTGTAATCAGCCACAGCATTCTTTGATTCTACTCACAGATTTTAATGTGACTTATTTACCTGACCTGTTAAAGATTGTATGTGCTTGTTTAGTGTATATATATATATATATATATATATATATATATATATATATATATATAGAGAGAGAGAGAGAGAGAGAGAGAGAGAGAGAGAGAGAGAGAGAGAGAGAGAGAGAGAGAGAGAGAGAGAGGGATGGATGGATGGATGGATGGATGGATGGATGGATGGATGGATGGATGGATGGATGGATGGATGGATGGATGGATGGATGGATGGACGGACGGACGGACAGACGGACGGTCAGATAGACCTAGGCACAGACACAGATATACATAGATCAATAGATATGATTGTATGAGATCCATTTTCCAAGCGAAGTGAATTCAAGTGAAAAACGTAGGCCCTACGTTAAAATATCCTTTTGAAAAGAACTAGCACCGAGTTAAAGTTCAAATGCGCTATTAAAGCTTGGATATTTCGCTTGGTTAACACTACGTGTGTAGTTCGTGCCATTTTTTTTACTAGTTTGTAGTGGTCGGATCGAGTAACATGCGGAGAGTTTATAAAGAAGGTTTTAATGTCAGTAGAGCTGTGTTGCCTGTTCATGTGAAAAATTGTCATCATGCAAAGACCAATGCGTTGGATTGTTGACTGCATTGAATGCTAGTTATCACGCTAGATGCCTATATCATAAAGGCCTAGGTAGAACAATGAGTGCTAGTTATCACGCTAGATGACTATACCATACAGGCCTAGGTAGAACAATGAGTGCTAGTTATCACACTAGATGCCTATACCATACAGGCCTAGGTAGAACAATGAGTGCTAGTTATCACGCTAGATGCCTATACCATACAGGCCTAGCAGGGGCGTAGCGAGGGGGGGGTGCGGACCGCACCGGGTGACACCATTTAGGGGGTGACACCAAGGCAAAAAATAACAAAATATATAGAGAAAAACTCGAGGGGGGGGGGGGGGTGCAAATCGAAAGTTTGAGGGGGGGGGGGGGTGCAAATCGAAAACTTGAGGGGGGGGGCAAATCGAAAATTTGAAAGTTTGTCCCTGGGAAGGGTCTCTATGCCTCTGGGGGGGGGGGGTGACACCATTAAGTGCCGCACCGGGTGACACCCGACCTCGCTACGCCACTGAGGCCTAGGTAGAACAATGAGTGCTAGTTATCACGCTAGACGCCTATACCATACAGGCCTAGGTAGAACAATGAGTGCTAGTTATCACGCTAGATGCCTATACCATACAGGCCTAGGTAGAACAATGAGTGCTAGTTATCACGCTAGAAGCCTATACCATACAGGCCTAGGTAGAAGGCTTCTCCCAACCAGTCGAGTCGCCAGTAAGAAGTGTCCAACACACAAGCACGCGACTGAAGACAACAGCACTTGACCACAAGCAAAAGCATACCTTTCTGCTAGCCAGCAATGTAGCTCGGGGTTCTTGAAGCTGTCGAGTGGAACACTTCTCACCTCGCAGTTCCAGCCCCCGTTATGTTTGCTCAATTATTCACGACATTTAGAACAAGAGAGGAGGTGCTAAGAGGTTCTGCTGCTTACAAAAAGTTTTCTATTCTTCGAAGTATACATTCCAAAATGTTTGCATTCACGGCGATAACGATCTTTAATATGAGAAGTATTGATCCCCCCCCCCCCCCCCCCCCGCTCCCCACCCATGGTCAATGCAATATACCTACAAGTGTTTTTACGATATGATACGTGAACAATGGGAATATTTGACTGATCACATTGTCATTTATGACGTGTTATATACTGGGCTACCAGCAGTTTTCTTACTACCGTTCCCACGCCGCTCGTGCATTTTTCATTACAATGAGTGCTGTTATTTGATCGAATGTCACACATTAAGTTGATAAAAATTGAGATAATTTTTTTTGTTAAAATGTTATTGAAGTTGTATTATGTTTAAATCGCTACATGTAATTGAAGTTGTATTATGTTTAAATCGCTACATGTAATTGAAGTTGTATTATTTTTAAATCGATACATGTAATTGAAGTTGTATTATGTTTAAATCGCTACATGTAATTGAAGTTGTATTATGTTTAAATCGCTACATGTAATTGAAGTTGTATTATGTTTAAATCGCTACATGTAATTGAAGTTGTATTATGTTTAAATCGCTACATGTAATTGAAGTTGTATTATGTTTAAATCGCTACATGTAATTAAAGTTGTATTATGTTTAAATCGCATACATGTAATTGCAGTTGTATTATGTTTAAATCGCATACATGTAATTGCAGTTGTATTATTTTTAAATCGCTTCTAGCAAAAGTAAAAACGTGGCGGATGTAAGAAAATAAATACAGCCTCACATTATAAAAGGTAGTGCCTACATGAAACTATCCTATATGGTAGTGCCTACATGAAACTACCCTATATGGTAGTGCCTACATGAAACTACCCTATATGGTAGTGCCTACATGAAACTAACCTGTTGCGTAGTGCCTACATGAAACTACCCCATATGGTAGTGCCTACATGAAACTACCCTATAAGGTAGTGCCTACATGAAACTAACCTGTTGGGTAGTGCCTACATGAAACTACCCTATATGGTAGTGCCTACATGAAAATACCATATATGGTAGTGCCTACATGAAACCACCCTGTTTGGTAGTGCCTACATGAAACCACCCTATTTGGTAGTGCCTACATGAAACCACCCTGTTTCGCTATTTAGTTCTATAACATGTGGTTGCCTTCAATATATTTGATTCAACAATAGTTAGATTCATCAACAGTTAGATTCAACAATAGTTAGATTCAACAATAGAATAATCAAAAGTTAGATTTAACAATAGTTAGATTTAACAATAGTTAGATTCAACAATAGTTAGATTCAACAATAGTTAGATTCAACAATAGTTAGATTCAACAATAGAATAATCAATAGTTAGATTCAACAATAGTTAGATTCAACAATAGTTAGATTCAACAATAGTTAGATTCAACAATAGTTAGATTCAACAATAGAATAATCAATAGTTAGATTCAACAATAATTAGATTCAACAATAGTTAGATTCAACAATAGTTAGATTCAACAATACTTAGATTCAACAATACTTAGATTCAACAATAGAATAATCAATAGTTAGATTCAACAATAGTTAGATTCAACAATAGTTAGATTCAACAAAAGTTAGATTCAACAATAGTTAGATTCAACAATAGTTAGATTCAACAATAGATTCAACAATAGTTAGATTCAACAATAGCTAGATTCATCAACAGTTAGATTCAACAATAGTTAGATTCATCAATATTTAGATTCATCAATCATCTTCCTGACAGACCTTCTTTATTTCTAGCGAATCTTAACCTGGCCTATTGGTGAACACATGGGTTATGTGTAAGTTTTTGGATCTACGGCGCTGATAACTTATGAGTTTGTAGCCGACCAACAGGTGGGCAACAGACTGTCTTGTTCATAAGACGTTCATGTCTTTTATGGTCGTCATAAGACGTTCATATAGACTGTCTTGTATGGTAGTCTTAAGACGTTCATATAGACTGTCTTGTATGGTCGTCTTAAGACGCTCATATAGACTGTCTTGTATGGTCGTCATAAGACGTTCATATAGACTGTCTTGTATGGTCGTCTTAAGAAAATCGGGGGATTTTGGTTAGCTATTATGCGCTAACTCGCCCAACCAAAGCATTCTCTTACAATCAATGTGTTAAAACAAAAACGACTAAAGATTATATATAACAAATATATTTCAAAAATGTGTGAGAATCAGTTGTGATTGTTTTTGTCAAACATCTATTTGCAGTATCAAAAGAAATGTTTGCGATCTAACAATAAATGATGATTAATAATACAGCCACTTAATAAAGTGATAGATTTGCCTAAGGAACTTCTAAAAATAATACTTGCCCCCCCCCCACCCCTTTTCCCAATCCACACACAGACACTGATGAATTAAAATGAAATGTTTTCCACTTCTCAAACAAATAACATCGGTAAAATCATTTAAACTTCACAGTGTGATTGATGTGTCTGCTGTCACAAACTTGTTATATCCACCCCCCCCCCCCCACCCACCCACCCACCATGTGCAAATGTCGCCCACCCACCGAGCTCCCTACACTACTATTTATTGAAACAGCACTTCATTAATATCCAGGGTGAATCTGGAGCCAGAACAGACGGGTGAAGATGAACCTTTTACAACCAGCGCAGAATGTTACCAACTCTTCTAATGCTCCTATTAAAACTATCCACTGAAACAGTCTAAATATACCTCGAGATTTTGAGTCCACATTCCCGTGAAGCCGCACCTTGAGTAAACACTCGGACCTGTCATACCCCCCTCACTGGGAGCAGGACCTCTTTTATCAAAAGATCAGAGAGAGAGAAGAAGGGAGAGAGAGAGAGAGAGAGAGAGAGAGAGAGAGAGAGAGAGAGAGAGAGAGAGTTGTACATTCTTCCATTATGATATTTAAAGCTTCCTTTTGTTATCAGATAAACTTCAAGCATTTCTACACACACTTGCTGGGCATTCAATGCGCAAAAAAATGAATTTTAAATTTTAATTGTGGCATTAGTTTTACACGTGAGAAAATAAGACTGAATAATCTTGTCCATAATAAAGGGATTTGTCGTGATTAGCAAGGCTGCGTAGATCTCATCTTCGGCATGGGTCGGTGTGTGCATGACTACATCGTTTAATCACACCATAAGCCCGGCATCTAGAGCCCTGCTATTGTGGCTGCTGCTCCACACTTTGATGCTGTCAAGTTTCCTAGCATCGCATTTCTAAGAACACAGTCACATTGTCAACTAGAAGAAAAACAGCATCTAATATTTTAAGTGGACTCGAGTCTACTGGGATGGGAGATTTTTTTTTTTTAAACCGAAGAATTTTAATACCTGTTTAAAATCTTAACAAGCTGATACGTCGAAGGTTGCAATAAATTACGCAGCTGTTTCATTATTTTAAAAAAAAAACTGCAATATGATTTTCTAGTGGAAAGTGTCACACCTGTTTGTATTTAGATCTATGTGTAAGCTACACAAACAGGTCGGTGAGCCAGAAGTGTGAGAAACAATACAGTGTAGGCGAGCACACGACTAACTGCGGGTAACTAACACGGACACTGGTACTAGAACAGCACTAATCAAGTACTGCTGCGGTAACGATCGGGCTCCATAAGGGAGGGAAATCAATGGCAAGGTTTTACTACCACATAATAAAACATGCCCTGAGCACAGGGGACGCAACCATTCGCGAATAGTTTTTCTAAAGTTCATAGAAAGAAAGGGGATCATTCGGCTAGGTTTTTGTATTTTTGTTTATACACATTCATTACTGTTAGATCTATTCTACAAATATAAGCTCACAACAATATAAATAATTCTATACAAAAAAAGTCAGCTCACATCACTACACATACACGAGCTATCAAATATCTGAAAGCAACGGCTGTGTTTGACAGGTTGCTCAGGTGGGCGCAGATACAATTGGTTTGATTCAAACAGTACTGACACTGAAAGCTGTGTGTTGGGGAAGGGGTGAGGGGGGCGTTCGTGACAAAATGGCTTATAGAATACAGCAAGCCTAAAACTATACCATTCCCCAGATGAGCCTAACAAAAGAGGAACAAAAGCAAGATAACAAGTGCTAACACTAATAAGGCCCTATCAGCAGACCGATGACAACAAGCCCTCCTGTTATTTTAACCCAGTTAGTATTGTCACACTGCCGGTACCTGGCGTGTAGAACTCCACTAAGGCTCTGACAGTGTAACAGGTGGGCGCACACAATGTGAGACTAGGTAAAAACATGATCAAGTCAAATACTTACAGGAAGGTTTCCAACGTCTTGTCCCCAGTTGTGTTGTGACGCGGGCCCTCGGTGAGAATCGAAGTGCTACAGATCAAAGTTCTGGCCCCCAACCTGTTCAACACCGCGACGTGTAGCTGCACTGCAATAGGACGAAATAGCCAGAGTCAATATTTGGAGGGAAATCCAAACAGAGGTAGCTTTCTATGCAATTCCCTTATTGGGACCATATGCTTTTTTTGTGCCGAGGGAAAAGGGGGTTGGTTCTGCCTTAGGCACGAGCATGACAGTGAGAGAAGTCTATCCGATTGTCCCAGGGCACGGTATCGCCAGCACGGCTTTATGGACGGGACGTGGGGGGAAGTCTTCCGCTTGCTGTCCGCTTGTTTGCCCTGGCCACTCGCTCAATTTCGCTGTCTATTGATTGATTTTTATTTTGGGGACGGGAGTGGGGGAGGGGTGTTGACGGGGGGGGGGGGGGGAGTTTTGGGTATTCCAAATGGAACAATAGGAGCAAACTGTGCTTTAAACTAAGCCAATAGCCGTGTCGACCAAAAGCAAAGTGAGCTAACAAGAACGGCCTGCTTATGACGAGCAGCCAGAGAGAAGTGCCGAGAACATTGAAGCTGATGATAGAATGTTACAAGGGCATGCCAATCACACATTCTCACTGGCTTACGCTCGGGGAAAATATGAATCCTTTTTATTATTAATTATTTCATCCCCAAAAAAGTATTTCGGGTCTAAGTTAATAAGTAAATTCGCATTTAAACTTTATAATTTGGTGCATAATTTAATAAGATTGTAAGGAATCTATATATATAATTCTCTTCTTCGAGCCGTTAGAAAACAAGCTGCAAACGCTCTCCCTACCTCCCCACCCCTACATGGTTTTAGTGAGCTGTGTTCACTCTAAATGTTTACAAGCAGAGCCAACGATTTTAAACGTAGGGGGGGGGGAGGAGGGGGGAGGGAAGGAAGGGGGGGGGGGGGGTTATGGTCCTTAACGAGCTACTTATAGTGTTTTAAAGAAATATTTTCAGTGTCAGCGTTGGTACTGTCGAATTCACAAATTATGAATTATTGAAAATTAGAAACAACTAAATAGCGGCGTATGTTATGCCGCGGGCCGGCTCGTATCTTAATATTTTAAACATGTATTATTTTTAGATTTTAGATAATTTTTTAGGCGTGGTCAAATGGTAGATCATACGAATGCATGAGTCCACTCGGCTTTGAATGGTACCTGACTCACGTTGGGGGAAGTAAAGGCGGCTGGACACAGTGCTGACCACACTACCTCTTTATGTTCCGAGGTCAGAGAAACAAGTGAACTCGATTTCAGTTACCCCAGGTACCGAAAGGGGACTTTAACTTTTACTAACAAAATAATTGATACATACATTATTTAAAGTTTAAATGTTTTAAACTTGTTTGAACTTGTTGTATGCATTAATTAACAAAGAGGTTCTCTTTTTTTTAAGGTAGCTATTTAATGCCAGGTGTGGATAATGGGTGCATTAAACATGACATTTAAGTTACAAAAGAGAGCTGTGCAAAGCTTGGTAAAGTTAATTAAAATTATATCTGATTATCACTGCAAGGAAGAAAATTAAATAAATTTAAACAGTTTTTTTTTAAATTAGCAAATAAAATCTATTTGTGCATGAGTTCGTATTTATCTGTGTTCACTATTTCGAATATCTAGGAAAAGTGAACATGTAAAAAGCCTCGAATCTCTAACCAGCACAGAGTAAAACTGTACATCTAAAGATGTGACTGACATGTTGAACGGAGCGTCTATTGACACAGCCATTAACAGTTACGTGCTGCCACCAGTGAGGTTTGCTTAAGTAGAACCAAGATAACTCTCTCGGCTTCATTAGGGTGAACACATTTCTCCCTCTAGATATTCTATTTCCTCCAGTTCAATGTTTCACTTCTATACCTGACTTGGTTATCAAATCAGCAGTTCCCGAATGTTTGAAGGACACCCAGACTTTCACAAGCGCGCATGTCAATCAGATCTCAGGTACAGAGCATTGAACTGACTGGACTATATGGTTAGAATGTAAACACCGAATCTTTACGGTGTCTTTACCAACACACAGTCGAATGAAAATCCAGATGTAAACAATAAGTTTGATACTATTCACCGTGTAGTTAGCCGTGCAACGAATCTGCTGGCTAGGCTACAGGTTGACAGAGTGTTCTAATCAGGAAACCATATGACGCTTGACAGGTTACATCCAGAACTGAGCGTAGCCGGGGACGTTGACAGAGATGTTAGGAGAGGAAATGAGAATGTGGGGGAGAAAAGGGAGGGGGGGAGACCGGAGAAGAAGTGATTGGAAAAAAAACAGATCTTTTCAATGAAGTGTGTAGGAGGAGATTGATTTTTTTAAAATCTAGTTTAAATAATAGATTGGATTTTCGATCAAAGATCAAATATAAACCAGCCTAAGGAGCCTCTTTGTTATTCAATTAAAGAAAAGATATTCATGGAAACAGAATAAAGTGATTTTACATAGAGCTGGATCAATAAAATAGCTTTACATCTTGAAGTATAGCGAAGAGAAAAAACAATATGTGAAAAATTAATAATAGCTGGGAAAAAATAAACCGAATATTGACTCCTGAGTACAAAGATCTATTTTTGAAACAGTCTACCGTGTTTACATATGGGCCTATACTGGTTTTTCAACAGTACGTGTGGCATAGAGCGTCACATTTCCATAAGCTCTGCTGTGCTGTAACGAATTTCTCTCGACCACTCAACGACTAGGCCCTCCCGCCCAATGTTTGAACTTCTCATATTTGCTGTGACAGCAAACTTGAGCCACGTAGCTATTTCAACTCCCCCCCCCCCCCCTCTGTCTCTCTACACGTGTAGAATAAAACTGAGGCGTTATCTGGAGAGAAACACATCTTTACACGGGGACACTTGGATGGTTTGTCACAAGTGGTGGGAGACATGTTAGTCATGTGAACCAACTTCCAATGTAATCCCAACTTTTCATTCAACTTGAGAGACATGTTAGTCATGTGAACCAACTTCCAATGTAATCCCAACTTTTCATTCAACTTGAGAGACATGTTAGTTATGTGAACCAACTCCCAATTTAATCCCAACTTTTCATTCAACTTGAGAGACATGTTAGTCATGTGAACCAACTTCCAATGTAATCCCAACTTTTCATTCAACTTGAACTGAGCCACCATAGCACTGAAAAACAAGTTCATTGTTGTGTATATCTCTCCATTACATTAATTGTGTATATCTCTCCACTACGTTCATTGTTGTGTATATCTCTCCATTACGTTCATTGTCGTGTATATCTCTCCATTACATTAATTGTTGTGTATATCTCTCCATTACGTTAATTGTTGTGTATATCTCTCCATTACGTTAATTGTCGTGTATATCTCTCCATTACGTTAATTGCCGTGTATATCTCTCCATTACCTTCATTGTCGTGTATATCTCTCCATTAATAACGCCTTCTTGTCTCCACACTAAAACTGAGTTTTAAGACGCCGCCCAAGGGTGTTCACAGCATTAGGGTCGTGTCGGTGCGTCTTGATGACAACATCTAACAACATCTATTATCTGAGTTCTAACGCGTGAACGTAGGCCTACGTTTTGAACGCTATGTTTTCATCCTTTCGTTTTGTTTCATGGTAACCAAACCAGCACTAAATTGGACTTGATGTGTGCAACAGAATCTCTAATTCTTTCTATTTCTGCAATTGAAGTAGTGGCTAAACACTTAAAACCTCACACAATGAGAGAAAACGTAGCATTAAATTGTCATGAGCGGCAGCCAGATCAAATGTACCAAACCGCCAAGTATACTAAGGCAATGTTGACCAGGGACAGTATCGCGGCGGCGAGTAGCGGCTATCAGCGGCTGTTACAGCACAGGGCTGTTATACGGGCTGTTGTCAACCTTATCAGTCCAGTTATAAATCTTGGAGCACAACTTTGTGGCGGACTTTCATGTCTGGACTATAAACACTTGTTTGCATTCCAGTAACATTAAAGCCTGGTTCATACATGGACACACTGACCCGAGGCTTGGCCAGCAGATAACACTTTATGACATGTGGGCTGTCTAGCAGGTCTGCTTCGTCACAACACGGCACATGCAATGATATGTGTCTCAAGTCTAGCAAGTCTGCTTTGTCACAATACGGCACATGCAATGATATGTGTCTCAAGTCTAGCAAGTCTGCTTCGTCACAATACAGCACATGCAATGATATGTGTCTCAAGTCTAGCAAGTCTGCTTCGTCACAATACTGCACATGCAATGATATGTGTCTCAAGTCTAGCAAGTCTGCTTCGTCACAATACAGCACATGCAATGATATGTGTCTCAAGTCTAGCAAGTCTGCTTCGTCACAATACTGCACATGCAATATGTGTCTCAAGTCTAGCAAGTCTGCTTCGTCACAATACTGCACATGCAATATGTGTCTCAAGTCTAGCAAGTCTGCCTTGTCACAATACGGCACATGCAATGATATGTGTCTCAAGTCTAGCAGGTCTGCTTCGTCACAATATTGCACATGCAATATGTGTCTCAAGTCTAGCAACTCTACTTCGTCACAATACGGCACATGTGGTTGTCTGCGAAGTGTCATATGCAGGGTAGTGGTGGGGGTTAGAGAGTATCTGCACAAGTGACTCGACAAACTAACTCATGTCACCAATCACCCAGATGTCTAACCTGACATGTCCCCCATCACCCAGATGTCTAACCTGACTGATGTCACACATCACCCAGATGTCTAACTTGACTGATGTCACACATCACCCAGATGTCTAACCTGACATGTCCCCCATCACCCAGATGTCTAACCTGACTGATGTCCCCCATCACCAAGATGTCTAACCTGACTGATGTCACACATCACCAAGATGTCTAACCTGACTGATGTCACCCACCATCCAGATGTCTAACCTGACTGATGTCCCCCATCACCAAGATGTCTAACCTGACTGATGTCACACATCACCAAGATGTCTAACCTGACTGATGTCACACATCACCAAGATGTCTAACCTGACTGATGTCACACATCACCAAGATGTCTAACCTGACATGTCCCCCATCACCCAGATGTCTAACCTGACTGATGTCCCCCATCACCTAGATGTCTAACCTGACATGTCCCCCATCACCTAGATGTGTAACCTGACTGATGTCCCCCATCACCAAGATGTCTAACCTGACATGTCCCCCATCACCCAGATGTCTAACCTGACTGATGTCCCCCATCCACAGATGTCTAACCTGACATGTCCCCCATCACCAAGATGTCTAACCTGACTGATGTCACACATCACCAAGGTCTAACTTGACTGATGTCACACATCACCCGGATGTCTAACTTGACTGATGTCCCCCATCACCAAGATGTCTAACCTGACTGATGTCACACATCACCAAGGTCTAACTTGACTGATGTCACACATCACCCGGATGTCTAACTTGACTGATGTCCCCCATCACCAAGATGTCTAACCTGACTGATGTCACCCATCCACAGATGTCTAACCTGACTGATGTCACACATCACCCATATGTCTAACCTGACTGATGTCCCCATCATCTAGATGTCTAACTTGACTGATGTCACACATCACCAAGGTCTAACCTGACTGATGTCACCCATCACCAAGATGTCTAACCTGACTGATGTCACCCATCCACAGATGTCTAACTTGACATGTCCCCCATCACCCATATGTCTAACCTGACTGATGTCCCCCATCCACAGATGTCTAACTTGACATGTCCCCCATCACCCATATGTCTAACCTGACTGATGTCACACATCACCCAGATGTCTAACCTGACTGATGTCCCCCATCCACAGATGTCTAACTTGACATGTCCCCCATCACCCATATGTCTAACCTGACTGATGTCACACATCACCCAGATGTCTAACCTGACTGATGTCACCCATCCACAGATGTCTAACCTGACTGATGTCACCCATCACCCAGATGTCTAACCTGACTGATGTCACCCATCACCAAGATGTCTAACTTGACTGATGTCACCCATCACCAAGATGTCTAACTTGACTGATGTCACCCATCCACAGATGTCTAACCTGACTGATGTCACCCATCCACAGATGTCTAACCTGACTGATGTCACCCATCACCAAGATGTCTAACCTGACTGATGTCACACATCACACAGATGTCTAACCTGACTGATGTCACACATCACCCATATGTCTAACCTGACTGATGTCCCCCATCACCCAGATGTCTAACCTGACTGATGTCACACATCACCCAGATGTCTAACCTAACTCATGTCACCCAACTATCACTGAGATGTTAAATCTAAGAGATGAGAAAAGTGAAACTAACCTGGATAACTTGAGGGTGTCAGGCCCACAGGTGGTTTGACAACAATGTTGTGTCTGGGACCTTGATAAACAATGCCCAGCTGACCATCCTGACTGGATCCATTTAAAGAATAGCTCACCTCGTAGAGTAGAGGCAAGTGCTGAAATGTAGGAATACAAATAGATGCAGCTAGAAGAAGCATTTGCAGAAATACAATCAGGAAAACACATGCAGCAATGATTACATTTGGTAATCAATAAAACAATCATTAAATATGTATAAGATGTAAATTGCTTTCTAAAGTATAGAGTTAGTGAAATGTATAATCATTGTTGAATTACTTAAATTAAAATCTAATATTCAACAAGAAGTAAAATTTATATTTTCTAATACAGGGAACATGTTTTACATTTAAAAACCAAAGAAGAAATGCACTTTTTATTTTAAACTAAGCAAGTAAACCTTTTAATTTAAAACATTTATTGAGAATCCTGTTATCGGAAGGTATGACGATTATTCATGTATTCTTTTTTTTTAGCAAGACGTAGTTCCTCCTAGCACTCGACATACAAAAGCATACAATAGGAAATAGTGTGAAGACGAACGAGACGACTTTACGATTCCCTGCCATTGTTGCCTATGGCGCCCTTTAATGAACTGACTCCTTCCCCAGCCACAAGAGAAACTAGCACTAGCACAATGCAACGAGGGCCGACAAAACGCCCCGCGCTTGAAAAGAAATCATTTGCGACTGTTGACTGCAACCGTTTTATGAATGAAAGATTTATGGTCAGGAAGTGTACGGCGTGGTGTGTATCGCCGAGGTTAGACTAATTTAAAAAAAAAATACTTGCACCCCTCGTGTCCCTCCCTACCATGGCGCGATTAATCCATGGCGTGAAATTAAACTTTTATTTTCTCTGTTTGATGTTGGAATGTGTGCAGTGTCGTATTTCCGTTGATAAACATCTCAGGTTACAAAATCAATAGTGTCGTATTCATTAATTCATGCCTATATCGATTTCACAAAAAGGGGAAAAGGTATTTTGTGATTGCCTTGCAAACATATCAAAATACATTGCCAAATTTTTGTCACAGAACACAGCTGGTAATACAATTGTTCCTGTATGCTAGGCAATATATCAATATATCGAAGTGACGCTAATCAGCTGTGTGGTCAGCCGTTCACAATTTGACCAATTCTGATAAGTTGTTTCGTGAAAGCCCTACAATACTTAACTTCTGTTGTGGCAGAAAAGGGAAGAAAAAGATGGTATATTCTTTTATTTTATTCTTGTCACTAGTTGTAAGGTAACGTAACTAATAATCACTCGTGTGTAGTAGAATCGATAGATCAATGAAATCTTACACCCCCACATCCAAGGGTGGTCACTCGTGTGTAGTAGAATCGATAGATCGGTGAAATCTTACACCCCCCCCCCCACACACACGAATCCAAGTGTGGTCACTCGTGTGTAGTAGAATCGATAGATCGGTGAAATCTTACACCCCCACATTCAAGTGTGGTCACTCGTGTGTAGTAGAATCGATAGATCGGTGAAATCTTACACCCCCACATCCAAGTGTGGTCACTCGTGTGTAGTAGAATCGATAGATCGATGAAATCTTACACCCCCCCCCCCCACACACACACACATCCAAGTGTGGTCACTCGTGTGTAGTAGAATCGATAGATCGGTGAAATCTTACACCCCCACATTCAAGTGTGGTCACTCGTGTGTAGTAGAATCGATAGATCGGTGAAATCTTACACCCCCACATCCAAGTGTGGTCACTCGTGTGTAGTAGAATCGATAGATCGGTGAAATCTTACACCCCCACATCCTGGTCACTCGTGTGTAGTAGAATCGATAGATCGGTGAAATCTTAAACCCCCACATCCTGGTCACTCGTGTGTAGTAGAATCGATAGATCGGTGAAATCTTACACCCCCACATCCAAGTGTGGTCACTCGTGTGTAGTAGAATCGATAGATCGATGAAATCTTACACCCCCACATCCTGGTCACTCGTGTGTAGTAGAATCGATAGATCGGTGAAATCTTACACCCCCACATCCTGGTCACTCGTGTGTAGTAGAATCAATAGATCGGTGAAATCTTACACCCCCACATCCAAGTGTGGTCACTCGTGTGTAGTAGAATCGATAGATCGGTGAAATCTTACACCCCCACATCCAAGTGTGGTCACTCGTGTGTAGTAGAATCGATAGATCGGTGAAATCTTACACCCCCACATCCAAGTGTGGTCACTCGTATGTAGTAGAATCGATAGATCGGTGAAATCTTACACCCCCACATCCTGGTCACTCGTGTGTAGTAGAATCGATAGATCGGTGAAATCTTACACCCCCACATCCAAGTGTGGTCACTCGTGTGTAGTAGAATCGATAGATCGGTGAAATCTTTCACCCCCACATCCAGGTGTGGTCACTCGTGTGTAGTAGAATCAATAGATCGGTGAAATCTTACACCCCCACATCCTGGTCACTCGTGTGTAGTAGAATCGATAGATCGGTGAAATCTTACACCCCCACATCCTGGTCACTCGTGTGTAGTAGAATCGATAGATCGGTGAAATCTTACACCCCCACATCCAAGTGTGGTCACTCGTGTGTAGTAGAATCGATAGATCGATGAAATCTTACACCCCCACATCCAAGTGTGGTCACTCGTGTGTAGTAGAATCAATAGATCGGTGAAATCTTACACCCCCACATCCAAGTGTGGTCACTCGTGTGTAGTAGAATCGATAGATCGGTGAAATCTTACACCCCCACATCCAAGTGTGGTCACTCGTGTGTAGTAGAATCGATAGATCGGTGAAATCTTACACCCCCACATCCTGGTCACTCGTGTGTAGTAGAATCGATAGATCGGTGAAATCTTACACCCCCACATCCAAGTGTGGTCACTCGTATGTAGTAGAATCGATAGATCGGTGAAATCTTACACCCCCACATCCAAGTGTGGTCACTCGTGTGTAGTAGAATCGATAGATCGGTGAAATCTTACACCCCCACATCCAAGTGTGGTCACTCGTGTGTAGTAGAATCGATAGATCGGTGAAATCTTACACCCCCACATCCTGGTCACTCGTGTGTAGTAGAATCGATAGATCGGTGAAATCTTACACCCCCACATCCTGGTCACTCGTGTGTAGTAGAATCGATAGATCGGTGAAATCTTACACCCCCACATCCAAGTGTGGTCACTCGTGTGTAGTAGAATCGATAGATCGGTGAAATCTTACACCCCCACATCCTGGTCACTCGTGTGTAGTAGAATCGATAGATCGGTGAAATCTTACACCCCCACATCCTGGTCACTCGTGTGTAGTAGAATCGATAGATCGGTGAAATCTTACACCCCCACATCCAAGTGTGGTCACTTGTGTGTAGTAGAATCGATAGATCGGTGAAATCTTACACCCCCACATCCTGGTCACTCGTGTGTAGTAGAATCGATAGATCGGTGAAATCTTACACCCCCACATCCAAGTGTGGTCACTCGTATGTAGTAGAATCGATAGATCGGTGAAATCTTACACCCCCACATCCTGGTCACTCGTGTGTAGTAGAATCGATAGATCGGTGAAATCTTACACCCCCACATCCAAGTGTGGTCACTCGTGTGTAGTAGAATCGATAGATCGGTGAAATCTTACACCCCCACATCCTGGTCACTCGTGTGTAGTAGAATCGATAGATCGGTGAAATCTTACACCCCCACATCCTGGTCACTCGTGTGTAGTAGAATCGATAGATCGGTGAAATCTTACACCCCCACATCCTGGTCACTCGTGTGTAGTAGAATCGATAGATCGGCGAAATCTTACACCCCCACATCCTGGTCACTCGTGTGTAGTAGAATCGATAGATCGGTGAAATCTTACACCCCCACATCCTGGTCACTCGTGTGTAGTAGAATCGATAGATCGGTGAAATCTTACACCCCCACATCCTGGTCACTCGTGTGTAGTAGAATCGATAGATCGGTGAAATCTTACACCCCCACATCCTGGTCACTCGTGTGTAGTAGAATCGATAGATCGGTGAAATCTTACACCCCCACATCCAAGTGTGGTCACTCGTGTGTAGTAGAATCGATAGATCGGTGAAATCTTACACCCCCACATCCAAGTGTGGTCACTCGTGTGTAGTAGAATCGATAGATCGGTGAAATCTTACACCCCCACATCATGGTGTGGTCACTCGTGTGTAGTAGAATCGATAGATCGATGAAATCTTACACCCCCACATCCTGGTCACTCGTGTGTAGTAGAATCGATAGATCGGTGAAATCTTACACCCCCACATCCTGGTCACTCGTGTGTAGTAGAATCGATAGATCGGTGAAATCTTACACCCCCACATCCTGGTCACTCGTGTGTAGTAGAATCGATAGATCGGTGAAATCTTAAACCCCCACATCCTGGTCACTCGTGTGTAGTAGAATCGATAGATCGGTGAAATCTTACACCCCCACATCCAAGTGTGGTCACTCGTGTGTAGTAGAATCGATAGATCGATGAAATCTTACACCCCCACATCCTGGTCACTCGTGTGTAGTAGAATCGATAGATCGGTGAAATCTTACACCCCCACATCCTGGTCACTCGTGTGTAGTAGAATCAATAGATCGGTGAAATCTTACACCCCCACAGCCTGGTCACTTGTGTGTAGTAGAATCGATAGATCAATGAAATCTTACACCCCCACATCCTGGTCACTCGTGTGTAGTAGAATCGATAGATCGGTGAAATCTTACACCCCCACATCCTGGTCACTCGTGTGTAGTAGAATCGATAGATCGGTGAAATCTTACATCCCCACATCCTGGTCACTCGTGTGTAGTAGAATCAATAGATCGGTGAAATCTTACACCCCCACATCCAAGTGTGGTCACTCGTGTGTAGTAGAATCGATAGATCGGTGAAATCTTACACCCCCACATCCAAGTGTGGTCACTCGTGTGTAGTAGAATCGATAGATCGGTGAAATCTTACACCCCCACATCCAAGTGTGGTCACTCGTATGTAGTAGAATCGATAGATCGGTGAAATCTTACACCCCCACATCCTGGTCACTCGTGTGTAGTAGAATCGATAGATCGGTGAAATCTTACACCCCCACATCCAAGTGTGGTCACTCGTGTGTAGTAGAATCGATAGATCGGTGAAATCTTTCACCCCCACATCCAGGTGTGGTCACTCGTGTGTAGTAGAATCAATAGATCGGTGAAATCTTACACCCCCACATCCTGGTCACTCGTGTGTAGTAGAATCGATAGATCAGTGAAATCTTACACCCCCACATCCTGGTCACTCGTGTGTAGTAGAATCGATAGATCGGTGAAATCTTACACCCCCACATCCAAGTGTGGTCACTCGTGTGTAGTAGAATCGATAGATCGATGAAATCTTACACCCCCACATCCAAGTGTGGTCACTCGTGTGTAGTAGAATCAATAGATCGGTGAAATCTTACACCCCCACATCCAAGTGTGGTCACTCGTGTGTAGTAGAATCGATAGATCGGTGAAATCTTACACCCCCACATCCAAGTGTGGTCACTCGTGTGTAGTAGAATCGATAGATCGGTGAAATCTTACACCCCCACATCCTGGTCACTCGTGTGTAGTAGAATCGATAGATCGGTGAAATCTTACACCCCCACATCCAAGTGTGGTCACTCGTATGTAGTAGAATCGATAGATCGGTGAAATCTTACACCCCCACATCCAAGTGTGGTCACTCGTGTGTAGTAGAATCGATAGATCGGTGAAATCTTACACCCCCACATCCAAGTGTGGTCACTCGTGTGTAGTAGAATCGATAGATCGGTGAAATCTTACACCCCCACATCCTGGTCACTCGTGTGTAGTAGAATCGATAGATCGGTGAAATCTTACACCCCCACATCCTGGTCACTCGTGTGTAGTAGAATCGATAGATCGGTGAAATCTTACACCCCCACATCCAAGTGTGGTCACTCGTGTGTAGTAGAATCGATAGATCGGTGAAATCTTACACCCCCACATCCTGGTCACTCGTGTGTAGTAGAATCGATAGATCGGTGAAATCTTACACCCCCACATCCTGGTCACTCGTGTGTAGTAGAATCGATAGATCGGTGAAATCTTACACCCCCACATCCAAGTGTGGTCACTTGTGTGTAGTAGAATCGATAGATCGGTGAAATCTTACACCCCCACATCCTGGTCACTCGTGTGTAGTAGAATCGATAGATCGGTGAAATCTTACACCCCCACATCCAAGTGTGGTCACTCGTGTGTAGTAGAATCGATAGATCGGTGAAATCTTACACCCCCACATCCTGGTCACTCGTGTGTAGTAGAATCGATAGATCGGTGAAATCTTACACCCCCACATCCTGGTCACTCGTGTGTAGTAGAATCGATAGATCGGTGAAATCTTACACCCCCACATCCTGGTCACTCGTGTGTAGTAGAATCGATAGATCGGTGAAATCTTACACCCCCACATCCTGGTCACTCGTGTGTAGTAGAATCGATAGATCGGTGAAATCTTACACCCCCACATCCTGGTCACTCGTGTGTAGTAGAATCGATAGATCGGTGAAATCTTACACCCCCACATCCAAGTGTGGTCACTCGTGTGTAGTAGAATCGATAGATCGGTGAAATCTTACACCCCCACATCCAAGTGTGGTCACTCGTGTGTAGTAGAATCGATAGATCGGTGAAATCTTACACCCCCACATCATGGTGTGGTCACTCGTGTGTAGTAGAATCGATAGATCGATGAAATCTTACACCCCCACATCCTGGTCACTCGTGTGTAGTAGAATCGATAGATCGGTGAAATCTTACACCCCCACATCCTGGTCACTCGTGTGTAGTAGAATCGATAGATCGGTGAAATCTTACACCCCCACATCCAAGTGTGGTTAGGGTTCTTCAACACTTTGCAAAATGAATGGCGCAAGTTGGAAAAAAAACGATGTTTCTAATAATTGAACTTTGGCAACGCTTTTCCAACAATAGGCGAAATGGCTGGTCGATCGAGTAACTGACCGCTTCAGGCGCTGACCGTTACAATTTCTTCTAATGTATAGAACTAGTGCGCCTGTGCGGGACGGGCCCTCAAGGTTACACCACTACACGCGTCTAGAGAGGGTGAAGGATAGAGAGAGTGAAGGATAGAGAGGGTGAAGGATAGAGAGAGTGAAGGATAGAGAGGGTGAAGGATAGAGAGAGTGAGTGGAGATAAGGGAGAGAGAGAGACGGCTGCATGTGTCACACATGAGCAAATAAACAAGACAATCAAAGGGCAAGCCTAGTGGTTGCCGGTAACATCGACTTGTGGAAATCCCAACAAAGGATGACATCTGCTGGGTACCCACAGTCCGTCAAGTTCCAATGGAATGGGGTGATAGAGGAGTGGGGGGAGGGGGGGGAGTGGAAGAAGAGGGGAGAAATCTAAAGTAAAATATTCGGACAGCTTAAACTATAAAATCCTCTAGTGCCTAGATCGACTAAGAAAACATGATTTGAACTAGTTAAATGCAGACTTGAGCTAGTCAGAGGCGTTTGTGCTTTATATAAGTTTGATGTACAATTGAGTTTGTCCATCGTTTGTGCTTTATATAAGTTTGATGTACAATTGAGTTGGTCCATTGATTACTGGAAATCTTTATCATGGCTAGTAGCATGAGGTAGACAGATGGCAACGGTATCTCTAAGAGATCCATCTAGTAGCTCGTGGCTTGTTGTCTCTAGATAAATGAAGGAAAGAACACATAGTGTCGCCCTAGTGGCTGACCAGCGCCGACATGTAACGATGGTCAAACCTTCAGTGCTAAGTTTAAACGTTCATCAAGGTAAAAATAAAATAACACGTATTGGCTTATTGGCTTAACCGCCACTTACTAAGTTGGCTTGTAAAGACAAACACCCTTTTTTCCCTTTAGATGGAACGTATATTCCTCACAAAGACGCCACAAGAGTAAAACAGAGGCCAGGCTTTAAAAGGTGTCAGGTGACAATGATCAAGAAAACAATAGCCTACCTCGTCTTTCCAGTCGGTGCAAAAAACACTTAAAGCGGCTTTTTGTGACCTAAGGGAACATCTGCCTTTCATTGGGCTTCTATTCACTTCTACGAGTATCATTGCCAATCCGGATGAGCCATCTGAAATAGTGATCAAATCAAATATACAGACAAATACAAAAGATATTGAATTCATCTAGACTTGGAGGTCGGAATGTGTTGATGAAATTCTCATTTTTAAAAGGCACAAAAGAAATAAATTGATTAAAGATAAATTTTCACACCAGACAATAGATAAGTGTCAAGAATAGTTGAACTATCCACAAACATAAAACGTTTCAAGTAAATTGACGTTCTCGGTTTTGATTGGATAAAGGCCTATAGGGTTCAAATCACCTGGGTGAATGGGGGCTGAAGCGCCGCTGTGATTAACTCTTAGTTGAGAGTACCCCCGGGGAGATTTGTCAACTTAATAATTACCTTGTATGATGGGGTCGGTTGTCAAGAAAATACATCTGACTGCTGAGTTGACAAACATAAAACTAGAACAGACCCAGCCCACTGATAGTTTAGGTTCTTACATCCTACACTGTCTAAATAATTACATACACATCTTGCAATATACACGAACTACAGAGAAACATACACATCTTGCAATATACACGAACTACAGAGAAACATACACATCTTGCAATATACACGAACTACAGAGAAACATACACATCTTGCAATATACACGAACTACAGAGAAACATACACATCTTGCAATATACACGAACTACAGAGAAACATACACATCTTGCAATATACACGAACTACAGAGAAACATACACATCTTGCAATATACACGAACTACAGAGAAACATACACATCTTGCAATATACACGAACTACAGAGAAACATACACATCTTGCAATATACACGAACTACAGAGAAATATACACATCTTGCAATATACACGAACTACAGAGAAACATACGCATCTTGCAATATACACGAACTACAGAGAAACATACACATCCTGCAATAAAACCTCGTCATCTCCACCTCCACCCCCGCCCCCACCCCCATGACCAATAAAATATTAGGAGCTTGACGTGAAGCAAAATATTTCAAATTCAATTCAAAACTTGAACAGAGACTCGCAGGTCAACAAGACAAAGTATATACGCTGCTCTATAAGAGTGGCCCACGTAACGCTGCCAACATTTAGAGGGTAGAGAGCAGAGAACCAACCAACATTGAAACAAAAAAAACTATCAAGGGAAAAGCTTATTCCCGATTCAACTTCCAGTCGTAAAATTTCCCTGACTTTAACATGCATAGGGACCTTGGTGCAAACGTGATCCTAATATACATAATTCAATCCTTGTGCAGAACCAGGCCTGAAGTTTTAACTCGTAAACTATTGAAATGCCGCTCTTTCTCACGATTCAACGTCTAGGCATTAGATCATGCTTGCAGCACATGAAATGCTCAATCACTGCTTTGTCACGCCTAGGTGTTGGGAACCCTTTGTGTTGGAGGCCTTGTTCTTTCAATAAAAATTACAGGCTCATTTGCATATCAATGAGGTGAAATCTATTAAGTTTACACGGCAAACCAGAGGGGAAGTTTTACTGCCTGATTCGCTGGTGGAGATTGGGGTCCTGACATTCTCAACCTCAGGTAGGTCTGCAGGGGTCGGGCTAAACAATGAGCTACGGTAAACCAGACAAAAGTTCAGGCTTTATAAATCGCATTCTTTATTCCTGACTAAAGAGTACAGTCAAATTTTATTTTGATAAATAACAAATCTGTATAATTCTGATTTCACTGACATTATTTTCTTAATCTAATAAATGAGTACAAAAAGCTTATTGAAAAAGACCATAGATCTAAATGAATCAAGAATTAAGTGGATGCTACCGTTACCTTATTACTGTGGTTAAGCAGGTGAGGGCTTGCTAATCTAACCGACCCCACCCCTCCTTAACAAGCATACCATTTGCACATAATGATAAAAAGCTTGCTAGACCCATTGCTCTTTAAAAAAATAGAAAATTCAAAGGAAAATTAACTTTTTTCCCCTCTAAACCAATTTTTTTACTAAGCCTACTCTACATGTAAAGTGACAAATTACAAGACGTACGATTTTATTTAATGTATAATAAAACCCGGCATGATGTTAACAATCAATCACCTGATAAAAATGATAAAAATCAATTCCCTCTAAAAAGAAATGATATATTTACAGCCGGCTAAAGCACGGATGAGTGGACTACTAGATGACTACGGATGAGGCAGACTACTAGAGCATGAGTAGAAAAACTTAGTCGCCTCTAGTGCAGGGAAAAGGTGTCCCAAGTACACCAGTGATAGCAGTTCGAGGCAGCAGGCAGAGAGAAAGGTACTGACCTTTTGATGTGACCACCACTTCTATTATGTAGCTTATTCCAGGTCTGAGCGTGCCAGGCTTGAGTACCAAGGATGGCTGATCTAATCCTGTAAGTGTTGACTCGGGTCTCAAGTAGATGGCATCTTTCTTTATACTGACGATATGTGGAGTCTCTGTGCTGAGGGGTATTTCGCGGATGTGGCAGTCTGGTGCCACACAACCTTCAGGTGTGGCGGTGCTGGTGGGCTGCTGGGCTGGTCCTGGGCAATAACAAGAACTTGATTATAGCCACTAGCATCAAAGGGGTTTAGCAGGAAGTTTTCTTTGTATAGTATTGTAGGCTCATTTCACAGTGCAAGTAACAACTGGCTGTCTATACATGTCTGGTTATCTCAACATGGGTCGGGATTTCAAACTTTACTTTTTCAATAAGTTAAATGTAGCTTTTTTTAAAAAGTGTTTTCAAATGTTTGTTGGGTTCAGATCAATTAAGCTGTTCGACTTTACATAGAACAGCTAAAAGAACGTTACCATGACAACCACTGGGCTGTTAAATGGGTAAGCTCAAACACCGTTACCATGACAATCACGGGGTTGTTAAATGGGAGAGCTCAAACAACGTTACCATGGCAACCACTGGGTTGTTAAATGGGAGAGCTCAAAGAACGTTACCATGGCAACCACTGGGTTGTTAAATGGGAGAGCTCAAAGAACGTTACCATGAAACCACTGGGTTGTTAAATGGGAGAGCTCAAAGAACGTTACCATGACAACCACTGGGCTGTTAAATGGGAGAGCTCAAAGAGCGTTACCATGGCAACCACTGGGTTGTTAAATGGGAGAGCTCAAAGAGCGTTACCATGGCAACCACTGGGTTGTTAAATGGGAGAGCTCAAAGAGCGTTACCATGACAACCACTGGGCTGTTAAATGGGAGAGCTCAAAGAGCGTTACCATGGCAACCACTGGGTTGTTAAATGGGAGAGCTCAAAGAGCGTTACCATGGCAACCACTGGGTTGTTAAATGGGAGAGCTCAAAGAACGTTACCATGGCAACCACTGGGTTGTTAAATGGGAGAGCTCAAAGAACGTTACCATGGCAACCACTGGGTTGTTAAATGGGAGAGCTCAAAGAGCGTTACCACGACAACCTCTGGGTTGTTAAATGGGAGAGCTCAAAGAACGTGACCACATTCCAGAGCTACCCTAGCATGTAAATGAATGTAGCTATAAAATCCGTGAGGCTAAATCTTGGGGTTTTACACTGACATTAAGGGTTAGGCTCTGATTGTTTAGGTTTATGTAAATCAACCTCTTTGTATGGCCAGGCTTCGTTTACCAAGTTTCCAAGGTTTGGGGTTACAAGTGGGGGCGGGAGGGGGGAGCTGTCGGGTTATCCCCATTGACCTGGGTATAGAAAGTACAAGGGCTGGGGAACACAAGCATCATGTAGGGCTTGCTTTCTAGCAGAAGTATAATGTAGGGCTTGCTTTCTAGCAGAAGTATAATGTAGGGCTTGCTTTCTAGCAGAAGTATAATGTAGGGCTTGCTTTCTAGCAGAAGTATAATGTAGGGCTTGCTTTCTAGCAGAAGTATAACGTAGAGCTTGCTTTCTAGCAGAAGTATAATGTAGGGCTTGCTTTCTAGCTGAAGTATAATGTATGGCATATTTTCTAGCTGAAGCATAATGTAGGGCTTGCTTTCTAGCTGAAGTATAATGTAGGGCTTGCTTTCTAGCTGAAGTATAAAGTAGGGCTTGCTTTCTAGCAGAAGTATAACGTAGAGCTTGCTTTCTAGCAGAAGTATAATGTAGGGTTTGCTTTATAGCAGAAGTATAATGTAGGGCTTGTTTTCTAGCTGAAGTATAATGTAGGGCTTTCTTTCTAGCTAAAGTATAACGTAGGGCTTGCTTTCTAGCTGAAGTATAATGTAGGGCTTTCTTTCTAGTAAAAGTATAACGTAGGGTTTGCTTTCTATCTGAAGTATAATGTAGGGCTTGCTTTCTAGCAGAAGTATATTATAATGTAAGGTTTGCTTTCTAAGAAAAACCTATTATCTAAATATGTACTCACTTGCTCTGGGAGGATTTATCCCTTCATCCACCGATGGAAATTCAACTGAAAAATAAAACCCACTGATATTAGATATTAAATTAAGGTAATACATACTGTTAGTTAGTGCCCTATTACAATATCGTATATATACAACACTGGACTAAAAACGTGCTATTAGATTCTATATGCAGATAAAATGTATTTCACACAATAGCGTTCGATGTTAGAAATGTTGTGGTGTCTCACTCGGACATAGAAATGAAGTGTGCAGCGTTTCAAATTGTTCTTACTTTTGTCTAACCCCATAGAACAAGGATCAACTAATGGAAGGGTTTATTAGAAAATGAATCGCTTTAAAATTGCCAAATCTAAAAGAAAGCGTGGGCTAGCCATTGGTGTTTGTCTGCCAATTCCCCTCCCCTCCCCACGGTTCTATAGCTCGTACAAACAACACAGCAGCACAGGTGTGCTATCGGAATGGAAAGATAAAGCAGTTCTTTATAGCTGAGTCCAGTAGTATCAAACACAATGAGTAGCATCGGAATGGAAAGATAAAGCAGTTCTTTATAGCTGAGTCCAGAAGTATCAAACACAATGAGTAGCATCGGAATGGAAAGATAAAGCAGTTCTTTATAGCTGAGTCCAGTAGTATCAAACACAATGAGTAGCATCGGAATGGAAAGATAAAGCAGTTCTTTATAGCTGAGTCCAGTAGTATCAAACACAATGAGTAGCATCGGAATGGAAAGATAAAGCAGTTCTTTATAGCTGAGTCCAGTAGTATCAAACACAATGAGTAGCATCGGAATGGAAAGATAAAGCAGTTCTTTATAGCTGAGTCCAGTAGTATCAAACACAATGAATAGCATCGGAATGGAAAGATAAAGCAGTTCTTTATAGCTGAGTCCAGTAGTATCAAACACAATGAGTAGCATCGGAATGGAAAGATAAAGCAGTTCTTTATAGCTGAGTCCAGTAGTATCAAACACAATGAGTAGCATCGGAATGGAAAGATAAAGCAGTTCTTTATAGCTGAGTCCAGTAGTATCAAACACAATGAGTAGCATCGGAATGGAAAGATAAAGCAGTTCTTTATAGCTGAGTCCAGTAGTATCAAACACAATGAGTAGCATCGGAATGGAAAGATAAAGCAGTTCTTTATAGCTGAGTCCAGTAGTATCGAACACAATGAGTAGCATCGGAATGGAAAGATAAAGCAGTTCTTTATAGCTGAGTCCAGTAGTATCAAACACAATGAGTAGCATCGGAATGGAAAGATGAAGCAGTTCTTTATAGCTGAGTCCAGTAGTATCAAACACAATGAGTAGCATCGGAATGGAAAGATAAAGCAGTTCTTTATAGCTGAGTCCAGTAGTATCAAACACAATGAATAGCATCGGAATGGAAAGATAAAGCAGTTCTTTATAGCTGAGTCCAGTAGTATCAAACACAATGAGTAGCATCGGAATGGAAAGATAAAGCAGTTCTTTATAGCTGAGTCCAGTAGTATCAAACACAATGAGTAACATCGGAATGGAAAGATAAAGCAGTTCTTTATAGCTGAGTCCAGTAGTATCAAACACAATGAGTAGCATCGGAATGGAAAGATAAAGCAGTTCTTTATAGCTGAGTCCAGTAGTATCAAACACAATGAGTAGCATCGGAATGGAAAGATAAAGCAGTTCTTCATAGCTGAGTCCAGTAGTATCAAACACAATGAGTAGCATCGGAATGGAAAGATAAAGCAGTTCTTTATAGCTGAGTCCAGTAGTATCAAACACAATGAGTAGCATCGGAATGGAAAGATAAAGCAGTTATTTGATTGCTAGAATAGCTGAGTCCAGTAGTATCAAACACAATGAGTAGCATCGGAATGGAAAGATAAAGCAGTTCTTTATAGCTGAGTCCAGTAGTATCAAACACAATGAGTAGCATCGGAATGGAAAGATAAAGCAGTTCTCTATAGCTGAGTCAAGTAGTATCAAACACAATGAGTAGTATCAAACACAATGAGTAGCATCGGAATGGAAAGATAGAGCAGTTATTTATAGCTGAGTCCAGTAGTATCAAACACAATGAGTAGCATCGGAATGGAAAGATAAAGCAGTTCTTTATAGCTGAGTCCAGTAGTATCAAACACAATGAGTAGCATCGGAATGGAAAGATAAAGCAGTTCTTTATAGCTGAGTTCAGTAGTATCACACACAATGAGTAGCATCGGAATGGAAAGATAAAGCAGTTCTTTATAGCTGAGTCCAGTAGTATCACACACAATGAGTAGCATCGGAATGGAAAGATAAAGCAGTTCTTTATAGCTGAGTCCAGTAGTATCAAACACAATGAGTAGCATCGGAATGGAAAGATAAAGCAGTTCTTTATAGCTGAGTCCAGTAGTATCAAACACAATGAGTAGCATCGGAATGGAAAGAAAAAGCAGTTCTTTATAGCTGAGTCCAGTAGTATCACACACAATGAGTAGCATCGGAATGGAAAGATAAAGCAGTTCTTTGATTGTTAGAATAGCTAAGTCCAGTAGCATCACACACAATGAGTAGCAACGAGAAAGAAAAAGCTGGTGCAATCTTTAGTCACTGTTAATTGTAGTGAAAACTAGCCAGCTTATAACTACACTTTTGTATCTTTTGAAAACATTCGGATGTGGCTACTGTAGATTTCATTGAAATAATAAATGTGTCAAAAACACCCGATAACTTCCATAGCTTTTAGTTTGCAAATTGGAGTATTTTTGTTTTAACGCACATTTTTTTAATCTCATGACAATATACACATCTGGAAGTAAGACAATAGATTAGCAGATTAGCTATGTTACACCATCTATGAAGTAGGCAGTGGGTGGTGAATCTTAAAACAATAAGATGAACAACACAGGAATTCTTTGAAATATTTCAAATTAGAGAAGTTAACAGAGAATCAAATAACTTCTCTTTTTTTTTAATCACCAAGCGGAAATTGTGTAGCTTTTTAAATATAAATCTTAACCTGCTTAACTTACGTAGATTCTCCTATACATGTATGATCGGTAATAATACTCAATTACTTATACCTGGTACAATGAATAAATCGATTTACTTGAAGGTTTGAAATTCTACTCCAATATACGGAAATGAAGCTCTCGGAACACCTGATAGCAATCGATCAAAAGTGTACAAACACACAGGAAAGGCCAAGTCCTGGCCCATAACACCGTGCAACAATAGCATTTTGACAACCGGATCAAATCTATCACCGCTTGCTAGAATAGGCTGCCTAAAGTAAACATTCTTGGCGTGTAAAGCAAAAGATTGTCCTTGAACATTTCACAAGTGGTATCATCTAACCACTCGCAATTCTTAGATCGCATAAGAGCGTTAAAAAATGCTGGAGAGGGTGGGGTGTAGGCGTAGAGAGGAAGAAAAAAATATTCTTGTTCAATAAGTGTGCCACATCCAACAAAACCTTTAAACCGTGTGCCACATCCAACAAAATCTTTAACCCGTGTGCCACATCCAACAAAACCTTTAAACCGTGTGCCACATCCAACAAAATCTTTAACCCGTGTGCCACATCCAACAAAACCTTTAAACCGTGTGCCACATCCAACAAAATCTTTAACCCGTGTGCCACATCCAACAAAACTTTTAACCCGTGTGCCACATCCAACAAAATCTTTAACCCGTGTGCCACATCCAACAAAACCTTTAACCCGTGTGCCACATACAACACAACCTTTAACCCGTGTGCCACATCCAACAAAACCTTTAAACCGTGTGCCACATCCAACAAAATCTTTAACCCGTGTGCCACATCCAACAAAACTTTTAACCCGTGTGCCACATCCAACAAAATCTTTAACCCGTGTGCCACATCCAACAAAACCTTTAACCCGTGTGCCACATACAACACAACCTTTAACCCGTGTGCCACATCCAACACAATATTTAACCCGTGTGCCACATCCAACAAAACCTTTAACCCGTGTGCCACATCCAACAAAACCTTTAACCCGTGTGCCACATACAACACAACCTTTAACCCGTGTGCCACATCCAACACAACATTTAACCCGTGTGCCACATCCAACACAACATTTAACCCGTGTGCCACATCCAACAAAACATTTAACCCGTGTGCCACATACAACAAAATCTTTAACCCGTGTGCCCTATCCAACACAACATTTAACCCGTGTGCCACATACAACACAACATTTAACCCGTGTGCCACATCCAACACAACATTTAACCCGTGTGCCACATCCAACACAACATTTAACCCGTGTGCCACATCCAACAAAACATTTAACCCGTGTGCCACATACAACAAAATCTTTAACCCGTGTGCCCTATCCAACACAACATTTAACCCGTGTGTCCTATCCAACAAAATCTTTAACCCGTGTGCTACATCCAACACAACATTTAACCCGTGTGCCTCATCCAACACAACATTTAACCCGTGTGTCCTATCCAACAAAATCTTTAACCCGTGTGCTACATCCAACACAACATTTAACCCGTGTGCCACATACAACAAAATCTTTAACCCGTGTGCCCTATCCAACAAAATCTTTAACCCGTGTGCCCTATCCAACACAACATTTAAACCTTGTGCCCTATCCAACAAAATGTTAACTAGTGTTCTCCACTTTATAAGAAAGAAAACGAGTTTTAATAAGTTTGCATTATCCTAGCGTTAGAGTTGGGAGCGTAACATTTTTAACTCTATTTTTGTCTTTGTGTATTGGGAAAAGCAATAAAATTGAAAGTCAATCTTTTATTCGGTCTGTCTGTTCGCGTATCTGTCAGTGTTTTGTTCACGCAAGAACGGACAAAAATAGAAAGGTTTCTCGTCTGTATTTAGCAGAACGTTTTATTATCTGTACTGCAACAAACAACACACTCATCATAAAATACTTCCGCACGGAAGTTTTCAATGATAAAACTGCATAGTTTGGTTGTCGGCGCAAAACTATCCCGGAGAGAGAGATAAGACTTGTGGTTATTCAGGATTTGACGTGTCAGTTTGTGCCCTGCGACAGCCCAAACAAAATCCGATGATTTTATTGGCTCGTATTATTAGGTCAACATTACCAAACTCTTCAACTACTTGATTTACTTTTGGCTAGATACTTTTTGGTTTAAAAAATTGCTGGCAGATATTCCTACGAAAATAGAATCTATGTGTTTCTTAGAAGACATTAACTCGTTTCCTCGCCGCACAAGGCAAATTAAAAGATCTACAACATTGTTTTAAAACAGTTTAGATATTTATACCTGGGTTCGGTATTTTATTAAGAAATGTGCGCCGTGACTGAAGCTGAGATCAAAGTCAATATAAGTTATAACAATTTCAGTTGTTGTTTTTTATATACCCCCCCCCCCCCCCTTTTTTTTTTTCAATATATTCTAGGCTGACTTAGCTCTGGCCTAGTAAAACTGTGACTTTGTACGGCTAAAAATAACCGAATAGTGAATCACGGATGACAGAGCATTGAAACTATTTCCCTTTCTTCGGGGACAATTTAGATCCTTTTAACGAGTCTGTCAGTCTTGACTGATTGATATAAACATTGTCGTCGTTATGCAATCTGCCCAGGACAAAAGAGCTTCCTATTATACCTCTGCATGCACACCCACACAACAAAGGGACTGGCTTCTTATAAAAATATTGTTAAAATACGACCTTGGCCATTGTTATCACTGCAGTCATGTTACTGAATTTTTCTTGCATTATCAGAGCAGACCCAATAAGGAGTTGAGGATAGGTTTATGACACCTTTACCGTGTGCTATTGTAGAGCCAGGCTAGCACGGGATAAAAGGATCTTTTGTTGACGTTCAGGTTAAGAGAGCAAGGATTGCAGGGCGGTACTTTGTGAGGGGAGAGGGCAAAGGTTGTAGTGTTGTACTTTGTGAGGGGAGAGGGCAAGGATTGTAGGGCGGTACTTTGTGAGGGGAGAGGGCAAAGGTTGTAGTGTTGTACTTGGGGGGGGGGGGGGGGAGAGAGAGAAAAAGTTGTAGGCGGTACTTTGTGAGGTGAGAGCAAAGGTTGTAGTGTTGTACTTTGTGGGGGGGGGAGAGAACAAAGGTTGTAGTGTTGTACTTTGTGGGGGAGAGAGAGCAAAGGTTGTAGGGTTGTACTTTGTGGGGGAGAGAGAGCAAAGGTTGTAGGGTTGTACTTTGTGGGGGAGAGAGAGCAAAGGTTGTAGGGTTGTACTTTGTGGGGGAGGAAGAACAAAGGTTATAATGTTGTACTTTGTGGGGGGGGGGGAGAGAACAAAGGTTGTAGGGTTGTACTTTGTGAGGGGAGAGAGAGCAAAGGTTGTAGGGTTGTACTTTGTGGGGGAGAGAGAGCAAAGGTTGTAGGGTTGTACTTTGTGGGGGAGGAAGAACAATAGTTGTAATGTTGTACTTTGTGGGGGAGAGAGAGCAAAGGTTGTAGGGTTGTACTTTGTGGGGGAGAGAGAGCAAAGGTTGTAGGGTTGTACTTTGTGGGGGAGAGAGAGCAAAGGTTGTAGGGTTGTACTTTGTGGGGGAGAGAGAGCAAAGGTTGTAGGGTTGTACTTTGTGGGGGAGGAAGAACAAAGGTTGTAATGTTGTACTTTGTGGGGGGGGGGAGAAAAAACAAAGGTTGTAATGTTGTACTTTGTGAGGGGAGAGAGTGCAGTACTTTGTGGGGGCAGAGCATTCTGAAACCCATCTTCACCCCCTTAACCAATTCCTGACTACGCCACTGAATTTGACTGAGGATAAGTGAATTCTCGCAAGGGAAGAAAAAAAAAATTGGAGTGGAGTTTTTTTTTAATGTTTGGGCTGATTCACATACTTATTACAAAGGAGAGAGTAGGTTTCAATTGGAATTCTTGAGTGGTTCTTTTTATTTTCTATAACACACACATTATAAAGAAGTATAGACAACTGATTCAAGCATTTAATTATACCAAATCCATAGTATTGATAAGCGATAATACAAAAATGTGATAACATAATGAAAGTGCTTTTCAGATACTCAGAATAAGAAACTAAAAATAAAACAAGTCCATTTGTTTGTCCTACTAAAACATGTATGCTGAGTCATTCAATTATGCCAATATTGGATCGCATTCTAAATTCTCTGAATGTGCCTATGAAGAATTCTGTAAAAATAAACCAAATGTGCTGGATGTTGTGAACTAACACAATTTTAAGATGGCTGATTAAAACAGTGGAAACTCTAGGGTAAATGGGTGAGAGATGGATGCATCTGATTGCCCTCCCTCCTCTTCTTGCAGACTGATCCAACATGTCAAACCCCTCCCCCCCCCCCTCTCTCCCCTCACTGGCAAGCCCACCTTGAGACTAGTGTGTTCAAACAGTTTGATTAAATTAAACATGCCTTGCTCCCATACAAAATATAGCAACATGCTGGAACATGTGTTTTTAATAACAAAGAGCTATTGTAGCAAAACATCCCAAATGTTTCATGCTAATTAACTAACAACACAGAGTGTCAAGTAATTAAGCAAAGAGAAATCAGGCAAGAAAGATAATCCTATTAAAAATAAGGGACTTAAGTCTTGCTCTTCCCTTAATGTGCTGGCTCTTGGAAGTGGATGTGAGGGAGGAGCAATACAAAAAAGTGGAACTCTATTCTGTCTCATTTGTGAATATCACTTTTTTAAGATTTTATTTCCAGGGAAATTTATACCATTAACACAGAACATATTTTTTTAACATATTGTTGACTTAAAGTAAAGGTTTGATCCAACTTACCCCTGACTCTATTGTTTGATGCTTTTGGTCGTCTTGATTCTCCCATTTGGCCTTCAGAAATTGATAAAAATCCTGAGATGGAGAGAAGAAAAAAAATCCTGTTAAATGCAATAGATGAGGTGTCAGATTCTCAGATACCATTTTTTTCAATTAGGTGAATAAAGATGCGTCTGATTTAAAGTCTTCAAAACAAACTGACCTTCAAACACTGAAGGCATCTGCTTGTCTTGGTCATCTTCATTTCTTAGTTCTCCTGCTGAAAGAATTAATTTCTTTAAAGGCATTTTTCATGGTGGGGAAAACATAAACAGTAAGGTTAATACACAGGAATATAATCTTTATACTTCTGGGCATAATAGATCAACTTCTACAAAATGTTTACATAGGATGGCAAGTTTATCATGGAAGTCTAATTAATCTGGTATAATATTCACTAGATGAACATTTAACTTTTATGACTCACTTTGAGCATCTGGTTTATCAATGATCATGATTGGTGTGTTTTCTACCTTTGGCACTCTCCCTGTCAATTAAAACATTGAACAATTGTCAAGAATGGTGTGATTTCTATCTTTAGCAATCTTGTTAGGAAATTCAAATTTACTACAAAAAGTGGGACAACATGGTCAGGAGTTAGCACTACTGTCAGCCCAAATGTCTCAAGTTTGGATCCTGGACTCGAGTCAGTAGGACATCCCTAAATCAGCCAAGCTCTGATGGCAAGTCAATACTTGAGTTAAGGAAAGTGACTGCACTTTCTCCTTATATGCAGAGGTCACAGAAACAGAAGACATCTACTTCATCTGCCCTATGAACCCTCAGGTCAGACAGGGTAACTAACCAAGTAACAAGATGACTGACCTATAGTGGTGGCCAACTGATCTCTAGAGAGTGTAGTAACAAGATGACTGACCTATAGTGGTGGCCAACTGATCTCAGACAGGGTAACTAACCAAGTAACAAGATGACTGACCTATAGAGGTGGCCAACTGATCTCTAGAGAACTAACCAAGTAACAAGATGACTGACCTATAGAGGTGGCCAACTGATCTCTAGAGAACTAACCAAGTAACAAGATGACTGACCTATAGAGGTGGCCAACTGATCTCAGACAGGGTAACTAACCAAGTAACAAGATGACTGACCTATAGAGGTGGCCAACTGATCTCTAGAGAACTAACCAAGTAACAAGATGACTGACCTATAGAGGTGGCCAACTGATCTCTAGAGAACTAACCAAGTAACAAGATGACTGACCTATAGAGGTGGCCAACTGATCTCTAGAGAACTAACCAAGTAACAAGATGACTGACCTATAGAGGTGGCCAACTGATCTCAGACAGGGTAACTAACCAAGTAACAAGATGACTGACCTATAGAGGTGGCCAACTGATCTCTAGAGAACTAACCAAGTAACAAGATGACTGACCTATAGAGGTGGCCAACTGATCTCTAGAGAACTAACCAAGTAACAAGATGACTGACCTATAGAGGTGGCCAACTGATCTCTAGAGAACTAACCAAGTAACAAGATGACTGACCTATAGTGGTGGCCAACTGATCTCAGACAGGGTAACTAACCAAGTAACAAGATGACTGACCTATAGAGGTGGCCAACTGATCTCAGACAGGGTAACTAACCAAGTAACAAGATGACTGACCTATAGTGGTGGCCAACTGATCTCTAGAGAGTGCGTTGATGGAGGTTTTATCCTCCGAGTCATCTCCATGGTTGAGTGAGTGAAGTGCAGAATCATCAGAGAGGAAGGTGCACAATGACTGGGAGTCTTGAACCAGTGAATTAGAAATCCTAAAAATTTCCCATTTGTACTGTAGTGGACCCTCAGGACAGCTGACACAGTGTGTGCGGAAAGATATTTTTCTATCAGAGTTGACCCGGTTTTTATAACACTGTGGACATTCTAGCAAGACTCTGAGAAATAGAAGAAAAACTACATTTAAAACTTTAATAGTAAATTTGTGATTTAATCTGAATACAACACTGTTATACTTTTTAAAACATGGATAAGTTCTCTTATTGATGGAGCATAGAGCAAATAAAATAAGACTTGCATTATATTTATATTAACTTTTATATTTTTGACTTAAATCTATTAAAAAAAAATTTAAAATGTAAGTTAACTAGGACTGATATTACTCAAAATTAGAATGAATAAATGCTATCTAATATCAATTCTAATTCATCAAGCAAAACTTTCAGATCAGGCAAAATTTTAATTTAAGACCCATAAAATAAAATGTAATAGTTGACTTACTCTAAAACATTAGGATCAGGCAAAACTTTAATGACTTGATCTGCCACAGCAATCTCCTCAGTTTTGTTAGCAGCAGCTGCTAGTGGAGTGGGTTTGAAGACAGTCAGATTGAAAACAAACTGAGTGTAGTTGGAGTTTAACCAACTGGCTGGAAACATCAGGACAGAGGTGTTCCTCTCTGGCACCAGTGAGCTGTTGTAAAAACAGGACTCAGATTTGGCCTTCAAAGGATGACAGCCCCACATAAACCTGAGAATGTAAGCAACACAACTTGTAAGTTCAAAGTTCACTCAAACCTGTTCAAAAAACATCACAAGTAAAGCATCAAATACATTTTTTTCTAGAACTTCTTAAAAGGCTATCATTTGTGAACACAAGAACACACAAGTAAATTTTTCATACCAAAGTCAATGCTAAATTATCTTCCATTTTTTTTTTTCATTTTTTTTCAATACTCACCCTAATTTTACAGAAGAATCATCTGCATTCACTGATTTCCTTCCATCTAAAATGACTGTACTGTTTTGCTTGATATGCCGATAGATGCCACCATGAATGTGGCTTACAAGTGGAGTGGATTTTATAGTGACATTCACCTCAGACTCAGAGTACACTGGTATTATTGTACCATTCATTTCAACCTTGAGAACATTTCAACATTTCTTTTAGAAAAGTGAAAGTACAATTTTTTTTAAATGTTTTCATGCACAGATATTAAAAGGATGCATGGAAGAACTATCCATATTTGTGTCAATTTACTTTAAATAAGACCTTTTTATTAAAATTGTGTTAAAAATAATTGAAAACTACTAGTGTAAACTATTTTTTGTCTACAAACTGAATTGAAAATGGTGACTGTAACCAGTATCTTTGAATTAACACCCACCTTTAACTGAAAAATATATTTTCCTTCGTCTAGAGTCCATGGTGGAAGAATGAGAGCAGGGCTTTTGACATGTCTATAAGCTCTCCTTTCTACCATTCTAGGCAGGTACAGGTTGACAGGCACATGATTGGTGGCAGCTTTCACCTCCCATCTAAAGCGCACTCTGCTAGTTACTGAGCAGTTGATTTTAATGTTTGCTTCCACTCTTATTAATTCAGACTGCAAAAATTCAAGCTGGAATAAAATAATAAATAAACTTGTTAGCAAAATGGCAGAAACAAACAAAGTATATGTTGTATGCAGTAGCTGGACATGATTGCAACTGATGTGCCTAAAACAATTTTACCTGAATATAATCCGTCTGAGGCTGATATCCTAATATTGTGATCTGAGGTGGTTTACAGTATTCTGGCAGTACAAAAATTCTTTTAGCTGCCTCACTTGAACCCACTGGATTTGTTGCATATAGCCTTACCATGTATTCACCAACTCTGTAGATATATTACAATACATCAAAGGCATTATTTCATGTTTCTAACTTCAGAGCCAAAATGTGAAGAATGACTGAATCTATAAAAAACAAGTAGTCTTCTTTTTCATTTTTAATTGTAATGTTGGAAGCAGGTGTGCCATTTAGGCAGTGGACTTAGATTTTAGCCTGCTTTCCTTATTGGAAATTCTTCCATAGCCTTTGTCCAACCAACAACAAACTACATGGCAGCAGTTTTCTCTCCTGAAAGAGTCGCTGTCCCCAGCTATCAAACCTCATCTGCCCAGGAGTTCAAACTTGGAACTTTTTGGTTAAGCAGCCATCAGCTCTACAGACCTAACCGTGCCAACCCCTAAACAAGTAGTAAAAGCAAAAGCCTTATCAATCAAACTTACTGCTGGTAGTCATGAGCAGCCGTGTCATTGTTTGAATGATTCAAAAAATGTCCATCTCCAAAGTCCCAAGTATAATTGGCAAGATTGCCCTGCAAGCTAACAGCTGAGAACAGCACAGTTGAACCAACAAGTGTGTCTTTCAAAATGTTGATGGACAGCCCTCTGATTGGGGCCACCACAAGCATCTTGACTGGTTCAGATTCTACTTCACCTTTACAGTTGCCTGCTGTCACTTTGACACGTTGCCTACAGTTGGTAGAGCAGTGGGAAATTGTGAAGTTAAGAGGTCTGGCTAGTAGTGAAATATGGGAGGTCATGCTAATAGTGAAATATAGGAGGTCTGGCTAGAAGTGAAATATGGGAGGTCTGGCTAGAAGTGAAATATGGGAGGTCTGGCTAGAAGTGAAATATGGGAGGTCTGGCTAGAAGTGAAATATGGGAGGTCTGGCTAGAAGTGAAATATGGGAGGTCTGGCTAGAAGTGAAATATGGGAGGTCTGGCTAATAGTGAAATATGGGAGGTCTGGCTAGAAGTGAAATATGGGAGGTCTGGCTAGAAGTGAAATATGGGAGGTCATGCTAATAGTGAAATATAGGAGGTCTGGCTAGAAGTGAAATATGGGAGGTCTGGCTAGAAGTGAAATATGGGAGGTCTGGCTAATAGTGAAATATGGGAGGTCTGGCTAGAAGTGAAATATGGGAGGTCTGGCTAGAAGTGAAATATGGGAGGTCTGGCTAGAAGTGAAATATGGGAGGTCATGCTAATAGTGAAATATAGGAGGTCTGGCTAGAAGTGAAATATGGGAGGTCTGGCTAGAAGTGAAATATGGGAGGTCTGGCTAATAGTGAAATATGGGAGGTCTGGCTAGAAGTGAAATATGGGAGGTCTGGCTAGAAGTGAAATATGGGAGGTCTGGCTAGAAGTGAAATATGGGAGGTCTGGCTAGAAGTGAAATATGGGAGGTCTGGCTAGAAGTGAAATATGGGAGGTCTGGCTAATAGTGAAATTTGAGAGGTCTGGCTAATAGTGAAATATGGGAGGTCTGGCTAGAAGTGAAATATGGGAGGTCTGGCTAGAAGTGAAATATGGGAGGTCTGGCTAATAGTGAAATATGGGAGGTCTGGCTAATAGTGAAATTTGAGAGGTCTGGCTAATAGTGAAATATGGGAGGTCTGGCTAATAGTGAAATTTGAGAGGTCTGGCTAATAGTGAAATATGGGAGGTCTGGCTAATAGTGAAATTTGAGAGGTCTGGCTAATAGTGAAATATGGGAGGTCTGGCTAGAAGTGAAATATGGGAGGTCTGGCTAATAGTGAAATATGGGAGGTCTGGCTAATAGTGAAATTTGAGAGGTCTGGCTAATAGTGAAATATGGGAGGTCTGGCTAGAAGTGAAATATGGGAGGTCTGGCTAGAAGTGAAATATGGGAAGTCATGCTAATAGTGAAATATGGGAGGTCTGGCTAATAGTGAAATTTGAGAGGTCTGGCTAATAGTGAAATTTGGGAGGTCTGGCTAATAGTGAAATATGGGAGGTCTGGCTAATAGTAAAATATGGGAGGTCGTGCTAATAGTGAAATATGGGAGGTCGTTCTAATAGTGAAATATGGGAGGTCGTGCTAATAGTGAAATATAGAAGGTCTGGCTAGGAGTGAAATATGGGAGGTCTGGCTAATGGTGAAATTATGGAGGTCTGGCTAAAGGTGAAATATGGGAGGTCTTGCTAATCGTGAAATATGGGAGGTCTGGCTAATCCAAAAGTGACAAAACTTCTAATGTAGCTAATGCACAAGTAAACTTACGTCTGGCTAATCAAAAAGTAGTGAAACATCTTACCAGCCAATCATCTTGTAGCTGTAAATATAGTTTCCATTAGTCTCATACTTAGATGTAGCAGGATCTGAACTGAAGTGCCATTTAAAGTATTTGTCTGTGCTAGCGTGCACAGATGGAGGATGAACTTTGGCTACATGGTTGACTGGATGGTCTTGGACTACCAAGTAGCTGCTTACACTAACGTTGACACCTAATCCAAAAATTGATGAAATCTTTCAACATTCATTTACTTATCTTAAGGATATTGTAAAAACAAAAGATTTTTTAAAAGTGTAATTTTAAATAAAATGTGACAAGGAAAGGCCTAAGTCACTTGAAATAATAATATCCCTACAAACTAACCCAAAATCTTTCAGAATTTATTTGATCTAGAACTTACCCAATATTTTCTCAACAATTTTGACAAGAACTTTATGTTCAGTGAATCCAACTTTGTTGTGAGCTATGACTTGAATAATTCTTTCTCCAGTTTGACGATATTTATGTGTCACATAGTTCCCTGTAAGGCAATGTATGTATGAATATTTAGAGAAACATTGAGGTAGAGAGATATTTAGATATAGCTTAAACAGTATTTGTAATCTTAAACATCATTTTAAAATGTACCATGCAAATTTGAAACACATGGAAAAGAATAATTCCAGAATGTTTACCCACACTTTTGTACACATCAGAAATAATAAAGTCAGTTGCTAAAAATAGGCACAAAATGTCACAGTCACTATTTGATTTTGCTAGCTGTCTTACCTTCATTAATAATCTCTCTTCCGTCATCAACTTTCCAGTTGTAGGAGACATTAGTGCCTGCCTCAACACTAGCATTCAGGTAAACAACCTCCCCAAACTGTATACAGGTACTGTTAGCATCAACCTTCAGATTCTTTGGAGGAACTTGCACATAGAATGGTCCAGACAGGTGGGCAGTGGCACTTCCTAAGGGGTTGGTGGCAGCCACCTTTACATCATACACACCCTCTGAAATTATTCAGTCATTCCAATACAGTAAGAACAATATACAACTTTTTGGCTTCATGTAAGTGCAAAAGGATGTTCTGTGTAATGGATATGTAAAGCTGTGTTCTGTGTAGCTGATATGTAAAGCTGTGTTCTGTGTAGCTGATATGTAAAGCTGTGTTCTGTGTAGCTGGTACTTAAGGCTGTGTTCTGTGTAGCTGGTATATAAAGCTGTGTTCTGTATAGCTGGTATGTAAAGCTGTGTTCTGTGTAGCTGATATGTAAAGCTGTGTTCTGTGTAGCTGATATGTAAAGCTGTGTTCTGTGTAGCTGGTACTTAAGGCTGTGTTCTGTGTAGCTGGTATATAAAGCTGTGTTCTGTATAGCTGGTATGTAAAGCTGTGTTCTGTGTAGCTGATATGTAAAGCTGTGTTCTGTGTAGCTGATATGTAAAGCTGTGTTCTGTGTAGCTGGTACTTAAGGCTGTGTTCTGTGTAGCTGGTATATAAAGCTGTGTTCTGTATAGCTGGTATGTAAAGCTGTGTTCTGTGTAGCTGATATGTAAAGCTGTGTTCTGTGTAGCTGATATGTAAAGCTGTGTTCTGTGTAGCTGATATGTAAAGCTGTGTTCTGTGTAGCTGATATGTAAAGCTGTGTTCTGTGTAGCTGATATGTAAAGCTGTGTTCTGTGTAGCTGATATGTAAAGCTGTGTTCTGTGTAGCTGATATGTAAAGCTGTGTTCTGTGTAGCTGATATGTAAAGCTGTGTTCTGTGTAGCTGATATGTAAAGCTGTGTTCTGTGTAGCTGATATGTAAAGCTGTGTTCTGTGTAGCTGATATGTAAAGCTGTGTTCTGTGTAGCTGATATGTAAAGCTGTTCTGTGTAGCTGATATGTAAAGCTGTGTTCTGTGTAGCTGATATGTAAAGCTGTGTTCTGTGTAGCTGATATGTAAAGCTGTGTTCTGTGTAGCTGATATGTAAAGCTGTGTTCTGTGTAGCTGATATGTAAAGCTGTGTTCTGTGTAGCTGATATGTAAAGCTGTGTTCTGTGTAGCTGATATGTAAAGCTGTGTTCTGTGTAGCTGATATGTAAAGCTGTGTTCTGTGTAGCTGATATGTAAAGCTGTGTTCTGTGTAGCTGATATGTAAAGCTGTGTTTTGTGTAACTGGTAAAGTTATGTTCTGTGTAGCTGGTACATAAAGATAAGCAACTAACCTTTAGTATATACATGTTCAACATAAGCTCGTTTCATTGATAACAGGTCATTCATTCCTTCAACTGTTATAAAAGTCCCATCTCCAAAATCAAAGGTAAATATAACTGAAGACCCACCACACCTAAAAAATGACAGATAGGTTTTATTAACACACACATTTTTTTATTTAAATGGAGTATTTTTATAAAAATCTGAAGGGTCTTTGAAGTATTTTTAAAGTGTTAATTGCACAAAATGTCAAAGTTACAGGTTGAAATTTCAGCCTTTACATTACCTAGCTTCAAAACCAACTGCTGGTGTAGCCAGAGCATCATTAGTTTCCAAAGCTGCTGTGTTGGACAAATTGTGGCTTGGATCAACTATATGGATGATTTGTGGGCTGGATAATGGCTCAATAACTTCTATTTGAAAAGGAAGTTTCACTTGTATCCCTTTCTTCTGCAAATGATTGCTCACAATGACACTGACTTCATATTTAGATGCAACACTAAAAAGATGGCTTGCTTTGCTTGTATTTCCTTCACTGAAATGGAATGCAACATTTTTTGTTTATAGTATGTTTTAATTATGAATCACAGCTATATTTTAGAATAAAAAGTGTTTCTACACTCAATTTGCAAGACTTAAATGTTTTTTGTTTGTAGTTTATAGTACACAGCAAAGTTACTTTTATTGGCAGTGCTTATTACGGTCCATGATAGAGGACATGTGCAAGGCTCTAATGTCCTCCCTGAGACATAACAGGAAATAAATATTGTGCTTATATCCTCTTAAGGTTGTTTGTTTATTTCTTCTAACATAAAAATATCTGAGGTAAAAAAAAAACACCTACATGATGCTACAAAAGATGTTTATTTCATTAATCAGTTAAACTTCTTAAAACTTGCTCTGATTAAAATCATTAATACTATTTTCTTAGACTTAACAAACCTTCAACTAACCCCTAAAGCTAACTAAGATAAATATCATGTATTAAAAATTATATTAATTCCATTTGCATTATCAACCGCCATAGTTCTAATAGTTTCTAAACTCAAAACCTTTTTGATAGCTGCCTTAATCTCAATTCGGCCACATAGCACTTGAAACAAATTCCAAAAACAGCATTATATGAAATAAAACAAACTTTGGTTTAAAAGTTCTAAAACTAAGTATGTCTATAAACAGAAGCTAAATAGAGAAGAAATATGCATGTTGTTTCTTTCCTCACCCTGTGACAGTATAAGCACTTCCACTTTAATTAACCTTGTCCTTATTAAAAAAACTAAAATATTCACCTGATAACTGTTGTTGGGTTGCTATCTGAAAAATCCCAGGCAAAATTCAGATTTTTCCCTGAGCTGACCACAGCGGTAACAACCAGTTCATCATTGATGGAGATGTATGTACTGTCTGTGTACAGGCGGACTGTTCCAATTGTCTCTTCTACCACTGCTCGTCTACTGCGGCGTACAGAGGAGATGCCATTTGTAATCAACACAGAAACATTGTAGTCACCTATCTCTTGAAATGTGTGCTGCAGCTTGACAAGGTATTTAGGTACAAAATTCTGCTCCCTACTTGATTGCAGGTTCTCAGTGTTTAGTTGGGTGACAGATAAAGATTCAAATGGGTACAAAATGGGATGGTTTTCTCCACATAATAAAGTTATATTGAATTTCTGTCCACCTTGAATGCTGATGGACAGATTGGTGGGTACACCCAGGATGCTTGCTGGGATATCAAGCACAGCCCCAACAATTGGGTGCTTGACAGTGAAACTCATGGAGGCTTGTGCTGAGCTGATTTCATTGGAGGCATTAACAAGTAGAGTGTGGGCTCCTGGATTGTTAAATCCAATAGTAAACTGAAAATCAATGGGGGTAGATTTGAATTAGTTTTTAAGTTGACTGCTTATAAGCAAAGTATCTCACACAAAAATATTTAAAAGCATATAGCAGTACTTTATTTATAAGTGTGAAAATGAGCAAAATAACTAGATTCACTGAGCCTATAAACAATCAAGCCATAATTATTTTCACCAGGTAAATCTAGACACAGTCGTGCACAAAGATGCCCAGATTTACCTTGCTATTGTACAATCAACCCATACAATCACTAGCAATGTAAAACTGTGGGTTCCTGTCTAAAGTGATCTATGGTTTAAACTAGACAAGCATTTATGTACACACAAAAACTGATAATAAAACATTTCTAGCTGTGCTGTTGTTTCAACCTGTGATGATGGCATTTAGTGATACAGCACATAAACTGCTAACCCCACTGTCTTGAGTCTGGTTTTGCAGACTCCAGTCCTTAGCACAAGCCTGATGGGCAACTGCTGTGTGTCAGGGCTAATAGTGGCAGCCAAACAGTACTGACAATAATACTTTCATGTGCAGGTTTAAAGAAATTCTATGTCATCCAGAGGCGTAGAGAGGGTAGGTGACACCTGACCTAGCAACACCACTGATGTCATGTGTCATATGGACTGTCAAGGAATATGTGTTGAACTTGTTTCAACCAGGGAAGCAGCAGTCAAGTATGTCCAATGGTGTCATTAGTAAGGGTGTCACTGAGAGAGTAGGTAACTTCTGTAGCTGTCTCTATATAGTCAGATCTCTTTTAAATACCTTATTACTGGTTGTTTGTGTCACTGAGAGAGTAGGTAACTTCTGTAGCTGGCTATATATAGTCAGATCTCAAATACCTTATTACTGGTTGTTTGTGCCTGAGTGACTCCATCAAGCAGCCAGACGTAGATGACATGAGATCCAGATTCTAGCTGGGTTTGCCAAAGTTCAGAGCTGAAATCAAAATGAATAAGTAGGCCTACAATTATTGTCCAATAAACAATTTTATTTTATTTCATGGATTCATCTTAAAAAAATTGAAAGATTGATTGTATGAATTATAATAAGCCATTGCTATTTTCTCAGTATTGCTTAATTTTTTGGAGATTTACAATATGGATATTTTTTATTTTAGGATATATGTATGTGAATGTATATGTATAATATGTAGGTATGTGTATATATAAATGAAATAGTGTGAAGTGGACGTAACCTGATGTATACATTTAAAAAATAACACGAACAAAGCATTCAGAAAACCAGGCTGGAAGTTGTATTCAAGTGCACTGCACTAACCTTCCTACTGATATTTTTTCCTGACATGAAAAGGTCATAAGCCAAAAAAATGTTTTCTGACAAGCACATTTTCTAACAACCTACAGCCTAAAAGACATTCAAATGTCAGGACCCCTATGGTGTGCATGGAAAATAAACTACCAGTGCCATTGACACATAATGCTCCCTACTATACTATGTGGTCAGATAGTTACATCAGTAACAATATATATTTTTTTAAATATACATGTATGCAAATCTATGGGTATATTTTTTTAAACTGAAACACTATTTTAAAAAAAGACTTAATAAATTAGTAAAAAACTCAAGATGACTTTCATTGGGATGCCTAATCTACACTAAAGGTCCAGAACAGAAGTTGCCCTTGGGCTGTCTAGTCTAGAAAACAGACACAACACTGTTTCTGTTTCTTTATTTGCCAGAGGGAAACAATGGGCCACATGTTAGGGAAGATGAAATAGGCCACTACAGAGTTAGTCATATTCACCCCCTCCCCCAACACAAACACCAACAACAGACCTTTGATAATTTGAGTACTACCAAAACTGCCCAGTGTTCCCGCCCTCCCCTCCCATCTTCCCACCTCAATACTAAATTTAAAAACGAAAATAATGAAGATAATTTAAGTAAAACTAATTAACTTGAACATTTTAATAAAATACAATTAAGACTCGCAAACTTTAAAAAAACGCTGTTATAAATTATTTCAGATGCGCAAACTGCAAAAAAGAAAATAGTTTATTTATAATTTAGCACTTCCTCCCCTTGAGAATAAAAAAAAATGAGAACCACGTTTGGACAGCATGGAATAAGAGGTAGCAATTTGTTTGAAATGAACATCGGATAGCCTTGATCATTATTTCGTGCCGGAGGACTGGTCGTTAGAAAAACTAAATATTTAAACTAGCACGAGTGAATTAAATACAGATGTTATTTTGGATTTATATTTTGTTTAATGGCAAGAACGGGGTGTATTTCCTTTATAACTTTGTAATTTTTTAATGTGCAGCGGGGGAGGAAAGGGCAGGGTAAATGAAACGTGGTGGGCAGACGTTAAAGATTTTTTTTTTAACATTGCAGCCAGCTTAGGTGAGGGGGGAGGTGGGGGAAAGGGGGGAGGGGGGCTAGCGAGCTAGCCATATGGCACGGACCTTACACCTGATTTTTCTTGAGACTGAGCGTATTTTTCCCCATCCTGGCAACTTGGAGTTGTTATGAAAGCTATGATGGTGCAGTTATTACTTCATAACGACCCGTGGAGTTCAACTAGGTATTAGGTGGTTTACTCCATACATTTCTTTATACTAACACTTGCAGGGTAAAGAATAACGCTTCAATACCCACAATGATAATAAATCAAGTTTCTTTAACTGATACTAAGATCGACAGCGTAATCGTAAAAAAAATAGAATCAAGTTTCATCAACTACACAATAACGTACTGTACAATCTTAAATGTTAATCCCTTTTATTAACAGACGCAATGCCCCAACACATAATCTCGTTTCATCAACGAACACAATGATGCACTTTTATCTTCGGTCTGTTTCGTGTTTCTTCAACTGGACCACCCACCCGGCCTATACATAATAGCTAGGATCTAGTCGGGCTAAGTGAGGTCACATTTAAGCTGCATTTGCGAGTTTCAATAGGCCGACCATAAACTTTACACAACCACAAAGATGTCTATTGGGCTTAAACAAAGGTGTCGAAATCAGGTGTTTCAACCGTGTTTCTACGGGCATTTGGTAAGGTGTGGATGTCTATCGGGTAAGACAGAGGTGTCTATCGGGTAAGACAGAGGTGTCTATCGGGTAAGACAGAGGTGTCTATCGGGTAAGACAGAGGTGTCTATCGGGTAAGACAGAGGTGTCTATCGGGTAAGACAGAGGGGTCTATCGGGTAAGACAGAGGTGTCTAACGGGTAAGACAGAGGTGTCTATCGGGTAAGACAGATGTGTCTAACGGGAAAGACAGGGGTGTCTATCGGGTAAGACAGAAGTGTCTATGGTGATGGGGAAGATATGTCTAGTGGGGTTAAGACAGTGTTGTCTTCTAAGGTTAAACAAACGTAAGCGGGTGTAATCCCTGTAAATATGTAGACAATCTGTCATTGAATTGGTTTAGACCATCTTTCATTGAATGGGTTTAGACACTCTGTCATTGAATTGGTTTAGACCATCTTTCATTGAATGGGTTTACACACTCTGTCATTGAATTGGTTTAGACCATCTTTCATTGAATGGGTTTACACACTCTGTCATTGAATTGGTTTAGACAATCTGTCATTGAATGGGTTTTATCAGTAAGGGCTGGAGGCACAATGTTTATTAAGAACTGCACCGATGAGCTAATGAAATGAACACATCGTATTGTTCAGAGGTGTAACGAACAGGTACAACGTTTCAGATAACAACGAAATAGTATTAGTGTCAACATACCTTTATAGGCGACGTTTTCATACATTCCTATTGACACACAGTAAACGTTTCACCGAATATACGACAGCCAGATGTAATCCCTTCTGATATCTCAATCTTGGTGCGCAAACTTGCCTTACAAGAACTAATGAAACGTAGCCCAGAAAGAATGCGACAAGGTCAGGTTTTTCCTTTCTACGCTAGCCTCGACATCTCAAACAACGGCCGCAGGCAATTAGTGGCTCAACCGCCGCATGGCTAACTTCCCTAACTAGTGGGGAACCCAGTGAGACCGGCTGGTCTACCTGACACATCCAGTGCACCTGAATGACAGAAGACTGGGGCACATGCCAGCCCAACCTGTTATGACTACAAACATCTACAAATGCGCTCAAGATCCCCACTGTTTTCACTCCAACGCTATTTTCGTTCAATCTTCTTAAACAACCTGACATCTCATTGGGGAGATGTTGATGTTGGCCCCGCGTCTGACACAGCAGTTCATTCAAGTTTCATACTCATCAATCATTCACTTAGCATTCATAATCATGAGGATTTTAACCCTCAAATTGGATAAAATAATAAAACCGCGCTAAAATACAATTAATAAAACATGATAATCTGAAACTAGGAACAACGATGGGGGAAAATATGAGTGCATGCAACCCCTATTCGGAAGATATTGTAGCTTGCTGTTTGTTCATTGTATCTAAACACAAGCACCAACAACTAGATATAAATAGGTGTTGGGGGAGTATGCATACATTATTACAGTCAGACTTTTGAAATGTTCAGTGTGAAAGACAAGTGGAGAACAATGAGACTTCTTTGAAGACGCGCCGCGTTTAACCGATACAACTAGAGCTACACAGATATGTGTTTACTGCATTGTTAGCTCATATTTTAAAACTGCCATTGTAGCGTGTTCTGTGAATAATAACACTTAAAATGTTCAATTTAACTTAAATTTTAGTTTTATTCGTAGGAATCATACTATATACTAAATTAGTATTCGCCATCTAACTATATAATACAATATTTTTTAAATAATAAACTTGTAAACGCATTAAAGAGTAGCTTGCGATCTCTAAAAGACAAATAATTTCTACCAGTTCTTAGTCCATCATCTCAGACAAGAAATCAGCACACAGTGACCAAACAACTGACGACCAGCTCATTTTAAATAGATCGATCGCTAGTTTCTCTTGTTATCGCCCCTTTTATAATTGAATATAGTATCTATTAAATTAAGTTTTAATGACTAACTTAATATGTAATTAGATTAGATAATAGATATTCTTGCATTGTCGCCGGAAACGAAATTATCTGAATCGTTTGGGTCAAAATTAAGTTACAAGATTTGCCACGTCCCGCAAACAAAAAACAAAACAAACAACAAAGAGACAATGTGAACTAAATAAAAGCATATAAAAAATTGCAGTTTTCACTTCAGTTTGTATTACACTGTTCTAACACTTGACCTGCCAGCTACCTCAGTGCTATCCGTACCACATACCTGAGTTCTATTTTTTTTTTAACTGACAAACATTTATTAAAAAGTGTGGAGAATAATACGTTCTTTATTTTTAAAGATAAATTATGAGAAAAACGTAATTGTAAGTTGATACTCAGGTGTATTTAAATAAAGTTATCTATCCATCTTGTGTGTTGAGTTGATAACATACTCTGACTAAGGTATATGAGATAACGTTTCAATATAAATAATAGTCCATCAACTCACGGGAAAACTAGAACCGGGATTAATTGACAACTTACAACTTAATTATAGTGCTTTACAAGACAACACCACGTTTACTGCAACTAACAGTGGATTACTAGACAACCCAACGTTTACTGTAACTAATCATGGATTACTTGACAACCCCACGATTACTGCAACTAACAATGGATTACTTGACAACCCCACGTTTACTTTAACTAATCATGGATTACTTGACAACCCCGCGTTTACTGTAACTAATGGATTACGTGACAACCCAACGTTTACTGCAACTAACAATGGATTACTTGACAACCCAACGTTTAGTGTAACTAACAGTGGATTACTAGACAACCCAACGTTTACTGTAACTAATCATGGATTACTTGACAACCCCACGATTACTGCAACTAACAATGGATTACTTGACAACCCCGCGTTTACTGTAAGTAATCATGGATTACTTGACAACCCCGCGTTTACTGCAACTAATGGATTACTTGACAACCCCACGTTTACTGCAACTAATGGATTACTTGACAACCCCACGTTTACTGCAACTAATGGATTACTTGACAACCCCACGATTACTGCAACTAAAATTGATTACTTGACAACCCCACGTTTACCGCAACTAAATTCAATATGAGTAGCGTGTAAATAGCTCATTTGGTTTTTACACTTGAATCCCACAAGTCTGACAAACGGGAGACCAGCGATAACTCAATTTGGAAGGAGAGGATCGATTTCTAGCAATAACTCTCATCAATTGATTTCTTCCCCCTCAATTTTTGTTCCTAGTCCCGGTAACTAAAATGAAGGTGATTCACTTTGTCATTTTTTAACGTAATCTGTAACAGCATTATTGTAATCTGAAGGAAAAAGTTTTAGAGCATTCCTAATCTAAATGTATTATAGTGGCCTTCATGAAAATATTTTTATTTCAAATCTATATTAAACATAATATCTTTACCTAGAGCATTAGTGTACTCCAAATCTACCTTAATTCTAATGTCACGACTACTAATTGTTTGTAATCCAAATCTACATTAATTTGCTATCATCAAAACACCGTAGTTTTAGAACAGGGTTGTTAGTGATATACTAAACCTGATGTGTGTAAAATCACGGGTAGGAAACTCTTGTTTATCTTCCCGTTAGAAATGATATCCAAGTCCAGAGGCATGATGGCGCCATACCACTGTTATATATGACAGCTAGATTATCTCCCAGAGACCACTGTTCAATATGACAGCTAGATTATCTCCCAGAGACCACTGTTCAATATGACAGCTAGATTATCTCCCAGAGACCACAGTTCAATATGACAGCTAGATTATCTCCCAGAAACGAGGCACCATAAGAAAGTTCTACACCTCGCGCCCCGCTGTTGGGAAACTACCGGCACTGCAAATGGCCATCGGAGGATCTGTATCCCAGACCTCAAGTTCCCAAACCAACTTCCGCTTATCACTTTCTGCCATCAGTGTGAAACATTGATTCGCGTCACCCCCACAGTGGTACAGATCTATCCAGCAGCTCTGCGCTAATCTAAACACGGCTATCAGATATGATCAAATCTTGACTTACCACCCGATTCCAACGTCAGTGGGCCCCAGGAGCCGCAGATCTTTGATTGGCTCCTCCACCACAAGCACTGAGCGCAGGGCCGGGTTGTTGCTGTTAGGCTTTCTGCCGTAAAAGGAGACGTCAAGCGCAAACACACCTGGGACCTGGAACTCGTGGCCCCAGCTACAACTGTGGAACAGGGAACAAAGTCAGCACAGAAAGAAAAGCTCTCACATCAAGGGAAAACAAACAGAGGGATTGCACGTGGAATGCTGAGCCCCTCTAGCCAAAAGTCAAAGTTAAAACACCGAGTGTAGGGAAGAAGACTGGAGGATGAAGCGTGGGGGAAGAGGGAGGGCTGGGACAGAAAGGAGACCACAGGAAGAGCGATAGAGAGCTGGGGATACACACTTGGACAAGGGAGGGGGGGGGGGTGATATACAGCATTTAATTTCTATTTTTATCAAATAGCAAGTTCTATTATAATCTCAAGCACACTTTTACGCATTTAGAGTTTAACGTAAATACGTTGAGCCCGAGGACAAAAATAAATAAGTATGGTCCACTACGTGGCAATCAAGTAAATAGCTATATGAGATACTCCTAACATTTGCTATATAAGATACTCCGAACATTTGCTATATGAGATACTCCTAACATTTGCTATATCAGATACTCCTAACATTTGCTATATCAGATACTCCTAACATTTGCTATATCAGATACTCATAACATTTGCTATATCAGATACTCCTAACATTTGCTATATCAGATACTCATAACATTTGCTATATCAGATACTCCTAACATTTGCTATATGAGATACTCCTAACATTTGCTATATGAGATACTCCTAACATTTGCTATAGCAGATACTCCTAACATTTGCTATATCAGAAACTCCTAACATTTGCTATATCAGATACTCCTAACATTTGCTATATCAGATACTCCTAACATTTGCTATATCAGATACTCCTAACATTTACTATATCAGATACTCCTAACATTTGCTATATGAGATACTCCTAACATTTGCTATATGAAATACACCTAACATTTGCTATATCAGATACTCCTAACGTTTGCTATATCAGATACTCCTAACATTTGCTATATCAGATACTCCTAACATCTGCTATATGAGATACTCCTAGCATTTGCTATATCAGAAACTCCTAACATTTGCTATATCAGATACTCCTAACATTTACTCCTAACATTTGCTATATCAGAAACTCCTAACATTTGCTATATCAGATACTCCTAACATTTGCTATATGAGATATTCCTAACATTTGCTATATGAGAAACTCCTAACATTTCGCTGTATCAGATACTCCTAACATTTGCTATATCAGATACTCCTAACATTTACTATATCAGATACTCCTAACATTTGCTATATGAGATATTCCTAACATTTGCTATATCAGATACTCCTAACATTTGCTATATGAGATACTCCTAACATTTGCTATATCAGATACTCCTAACATTTGCTATATCAAATACTCCTAACATTTACTATATCAGATACTCCTAACATTTACTATATCAGATACTCCTAACATTTGCTATATGAGATATTCCTAACATTTTGCTGTATGAGAAACTCCTAACATTTGCTATATGAGAAACTCCTAACATTTCGCTGTATGAGATACTGCTAACATTTTCAAAGCTAAATTGAAAAACAATCACAAAACAGCTGTACTTCAATGTAACGTTTCATGAATACAACATTTTTTTAAAAAAGGTTAATTATGTTAAACAATAATAATATGAAGCCTACATTTTGTAACAAAAGTGAATAGCTAACAGGCAGAGATTAAAAATGTGTATGATTAATGCAAATAAAAGAATGTGGGCCATAGATCTGTACAGTTTTGTTGCCAAAGAGATGAAGCATGCATTGATGCCATCCAAGCCGAGATTGGAAACACGTCAATACTTTGGTATGACCCCACTCAGTTTTTCAAAGGTAGCAATTTTTTAAAGGAGTAAACATTGCATTATTTATATCTAATGGGATAAACGCACAAAAATCAACAGGATATATCTAGATAATGTTTATGTTCAAGCTCGAATTAGGTTCAAATATAAATGCAAGTTACATACATGACAGATTTTGAGAAACGCGAAAAGAAATGGTACAAACATTTTAAATACTGAAATTGAGAAGCAAAAAATAGGTTAGAAACAAAGTGAAATTATGCACAAAAATAAAAATAAAACCTTCGTAGAAATACCCCACTAATATTAGACGGCAAGCTGGAAATCCACTGAGTACGAGATAGTGGTCAATGAAAACAAACTTGCGTGATGATTTGGGAAATGGGGCTGAGAGGTAATGGTCGGAAAATGAAGTGCTTCGATGAGTAAGAGATTTTTTTTTTTTCTGTTTAACGTCCGATCTATGCAGCGTGATCCTCCAACAGCAGCAGCGCCAATCAATAGAAATCATCAAGTAATGACAACGCCTGATTTTGGACCCGACTCAAATTTCGGCCAGCACAGGATAACGCAAATGGATCAGACTAGTGACCGATTCATTAAATTATTCACACGGAGGGAGAGCAAAGATTGTCACACGATTTTACACAACGCCTAATGTCAACACTGTTTTAATCATCGAGATATTGGGTGGGCACAAGTGGTGTGTACAATCCACGTACACAGATGCGCCCAAACATCAGCACGTGAACATAGGCAGGTACATTAGGTCTGTATCCATATTTGTACTAATGTATAATTACATGACTGTGTACAGAATAATTTAATTATACATATTAGTAGCATTTTGGTAACGAAGGGTAGAATGGGTGGGTTGGAATGTGAATAGATAGATGGATGGGAAGGCGGTGGATCAATGGATATGTGTGTGGATACATGGATGAGAAAGTGTATAAACCGATACATTGGAGGGTGAGCGGATGAGTGAATAAATGAACGGATAGCTAAGTTTGTTGATGTATGAAGCTATGGGTGTGTGTGTGTTAATATATGGAGCTATTGGTGTGTGTGTTGATGTATGAAGCTATGGGTGTGTGTGTGTTGATATATGGAGCTATTGGTGTGTGTGTTGATGTATGAAGCTATGGGTGTGTGTGTGTTGATATATGGAGCTATTGGTGTGTGTGTGTTGATGTATGGAGCTATGGGTGTGTGTGTGTTGATATATGGAGCTATTGGTGTGTGTGTTGATGTATAGAGCTATGGGTGTGTGTGTGTTGATATATGGAGCTATTGGTGTGTGTGTTGATGTATGAAGCTATGGGTGTGTGTGTGTTGATATATGGAGCTATTGGTGTGTGTGTTGATGTATGAAGCTATGGGTGTGTGTGTGTTGATATATGGAGCTATTGGTGTGTGTGTTGATGTATGGAGCTATGGGTGTGAGTGTGTTGATGTATGGAGGTGTGGGTGTGTGTGTGTGTTGATATATGGAGCTATTGGTGTGTGTGTTGATGTATGGAGCTATGGGTGGGGGTGTTGATGTATGGAGCTATGGGTGTGTGTGTGTGTGTGCTGATGTATGGAGGTGTGGGTGGGCGTGTTGATGTATGGAGCTATGGATGGGGGTGTTGATGTATGGAGCTATGGGTGTGTGTGTGTGTGTTGATGTATGGAGCTATGGGTGGGCGTGTGTGTGTGTTGATGTATGGTGCTATGTGTGATGATGTATGGAGGTGTGGGTGTGGATGTGTTGATGTGCTTTGCTATGGGTGGATGTGTTGATATATGGAGCTATGGGTGGGTGTGTTGATATATGGAGCTATGGGTGGGCGAGTTGATATATGGAGCTATGGGGGTAGGGGTGTTGATGTATGGAGCTATGGGTGTATGTGTTGATATATGGAGCTTTGGGTGTATGTGTTGATATATGGAGCTATGGATGGGTGTGTTGATATATGGAGCTATGGGTAGATGTGTTGATATATGGAGTTATGGGTGTGTGTGTGTGTGTTGATGTATGGAGCTATGGGTGGGCGTGTGTGTGTGTTGATGTATGGTGCTATGTGTGTGAGTGTGATGATGTATAGAGGTGTGGGTGTGGATGTGTTGATGTGCTTTGCTATGGGTGGATGTGTTGATATATGGAGCTATGGGTGGGCGTGTTGATATATGGAGCTATGGGTGGGCGAGTTGATATATGGAGCTATGGGGGTAGGGGTGTTGATGTATGGTGCTATGGGTGTATGTGTTGATATATGGAGCTATGGGTGTATGTGTTGATATATGGAGTTATGGGTGGGTGTGTTGATATATGGAGCTATGAGTGGATGTGTTGATATATGGAGCTATGGATGGGTGTGTTGATATATGGAGCTATGTGTGTGGGTGTGTTGATATATGGAGCTATGGGTAGATGTGTTGATATATGGAGTTATGGGTGGGTGTGTTGATATATGGAGCTATGAGTGGATGTGTTGATATATGGAGCTATGGATGGGTGTGTTGATATATGGAGCTATGAGTGGATATGTTGATATATGGAGCTATGGGTGGATGTGTTGATGTATGGAGCTATGGGTAGATATGTTGATATATGGAGCTATGGGTAGATGTGTTGATATATGGAGTTATGGGTGGGTGTGTTGATATATGGAGCTATGAGTGGATGTGTTGATATATGGAGCTATGGATGGGCGTGTCGATATATGGAGTTATGGGTGTGTGTGTTGATGCATGGAGCTATGGGTAGATGTGTTGATGTATGGAGCTATGGGTAGATGTGTTGATATATGGAGCTATGAGTGGATATGTTGATATATGGAGCTATGGATGGGTGTGTTGATATATGGAGCTATGGGTAGATGTGTTGATGTATGGAGCTATGGGTAGATGTGTTGATATATGGAGCTATGAGTGGATATGTTGATATATGGAGTTATGGGTGGGTGTGTTGATATATGGAGTTATGGGTGGGTGTGTTGATATATGGAGCTATGAGTGGATATGTTGATATATGGAGTTATGGGTGGGTGTGTTGATATATGGAGTTATGGGTGGGTGTGTTGATGTATGGAGTTATGGGTGGGTGTGTTGATATATGGAGCTATGAGTGGATGTGTTGATATATGGAGTTATGGGTGGGGGTGTTGGTGTATGGAGCTATTGGTGTGTGTGTTGATGTATGGAGCTATGGGTGTGTATGTGTGTGTTGATGTATGGAGCTGTGTGTGTGTGTGTGTGTTGATGTATGGAGCTATGGGTGTGTGTGTGTGTGTGTTGATGTATGGAGCTATGGGTGTGGGTGTGTGTGTTGATGTATGGAGCTATGGGTGTGTGTGTGTGTGTGTTGATGTATGGAGCTATGGGTGGGGGTGTTGATGTATGGAGCTATGGGTGGGGGTGTTGATGTGTGGAGCTATGGGTGTGGGTGTTGGTGTATGGAGCTATGGGGTTGAGGGAGAATGCGTGGATCGGTGTGTTCTTGTCGCACCCAACTATAAAGCATATGGAAAATTGCGGGAGTTCGACTTTTGGCCTTTAGAACGGCAGGGAGCATATGGTCTTTTATTTGACACAGGCATAGGCCGAATAACTGCCACCTTACAGGTAAATGATGAAATCTCGCTACGTCGTGTGACTTGAATCTTGCACGCTTCCGTTTGAGTACAAGACTAGAGGGAGGAAATCAAGCAGGCTTCCCCTTTCCCCTTGAATAAGCTACATTTCTTTACACACGCATTCGATCTTATTTTTGTATGTACTATTCGACCTGTGATTACTGAACCTATTTGATCCCGGGATCAAACTTCATACGTCTTTGTGCAAACTAAAACAAAGCACTAAAACAATGCACTCAAAGCATTGAAACAAAGCACTGAATAAATGCACTATATAACAAAGCATTCATACAGTGCACTATAACAAATCACTCAAACAATTCACCAGACGAACAAAACAAAAATTGGCTAAGCATTAAAAAGGAAAATCCATATAAAAGTTTCAAAAGTTAACAGAACGATTCATCTCCTATTGTCTTAAACAGAAAATATTTTTAAACATATTTAATCACAGCAAAAACATTATAGAAAATTACATACCTATTTTTTAAACAAGGAACAATTTCCGTAAGTTTCTCTTCATAGTTAACAAGTAAAGAGTTGACTCCGTTGGACTTGTTCTGCCAAACAAACAAAAAACTTTTTTTTTTAAAAGGGCCTTTAAACAAATTTAAGCAACTTCTAAATGAAACCATGTTAAAACATACGAACGGGAATCAAATCATGTTAACAGGTTGCTTTTCGTTTTACTGCACTTTTACCATAACGGCTATTAATAGTACCCAAAAGCTAACCTTCCCTTTTCTCTCTTTGATTGTGTATAAGTATCAAGGCGTAGGGTAGGTGTCCAGAAAGATATGACTATTATTCTTAATAATTCCTCATAGCTGATGAGTTTTGGGTCATAGAACGCAATCTACGAAAACCAACTGAGTCATTTGGAGACCTCTAAAGGCAGCGACTCAGTTGGCTCAGTCTGAAACCATCGTGGACAGATATCACAGCAAGACAAAAAGATGGCAAAAAGGGGGAGCAGGATATTACCCCCCCCCCCCCCCAAATCATTTCCACGTCATTGCTACTTAGATCAATTACCCCCTGTAAATTAACCCCCTCCCAAAAAAAACTTGCAGAACATTACCCTCCCCGATCAATTACTAAGTGTCCATGCAACTGTTAGGGATAGAGATATGATTAGTGTTAGGGGAGTTAGGGATCGATGTATCAGTAGGGATAGGGATAGGTTAAGGATATTAACGTTAGAGATAGAGTTAAAGATAGCAGGATTTGGAGTTGGGTGGGGATAGGTATAAATATATTTGTAATATCAAGGGGAAAGGGGAACTATCCGGGGGGGGGGGGGGGAGGTTTGTTGACAGGGGGTACTTGATCTTGGGGACAATGATGAGGGGGGGGGGGGGGGGGATGTCTTAGGACTGGCTAACAGAGAAAGAAAATGGCGCTCCCGTGCAGTTGCATTAACGGCGGTCGTATCACGAAGAAAAAGTAAAGAGCCCTTTCAAACCTTAGGTCCATGGTGCAGGTGAAATAGAGTTCACCTGCTTCATTGACCTCGGCATATGAAGGGATAGTGTGGTCAGCACTATTCCCAGCCACCTTTACTTTCCCTAACGTGAGTCGGGTACCCCTCAGAGCTAGGAGGACTCAGGGACGTCCTACAGACTCGAGCCCGGGATTCGAACTCGAGACTTTCGGGATGGCAGACGAAAGTTCTAACAGCCAAAGAGTTGAATTTTAAATATGCGCGATTCCTAAACCGTTAGTGCGTGATCTTGTCTGGTGTTTTAATAGCACATATCTTAGAACAAGGAGCAATTTTAAAACTTTAAAAGCCGAGTTGTAATTTTATTGCTTAAAAATGCCTATTTATATTGTGCAGTTTGGGCTAACCACATTAAAACGCTACCTGTCTGTATATATAAAATAAAGCCAGCAACAGGATTCATTGACTATAGGCCTACTATGAACGTATTTACTTAAATCGGTCGGTAATTACATTTGATGATTAAATATTAGGATGCAGCACAAAAAAATAACCCAGATTCGTTTTCCTGTTTTCCAAATAATTGTGTAAAAAATAAAAGCTTAACATATTCATAATTAACACAGTATGTTATTTCAACGTATATCAAATTTCAAAGAAACTCAACCCCAGCAATTAAGCAATGGAAGGATAAAGTATTAAATAAGGCGGTGGGAGAAGCATTTCCGGTACATAAAATTGAGTGAGGCGAGCCTTTTTTTTTTCGGACCCCACTTACCGCCAAAAGAAAAGCCGTATTTTCTCGAACCCTTACTACAGTATCGTGCCACAGTGTAGGGTTCTTCCTGTTCTTTCTGCTCTTCCTCTGCCCTCTCCCCCGCCAACGGCCATCTTTTTTTCTAACATTGTTTTCAAAACCAGACAGTGTTAGTCCTCTGCTCCTCTGGCCAACTGAGAAAGAGCAAGATAAAAAAAAAGGGAAATTAAATTTTAATTATCTTATAACTAAGGCTGTGAGACGAGAGATACTGGCAAATTGCTTGGCAAGTGCATATTTAATTACTCGATAATGGAAAAAAAGATAGGCACCTTGGCCTGAGCTGTTAGAAAGAAGTTACTAGTTACAAGGCATGGTTCAAAATGGACAGTAAAAAAATGTGTTTGTTGCTGTATCCAACCAACGCTGGTCATTTACTTGAGAGTGTATAACACCTATGTAGGTTTTCATCATATAATAAAACAAGTTGTTTCCACAAGATATATATATAAATATATATGGATACACTTGAGTAGCTTAATAATCAGCTTCGCTTGAATTATAGATGGATTGGATTCCTAGAAAAATGCGCAATTGGAAAACTGCGCAAACAGAAAAATGTGAAAATACAAACTAATTATACTAATACACGTTAATTGTGTAATATTCCGTGGAAATGTTTTATTATGCTACAATGCACAAGTAGTCATTATTTGTTAGTGTCTATATTGCTCGCTTCGAATAAACAAAACTGCCCTTACGCACTTTTTTGTGCGCAGTTTTCTGTTGCGCATCTTTCCGATCACCGATGGAATGGTCATATCCCCATAAAGCTTGCGACTAATAAAAAACGATATCTCCTTCTATTGAATTTTCTAGGTTAAACAAAAAAATAAGACTAAGAAACAACACGCCCTACTATGGGTACAATCAAAATGGGGTAAGAGTTGGACAGAAGGGGACGAAACTGAGATCTGCTATAAGAGGTCTGATTTAACTGATTTTGACATTTAACAGAAATAGTAAAACATTTACTTAATTATTTAATACAGCTGAAATTATTGCACTCTTCAAGAAGATTAAAATTAAATTACACATGTTTAGTATTTAGAAAGTGTTTTGACACATATTTAAAATCAGTGTAAATTTTTAAATTATGTTTTTATACTAATGGGAGCTTCAATGTTGAACGCAATCAAATGTAAAATCATTACCTTTAGTTTATGTTATTTGCCGGGCTATAATAATGGCATAATAAATATCACTAACATTTTTTAAAACATAAAACCTCGATGTGTATTTTAGGTTTCATCTCTAACAAGATCAGAAACAGGAGAGGGGAAACCGGTAGAAGAATGATTAAAAAGGTAAAATATTTTCCAATATAAAATAGTCAGTCTGTGAAATCAACAATTTAAATCATATAATGTCAGTAATGACTGACATAACTTTGATATATATATATATATATATATATATATATATATATATATATATATATATATATATATATATATATATATATATATATATACTACTTATCCGTTTCAAGCATAATCCCTGATTTGTGTTGCCTAGTTTCAATAATTGCCATTAGTCGGTTATCTATAAGACATGATAAAGAAATGGAGTGATTAGGACAAATACGAACAGATGGTATTACGCAGCAGGAACACGATGGGTGCATACATTTTTAGCCGATAAGAGAGAGAGAGAGAGAGAAAGAGAGAGAGAGAGAGAGAGAGAAACACTTTTGAAGATAGCGCCGATTTTATGAGTTAGTCAACTGTGGAAAAAAAATATTCAAACTTGATTTTTTTGTGGGTAAATTTTTTTTTAAATTAGGTTTTTTTATGGGTAAATTTGAAAGATTAGGATTTTTTGTGGGTAAATTTTAAAAAATTGGGAATTTTTTATGGGTAAATTTTAAAAATTGGGATTTTTTTGTGAGTAAATTTTTAAAAAGATAGGATTTTTCTGTTGGGAAAATTTTAAAAAGATAGGATTACATGTATAGTTTAAGCCCTATCTTCCAGAAAACAAACAGTTAAATCAATGAATATATTTTTTTAGATGTATGAACAGCCTTAAAACAAAACAGAGATACGGGCTTGAATGAAATAAAATTAACTGGAGTAAACAGGTTTGTATTACAAAAGGTTTACTGAAAATAGTAATTTGTACAAAAAATGCACCCCCCCCCCGACACACACAACGATTGTTTAGCTCAATGCTGGCCATTCTACCCAAGCCTTCTCGACCCCAGTAAAGTAAACAGATAGTCATAAACTAGAATCAATTAGAAGCCCTCGCCATGTTACATAAATCGTCAACTTATTTCTACCCAACTTGTGCTGTAATATCCGAACAATGCTACCCAATGCTAAGCAAAAAAAAAATGCACCGCTGATTACACAAGCCCATAAAAGATCAGTTCGCTCATTGGAATGGCCACATTCTAGGCCTTTATATACACGCCACATACAAATCTACCTCTCAAATACCTTGATCAATATTATTTTAAATAAACACCCTTAACCCCTATCATTACATTATTTCCTCCATAGTTTTACCATGATAGTGTTAACAGTTCAGATTTTTATTCTTGCTATTCTACAAATAGAATTAAAAAGTCAGCTATTAAGACCTAGCCTCTAGTAATATCTTCATCACGCAGAGCATACCGACAAACAACGTGAGTTTCCTGCAAGTTAGAATAGCATAACACTACATCGACTTAAGGGTCTATAAAAACAATGAAATCATTAACATTTGAACGATGGCATACTCTCTAATAGCCCTTATCTCCTTTCAATTAAGATAGCAGTAAGCTATCCCCGAGTAGGAAATGTCGGCTAATGTTGAGGCGACCCTGGGGCAACGATACGAAGCTTAGTTTATGCTAATCCTGTCGCTCCTGGGGTGACGAGGATACAGGCCAGCAAATGACGCCGCCCCCGCCCGTCTCTCCACGTCGCGGCATTGATAATCAACTGGCTTTGACTTGCTAACACCTAGCTGTCTGTTTCCACAGGCACTTCAACTCTAGCCGCAGTCAGGACGCCGGTCACAGAGTATCACATGTCCTAGCCGTGGTCGTTTCGTAACAGCTCATTTAAACAAGGTTATTATTAAGGAGCAGTATCATACAGAGCTCGTTACTTGAATTGAAAAAACAATGTCAGCTCTTTACTTGAATTGAAAAAAACAATGTCAGCTCTTTACTTGAATTGAAAAAACAATGTCAGCTCTTTACTTGAATTGAAAAAAACAATGTCAGCTCTTTACTTGAATTGAAAAAAACAATGTCAGCTCTTTACTTGAATTGAAAAAAACAATGTCAGCTCTTTACTTGAATTGAAAAAAACAATGTCAGCTCTTTACTTGAATTGAAAAAAACAATGTCAGCTCTTTACTTGAATTGAAAAAAACAATGTCAGCTCTTTACTTGAATTGAAAAAAACAATGTCAGCTCTTTACTTGAATTGAAAAAAAAACCATGTCAGCTCTTTACTTGAATTGAAAAAAACAATGTCTATATAGTGCAGCAGTCTCCATAAATGAGAAGATAGGGCCCAGTCTCAATAACATACATTAGTATGTTATAACACAAACAATGCTGGGCAGACGCAACGGAAATTTAATATGTCATAATCTTTACCACTTTACTTTTGATCACTTTTATTTTTTACCTAAGGACATGTATTTTGTACTATATAAAAATAAGACATCGTCTAGATCGTATCAAAACGAACACAAAACAAAACAAACAAAAAAATCAAATAAGACAAAACGGATCTTAAAGATTACACAACAAAAGCCCAACACAAACACAGCATAATTTTCTTTAAAATAAACCAGGAGTGATCTCCCCTAAAATTTCTCGAATATTCTTATATAACACTACGTGGGATGGCAACTCGGAATATAGACATGATTTTTAATTACTTAAACTTTTAAAAATAGAATAGAATCTCGTAGAAAAAAAAGAATTGCGCACCAAGCGAACGCCAAAACAAAATATGCATAATAGTGCGGAATATTATTAGTACTTTATAAATTTATATGCGTTTTTTTTTTGAGAAATTGGAAATAGCATAAATTACTACTTCCGGTCAACGGAAATTACTCTAAATTTTATAGAAGGTATAGAATTAGATATTTTGCTTACATGTGAAATTTTATTTATATATCTGAAATAGTACTCAAGTTATAGGCTTTTGAAAAATTCAAAGTAAAAAAAAGTACCACTTCCGGTTATCGGAAATCGCTCAAAAACTGATACGGATCTAAGATTTTGATAAAATACTTATATATGAAATTTCATCAACCTAGCTGTAACGGTGCTCAAGTTATCGTGTTTACAGACACACACACACACAGACACACACACAGACATACACACAGACACGGACAAGATTGCAAAAATATGTTTTTCCGACTCAGGGAGGTGTAAAACGTCGAGATTTCCAAAAATATCGATTTTTTTTTTGCACGATTACAAGACTATATTTCGTATATACGAGAAAGTAAAAAAAAGGTGTAACAAAACCATAACACAATTAAAAATATCCCAAGCAAAACTACAACAAAAACACACAAAACACAACACACAAAATGCAATAAGATAAGACTTAATACACTATAATACACAACCAATCTAATTCGATATTATACATTTCAATACGACGTTCTCAACACAATGATGCGAAATATAATAAACAGGTTATTTGAGCACATGTAAAACATACAGATTTGGCAAAATCTCGATTTTGATTTTGTGTAGGACTACAATACTTCATCTATTCTTTGTATATGAAATAGTAAAAAAGAAGAAAAATTCTCTAAAGATATGAAGAAATGAAGTACATCACGACTTAGATCTAAATAATGGTAAGTAAAAGTGTGGAGCGCTTTTACAATTTTAGTAGGTGTATTTAATTGCCAACTGAATTGTATTTTTAAAATCAATTCTTTTCAGCAAATCTCATACATTCCTCTATACTGATTTTGTTAACAATATGGCAACGAACTAACAAATTTAGTTTTTAAATACTGAACCATGTTTTGAAACTATTGAACTTCTTTTTTCTTTTTTTTTTTTTTTTTGAACTGCGAGTCTAGCCCCTTTGATGCCATTAAAATAATGTCAAGAAACAGGTGCATGCTAGAACATAATGTGATGTCGATTCCCACTTCAATTGTTCACCGACGTTAAAACCTACCACAGGTATATCAGAACCGATAGAACAGTTGTGAAATTGAAAAGGGCAAAGCTTACCTAAGTTGGACACAGTCACTTCAACAAAGAACCGATTCGCCTTTCCGCTGGCACCCTTTTCAAGATAACGGCGACTGTCTTGATCGTCATCTCCAGCGGTGTTGTTTTTGCGGGCAGTAGTACAATCCCCCCATTGAGAGAGATGGAGCCATGGTGTGGGGGATCTCTTATTCACCTCCCGTGTGACCACGGGTACTTGCGTGAAGCGTGGAGATTCTTCATCGTGGAACTGGAACTTAAAGATGAGGTCCTCTCTGTGCACAAGTTTACCTGATAAGAAATCAAGGAAAGTAAGCTCTAGCCAGTGGTCTATTCCCTAGCACAAGTTTACCTGATAACAAATCAAGGAAAGTAAGCTCTAGCCAGTGGTCTATTCCCTAGCACAAGTTTACCTGATAACAAATCAAGGAAAGTAAGCTCTAGCCAGTGGTCTATTCCCTAGCACAAGTTTACCTGATAACAAATCAAGGAAAGTAAGCTCTAGCCAATGACTAGCGATGACTAGCACATGCCTGGTATCAGACGCCAGTGAGAATCTCTACACCCAGTCAATTACAGTCACCCTATCAATTATGTCAGATCAATTTAATCACGTGTCTGCCTCGTTGCGAGGTGACAATAACCAGAGCTCTAGCCAATAACTAAAGCCTATAACCTTTTTTTTTCATTATCCAAAGACAGCGTTATTATTTTATAGATGGATGGTTTGTTTCCACATATTTCTTGTAAACGCGTTATGAATTAGAAAATATAAACATATGTTTACGTACAATCAGTCTATAAAACTTGTGTTTATAGAGGCCCACCGTACTACTACTAGAGTATGTCAGAGATAAAATATGATGTTTTTATAGCTGTATGCACAATATCATATTTTCTTATTGGTTACGGTATCAAAAGATGCACGAGTTCTAAGGATATTTCAAATATAATTATAAACAATGTTAGAAGTAAGAATATTTTGACAATACTTATTATAATAATATGGTTAGTTTTGCATCCATAGATTTTGCAAGCTTACAATTTGGAAAATGCATTACATGCAGAAAGTTAGTCTATTGTGGTAGTATAAAGAAAACAAAGAGATAAAACTTTTTTTTTAGAAACCGATTCTTTATTTATGTTGGAGTTTAAAGAATTGTTATTAATACTTAGCATAGGGGGGGGGGAATGAAATTAATACGGTTTTTGTATGCTGGAGGGTATACTTTTGTTTTTAAATTGGCACACAGTTTATATCAACTATCAGCTGCTGTAAGCATGCTTGGTTATACACCAGCATTGTACTCTTAACTGGTGTTAGGGGGCAGCGTTGCATCTGGCTCACAACGAAAAAATACGTAGGCCAGCAGCCGCTAGGGTAAGTGAGCCAAATAACACATTAAGTTTCGCTCAGCTTAAATGTAATTTAGCATGAATTAATCATGCCAGAGATCTGATATAAAGTACATCACTGAAGTGGAGAGATATACTGAGAACATGCCATACATGTTAGCCATTAAAAATGAACGTGTATTTCGGGAACATCCACACAGAAGTTTTGAGTAGTATGAACCAAACTTGTTACCACTGTTTTCCTCTAGATTAATCTTATTCATTCATTTATATCATTTCATTCAACACCTGTCTTTTTTTTTTTTAAAAGTGATTCATTTGTTTCAAATGTACACATTTAAATATATATATATATATATATATATATATATATATATATATATATATATATATATATATATATATATATATATATAGGTGCTATTTTCTGAAGGGCATTTGTTTTAGTAACGGCACTTACACATATTTCCGCCACATCCTTAATTCTAATTATGTTTTCATAGGCACACATCAGTTGGCAAATTAGGCCTAACCACGGGTATTTATAAAGGCTGTCTAACTAGCATTATCTTTGAGGAGAGCCGACAGAGTATAATCACTTCCTGTTACCGTGAAAACATCTAGCACTGTGGTTGAGAGGCTGAAGGTTCCAAGCATTGATTTAACATCCAACTGACAATGGCTACCAGAAGCTGCAACTGTAAACATTCGTTTACCATCTATTGGACTAATGGCTATCGGATTTTAAAACTATATAATCTTGTATTTCAGGTTGTAGTTGTTTTTAAAAGCTATTAACTCTAAATCAAATAACCGTCAGCCAATCTCTCTAAAACAAATAGAATTTATCGTCTTTCTAGGCGTTTTTATGATCGAACCTATTCTAAGCATAGTGTGGACATGGACGTGTGCAAGTATGCAGTTTACACTCTTCTAAAGCCGATCACTAAATACGTCTTCAACACAGTTCATGGAGTGCAGCTAGACACATACAATTCTTTAAAAAATCAGACTTGTACTTTAATTAGAATAGGTGTTTAGCTTGAATGAGGTTGGACTTATAATGAAGGTGTTGATACAACCTGTTAGGGCTGGGTTTGAGCATGTAAAAAAAAGAACGGAACCACCAGTACCAACATAACCGCTTGAATACGAACATGTGCAAGGAAACAAAAACGCCAATATCGAGTCTATAGTTCATACATTTTTCTAAAATCCGATACCAGATGCTGAAGTAGATGTTTAACTTTCTAAAACTGACTGATAAACTACAGCATAAATATTTGAAGCGAATCCACATTTAACCCTGCATGTTTGTTAGGACCGCCAAAGTAAACACAGTTCCGTTTTTTTTAACATGACCGCCGCAGCGCTATATCCCCCAAGGCAGCATTTGTGGCCCACTGCGACGCCAAATGAGAGAGAACCCGAGACAGCACTGATCATATCAGGGAGACTTGAATGGGCTGTTCCTGGCTTACACAGGAATTCAAGACAATTCAACTCGGTGGATTTCAGATAAATGATGCACACACAAGTATATAAATGGCATCTGACATAACTAGATGATGATTTTATTCCTTCTTTTTTTGTTTGAAAATTGGTAAGACTACTTGACTAAAAGAGTTTTGAAAACCAAAGAATGCCAGAACTTTGGGTGATTTTTTAAAAGTAAATAACATACTGGCTTTTTACTGATAATCCACGCATGACAAAATGTATAAGATATCACTAAAATGCGTATTAAACTAAAGGTTGGTTGATGTGAGTAAATGTGTGTGTGTGTGTGATTGTACGTGGCGTGAGTGAGCACAACAGACTTACAGACTCACACAGATGGCTGTGGCTGAAAGGGTGAGAAAAGTACTGTGGTAATGTTGTTGTTAAAAGGTCCAGCGCTGCACTGTGAAAGGTGGCATGCTATCTTGACATTCTAACCAACAGATTACGGCATAACAATCCAAGCATAATAATACAGACACACTTTGACACCTCGGCTTTATGGGGGAAAAAAAGGATACGTTTGTTAACCATTTATTTGATAGTAGTATGATTGAAATGTACTTTAAAATGAAATAATATTTAGGCAACGTGCTAAGTAGATGTGTATGTATATATAATGAATATGTATGTATGTGTCAATCCTTAATACGTCTTAAAACATTTATTATTAAAAAAAATTATTGAAAGAGTTATATAAAGCACTTAGTTTAACTAAAGAATTTTATAACATCCATTAAGTGGGTGTAAAAAAATTGTTATTGTTAAATGAGGTGAACAAAATCCTTGTTAGTAGACGAATAACTCATTACCAGATAGGGAATATATAGAAAAAACAACATGAAACCAATGATTCGGACATTTTTGAGACATGCTTCAAAAAAAAATTTCATGAATTCTTTAGGTATGCTGCAAACAGGCGATTCGGAAAACCAGGAGAAATTCTACCAAACAAAGATTTGGGCACTATTAATCCATGCTAACAACAAAAATCATACGCTTGATGCAGAGGTTAGAAACTATCCAGGCCTTAAACTGACGTGCACATCATGACAGTCTTACCAGAGGGGCTCTTTACAGTCAAGGTGATAAACTCGGGGAGAGAGGCCGGCAGTATCTGAATACAAAACTCAGGGGGTGTCTCCTGCACGTCAACCTCAAATGTTTGGCTCACGTTGGAAATGTGGTTTGAGGCCACGACCGTCACGGGGAAGATCCCTGCTCTCGAGTAGCTCAAGATAAAAACGGCGCTGGTCGTGTGGCCGTCAACCGTCACTTGCCGTGGTAAAACTTTTTCACCGCGTCCAACATCCAGCTCCAACCCGACGTGCGACCCACGAGTTGCGTTGACAACCAAACTGAATGGCACCCTAGGCTGGGTGGCGGCAAGGCTGACGTTCAAACAGTCTATGGGTGTCTCCACGTGCAAGCTGTAACTTAAAACCCCCAGGACGCTGCTCAGGTTGTTGTATGCGGCTACACTGATGTCGTACGTACCGGGGTACAGAAACGAATGCTTGGCAATGGAGGAAGTGTTTAGAGATGCGGCTTCTGTAGAGTATGAAGCATCATGAAAGTCCCAGTTAAAAAGCACATCTGTACCGGAGTTGGCATCAGCTTTACAAACAACCTCTTGTTCAACTTCGACATACGGGCCTTGTGAACAAGACAGTCTTACTTGCCCTATGGGTTCCTGTATGAAGATGTGGGAGGAGCTGTTCTCAGAACCAAGGCCATTTGAAACTGTCACAAAGACTTCATATCTACCCACCTCGGGAAATACAAAAGATGTTCGTAAGCAAGGCCGATCTTCCGCTTTTGATAAGGCCACATCGTTGTATTGACAGTTGGTATTCCTCCGTACATATTCATGACCATTGTCATGAAAAACTGACCACAGAACACTGACATTGCCAGATATAGAGCTGTAGACAATATTGAATGGTATGGGTACCAAGACAGGGCCGATCAGATCAGACTCCACTTTAGTTCCTGAGATGGCGTGTAGCAGCGTCAGTGGTCTCTGTAGTTTAACACTGACTGAAGTCACTTGGTTGTTGAGTGTAACAAGAGGATCAAACACGCCCTCCGCTGTATACACGTGGTAAAATTCTAAACTTAAGTCACACCCTTCGCCATAGCTAGCAAACAGAGTAGGTGAGGAGAGTTCTGGAAAAGTGCTGCCATTATCATGATTTTCACGCACAGAAGAATTTGTAACTATACCATCTCCAAAGTCTATAGTAATAAAGGTACTTTGTCTGTCAGCGGTGACAGCAGTTAGGTGGAAGTCGAGTCGACTATGTGTAGAGAACACATTTACACCTGGTACTACTTTGAGAAATACATCTCGAATCCCTTGGTCCATGACCACCTAATTCAAATTTATTTAGAAAAATAGTTTATAAAAACAAACGATACAGACCAACACACACAAAAAAAACGCGTAATATGGCACAAACATAGTGCTTGTAGAAAGAAACAAAATGTGAACACACTGCTCACCAAATAGGTTGTGCAACAAAGCAGACATACAGTTCAAACATAGGAACCCAGTCATAGAACGATGTAAAGCAACAGAAAATAACAGTGTAAAGCCTAACTTGAAAAGTATTAAAATTAAAAATTATAGTTTTTAAGCAAGTACAATTTAAAATGGGCATTCACTGCGACTAAAAAGTAAATAAATCACAGCCTTCTGTGATTAAACAATGCTATCGTGTTAACGCATATTTCATTATTTAAAGAGAACTTATACATATAGAAACTAAAATTGTACAATAAAATTACGATGTAGCCAGTAAATATTTACATTTATGCAGTTTAGCAACCAATACTGTATACATAAATAGTACTTTAGCTATTAAAAAAAAAATTAAAACCGCGTTTCCTCTTTGTTTTTTATTCTTAGTGTTGCGTTGGTTTACCTCATTTCAGCTGAACGTATCCAAGACACTCTAATTTTACTATTTCTTCGCCCTTCACAAAACAAGACGAAGACGAGAAATGTGTAATAAACCCCGGCTAAGGTTATCAACCTAGCACATTTCCCTAAGAGAACCTTAACGACTGACTTAAACACCGTCTCTATAGTACACTAGAGTAGAGAGAAAACAAGTTACACTGTGGGTTCAGGATGCTTCAATGGCGGATGATACTTATTCCCCATGGCAACGGTGACAAGAAAAAACAAATGTCATTATAAAATTAGCTTTGATTCCCCCTTAGCTTAGCCCCTTAAACGATTCCATTAAACAGGATGAGTTGCCAAGCTTCCGATAGCTACATCAAACAGGGTGGGGGGGGGGGGGGGGGGGGAGAGGGGGGGGGGGTTACGAGCATTAAAAAAAGATTTTCGAAAGCAGTTTAGAAACGGTGTGTTAAAAAAGTAAATCCTATAGATAAGTTTAACAATTATATTTCATTTGTTGTAGTTAATCCTAACAAGAGAGCTATTCCACATTTTTTAGATAGGAGAATATCTACTCACAATTGTAAGCTCCTGTTCAGCTGAGCCATATTCATTGGATACTGTAGCAGAAGCGTTGAACACGCCAGTTCGTTTAAAAACATAGTCCTGTAAAGAAATGAACATGTTAAATGTCACTCGATAGTTCACACAGATGGTGCAGGGTGTACATTTACTAATAGTAATAGCGATGATATCCGATAGTTAGACAACAGAACGCCCCGACAACAAAATGTAAGTAAATCTATTGCTAACCACATTGGCACCAATAAACGACATTCACAATATGAGATGCAACTGAAATTTGAAATCAACTACTGACTAGTTTAGTTTTTTTTTGCGAGGTAAATCAACTACTGACTAGTTTAGTTTTTTTTTGCGAGGTAACATCCTACAGATTCATCAAAGCATTTGCCCTTCCCGTAATACTGTGGTAGAATGTTCTAGCTACTTATTTTTAAAAACTTAAGTGCAGATACTTGGATTTGACATACTTCATCGTTTCAATATCAAACCTTTATATTATATATATATATATATATATATATATATATATATATATATATATATATATATATATATATATATATATATATATATAAGGAGCAAAGGTTTTTTTTTTCAAGCATCTAATTATCTCTGCATGTATTCCTTCTATTCGTGGGAGAGCATCATAATTCAGGATCACCAAGCATTTAGTTAAGACAAGGCACATGCTGAGTTTCCTCATGTTTCTTGCCACGGTTTAAACGTGTTTAACTACCATGTGCACTGGCATATAGAAAGGCATAGCTCTCTCCAGCAATTAATCTAATTAATTTGAGCTTAAAGCGTCTAAGGACCAGGCGAGAGCTTCAGATGTGCAACGTGAAAAAAAAAAGATTTGATGTGAATTTCAATTCCTGTTTTGATTGCGTTTGTTAGAAGGGATGTTTGAGATTAAAGATGGGAATAAAAGTCAAATATAACAGACGTATCAGCATAACATACTATAAATGAGCAACATCAATGAATGGGGACATCTAGAGAAAATCTATCTTTATGATATCAGAAAAAATAAGTATGGGGAAAATAGAGAAAAAAAAAGAATATTAATAAACCTCACTCATGTACATTTATTACAAATTTATAATGATCATGATAGTGTTGGAAATACTTCAAATAGCCTGAAAGAAACACTACAAATATAGGAGCTAAAGGGCAGAAATATTCCCCTCTACAGCACGAATCGACTTTTCTGGCGTGGTCAAAACGTAACATGGGCTAGTGGACCAAAGAATCCCCCCGAGTACCAAAAGAGAGAAATTTTGTCCGGCTAAAGCTGTCAATCAATACACCAAGCTTTCGTTCAATTGATCACCGCTTACAGACAGAGAAAACAGAGACCTGTACTTTTTCATTCCAGAAATTGGCCGCTGTTGACCGTTGCTAACATCTGCCAGGAGAGTAGTATATTAGGTCCCTTTTGGAGCGAATTTGGGTGGCGCAGCAGCCTGGTACAACGAGATATAGCAAAATACTCGCAGGGTGAAGGGTGAGGCGCAGGGTGAAGAGGGTGGCGCAGGGTGGCGCAGCAGCCTGGTACAACGATATATAGTAAAATACTCGCAGGGTGAAGGGTGAGGCGCAGGGTGAAGAGGGTGGCGCAGGGTGGCGCAGCCTGGTACAACGAGATATAGCAAAATACTCGCAGGGTGAAGGGTGAGGCGCAGGGTGAAGAGGGTGGCGCAGGGTGGCGCAGCAGCCTGGTACAACGATATATAGTAAAATACTCGCAGGGTGAAGGGTGAGGCGCAGGGTGAAGAGGGTGGCGCAGGGTGGCGCAGCCTGGTACAACGAGATATAGTAAAATACTCGCAGGGTGAAGGGTGAGGCGCAGGGTGAAGAGGGTGGCGCAGGGTGGCGCAGCAGCCTGGTACAACGAGATATAGTAAAATACTCCCTAGGGTGGCGCAAAGGTTATATAGCAAAATACTCCCCCAGCCTGGTACAATGAGATATAGTAAAATACTCCCTAGGGTGGCGCAAAGGTTATATAGCAAAATACTCCCCGAGTTTTTATTACGTAATTTGATTATTTTTTTTTTTGATTTTAATGAATTTAATTACTTTGTTTATATTTTGTAATTTTTAAATAGTTTGAATTTAATTTAATTACTTTGTTTATATTGTGTAATTTTTTATTGACCTTGTGACGTAATTTTAACGAATTTTTTAAATTAGTTTTAATGAGTTTTTAAAATTATAATTAATTAATATTACGTAATTTGATTATTTGTTTGATTTAAATTGTTTAATTTGATTGTTTACTTGGTGTTTATTTGTTTGAAATTCATTTTATGCAGTTTGATTTTAACTACTTTGTGTATTTGTTTTATTTGTTTGATATATTTATTTTCTTTGATGTATAGTATTTAAAATAAAAGACTAACGCTAACGTATACTTTGTGTCATGACTTCCATTTAACCAGTCGTGTAACACCTGTTACGTATCGATTCACCAGCTATCCTTTGTTTTCTCACCGCTGCCCGTTTTAATGGGAATGTATTGATCGCAGCCGCTGGCCCATCACAGCATGATGTCCCACCTAATTAAATTTTTTGTTATGCTTCACCGAGTTACCCCCGCTCGGTTGACGGGTTATGGTAATTAACGACATACATTAAGTAGCTTTCCGCGAAGCACTTAGGTCATTATGCAACAGCTGTTGTGCGACAGCTGGTGCTGTAATTAGGCCGTTCAACCGGATAAATGACCGCGAAAATTGTGTTCTAATCACTTCAACTTCGGACTTCAAATCAAGCGTAAATTATTCTTGCAAACATTCTCTACATGTATGTCTTCGTCGTCTGTGTGCCGTATCGTGATGTCGTTTCAAACCATGTTTGCAGGTGAATGCATGCTCACATATGTCACATGTATAACGTATCATGGGTAGGTCGTCTACAGGAAAAATAGTGGTGTGTGAATTAACGTTACTGTCGTTGTTAGTCTTTACGCGTTTGTTGTTTGCTATGTCGTCATACATCGTATGTCGCTTTAATGGAATAGTGTTGGTCATGGTACGAGTTGTTTGGGTCGCTGCTAGGGGTTGCATGGTTTGTCTGTCGGTCACGTATAGTGGTTGTGGAGTTTGTCTATCGGTTGCTGATGGGGTGTCGGTCGGTGATGTTTGGTTGGTGTGTGTTGTTTTACAATGTCTTGTTAAATTGTCAAGTCGTGTAAATAGATTCCCGCATGTTGTACAGAGATGTCCTTGTCGGCGGTGAACAGAGTCGTGATGTCTTGTCAAACCGTCTTTGCGGGTGAACACACGGTTGCATATGTCACACTTGTTACGGCTCATGGCTGGATGGGTGGTAGACTGGGCGGTTTGCATTATTGACGAAGTGTCTAGTAGTTGGATGACTGGGTAGGTCACTGGCTGTAGAATAAAAATAAATACATAAAATAAAATGCATGAAACAAAAATCATACTTAAAACAAAATTAAAAAATGAACGTACCTATGGGTTTGAACGCGTAAGCTGAACGTGAAGTTAGCTGTGTGTGGAGATCCGAAATGGTGTAGTTGGATGTAGCTGGAACGTTTGGTTCAGTGGGTGCCTCGGGGATGGGTAGGTAGCTCAATAGGTTCGGTCGATGGTTAGTCTGTCTCGTAGGGTCGGTTGTACACTAAAAGGAATACATATGACTACTTATTTAGATACATATTTATTTAAAGGGTATTTTAATGGGGTTAGCTCCCTTAAAACAAAAAAAAAAATAAAATACTATTAACCTTACCTCGGTGTACGCTACAAAATTAAAGTTAATACCTGTGACTACTTATTTAATAAGATTTGATTTTAATGGGGTTAGCTCCCTTAAAACAAAAAGTAATATTAACCTTACCTTTAATAGAATAAACACGCACAAAAGATGTGGTCCGTATAGGGTTAGGTGGATGTGATGGTTGGTAAAGCTGGCGTGGGTTTAGTCTCAGGAGTCAACAGAGGTCGCAGGCTGGATAAGTCGCGGTGACGCTTGATTTGAAGTCCGAAGTTGAAGTGATTAGAACACAATTTTCGCGGTCATTTATCCGGTTGAACGGCCTAATTACAGCACCAGCTGTCGCACAACAGCTGTTGCATAATGACCTAAGTGCTTCGCGGAAAGCTACTTAATGTATGTCGTTAATTACCATAACCCGTCAACCGAGCGGGGGTAACTCGGTGAAGCATAACAAAAAATTTAATTAGGTGGGACATCATGCTGTGATGGGCCAGCGGCTGCGATCAATACATTCCCATTAAAACGGGCAGCGGTGAGAAAACAAAGGATAGCTGGTGAATCGATACGTAACAGGTGTTACACGACTGGTTAAATGGAAGTCATGACACAAAGTATACGTTAGCGTTAGTCTTTTATTTTAAATACTATACATCAAAGAAAATAAATATATCAAACAAATAAAACAAATACACAAAGTAGTTAAAATCAAACTGCATAAAATGAATTTCAAACAAATAAACACCAAGTAAACAATCAAATTAAACAATTTAAATCAAACAAATAATCAAATTACGTAATATTAATTAATTATAATTTTAAAAACTCATTAAAACTAATTTAAAAAATTCGTTAAAATTACGTCACAAGGTCAATAAAAAATTACACAATATAAACAAAGTAATTAAATTAAATTCAAACTATTTAAAAATTACAAAATATAAACAAAGTAATTAAATTCATTAAAATCAAAAAAAAAAATAATCAAATTACGTAATAAAAACTCGGGGAGTATTTTGCTATATAACCTTTGCGCCACCCTAGGGAGTATTTTACTATATCTCATTGTACCAGGCTGGGGGAGTATTTTGCTATATAACCTTTGCGCCACCCTAGGGAGTATTTTACTATATCTCGTTGTACCAGGCTGCTGCGCCACCCTGCGCCACCCTCTTCACCCTGCGCCTCACCCTTCACCCTGCGAGTATTTTACTATATCTCGTTGTACCAGGCTGCGCCACCCTGCGCCACCCTCTTCACCCTGCGCCTCACCCTTCACCCTGCGAGTATTTTACTATATATCGTTGTACCAGGCTGCTGCGCCACCCTGCGCCACC